TGTGGTGTGGCCAGGTCGCTTCTGATAAAGAGCTGTCTTACCAACTTCTTGGTTCTTTCGGTAAAGTCACGTAGAAGGGAAGTAATAAAATAATAAAAATAAAACATAATAAAATAATATTATAATAATATAATAACAAAATATTAATATAATTATTTTATTATGTTTTATTTTTATTATTTTATTACTTCCCTTCTACGTGACTTTACCGAAAGAACCAAGAAGATGAATCCCTGCAGTCACGAAAGTTTTAAATCGAAAGCTGTAAAAATAAATAAATAAATAAACTATAGTTCAATACATTTTTATTTAAAGCTTTCGTGACTGCAGGGATTCATATTCTTGGTTCTTTCGGTAAAGTCACGTAGAAGGGAAATAATAAAATAATACAAATATAAAACAATAAAAATTCTCACGACGTTTCGACTGCAACACAAGCAAAGGTGTGGATTTCACATCTGATGATGATTGCTTGTGTTGCAGTCGAAACGTCGTGAGACTTTTAATTGTTTTATATTTGTATTATTTTATTATTTCCCTTCTACGTGACTTTACCGAAAGAATCAAGAATATAGTTCAATAGTTTTTTTGATACGAATAAACTTAGAAATACATATTCCTAAAGGTGAAATATCTTCGCGGACAGATAGTTCGAACGAGATGACTGACGGTAGATGTTTGTTGTTGTTAGAAAATCACGGGAATGCCGACACACCTCCGCTGTGTCTGCCCAAGTCCACTTGAGTTCATTTCACCGTTGAGGCCGACTTGGGTTTCACATCTCTTGCTCCAGACTGGAGGAGGCTCTCGCGTCTAACGTTGCTGACCCACGGCCTGACCGGCATTTGGGAAGTGTCTTGACTGGTTTGTTTGTTTGTTGTTGTTGTTGTTGCATCATCCATATTTTTTGTTGTTCGAATCCAGATTAACCTCGGGTAATGAATGGAAAGTTGACTCCCAATTACTTTGAAATGTGAATTCACCTCGAGGGACATTGCCATGTTGGTTTCGTGACCCCACAAACCGTTCCTGATGCCAATCCTCACCGAGCGCGCGCGCGCGCGTTTGTGTGTGTAGACAAGGTGTGGGTCTCTTCTAGGTCCACTCAGCCAAAACGATGCTTGCTTGCTTTGTGTCAACAAACCTAAGCGCTGGGGCAGGGAGGTGAAAGCGGTCGGCCTGAGCGTGGTTCGGAACCGCTCGTGTACCGCGCGGTGTGCGTGCAGGAGTGGCCTTAATAGGTGCTCGCTGACAGGACCAGTCCCAGTAGTCTATCCAGGCTCGTTCAGGGGATGTGTGTCCGTCTGTCTGACTGACTGCGTTGGTGCTCGCTTAGAGCACTTGCCCCAACGGTCTGTTTAGGCTATGGGGGGGGGGAACTTTGTCTTTGTATGTCTGTCCGCGAGGAGTGGGGTCATGTGGAGCGGTGGCGCAGCGGTTAGCGCACCGTGCCACAAACCCGGCGACCCATGTTCGATTCCCCGGCCGCGGTTAATGAGTGGCGTGTTTCGTCAGAACGTGCCCTAGGTCTCCCATAGGTTGACACAGCCTTAAACGAGTACCTGGTGTGATTTGTCAACATTAGCACTGGGGAGACAAAGGCGGCCGAGTGTGGTGTCGGCTACGCCATAACCTCGTGCCCCGATCAGCGTGCGTGGCGCCGAGTCCTGCAAATCAGGGTTCGACTCTTCGACGCAGGGAACCTCGCCACCAGTGTCATGGGCCTCCTCCTCTAAGTCGACTCAGACTAAAACGAGCAGTGGGGTTTGGGGATGAGATACAAATGCGGCTGGGCCTGGTGTCGTTTCATGCCGGTGATACCGCTCCTTCATGCGCCACGCCGGCCTTAATAGGTGCTCGCAAACACCACTCGGCCAAACAAGTCTATCCTGTTTATATGTGTGTGTGTGTGCATGTCAATGTGTTTGGCATGTGCAAAATGATTTTATGCAGCAAGTCTATATCCTGTAGATATTCCAAGCTACTACTACTACCGTGCTACTAACCAGACACATTTTTAAGCGACACGACCCAAGTAACTTCTCTTTTGAATAAAATAAAACCAATATAATATGCTACCGCTAAAAAGAAGCTGAATAATAACACCGTAACGAGCCCTTGCTTGAAAGGGAACAGCATCGAGCGGTGGCTTTAATTTTTGTTTTCTTTTTGTAAGACGAAAAAAGCCAACGCCACTGCAATAACGAGAGTATAACTTTGCTCTATTGCCGAAGCTGACAATGCGTGTGGTTTGTATTGGGAGAATTTTCTTTAAAAAAAAAAAAATGTGTGGCGAGAGAAAAGAAAAAAAAACATTCGATGAAAAGTTAACAACAGGACGGCAAATGTGATGATTATAATGATGAACCTTGCTTGAACATTAATAAAATAAAATGTTAAGAACCGGAGGGTTTCTTTTTTATTCTGTTTCTCTGCTTGACCGAGTTGCCAGTGTATCTCGTGCCCAAGAGGTGGCGCAGAGGAGGACATGGGAGTGATGTCGTTCGCGATGAGAGTTTCGTTGATTGGGAGGTGGCATCGGTGGCTCAGAGGTCAGAGCGCTACGCCACCGCTGAAGATCAAAGGCGCCGCGGTGGCGAGGTGTTAACAACCTCGCCCGGTATACAGGAGGTCGTATGTTCGATCCCGACCCTGACGCATTTGCGTGTCTCCCCGTAGTCGCGGGGAGACACGCAAACGCGTCCCCGTCATCATGGAAATTAAATAATGCTGCCCCACTCCCCTTCCTGAGTGGAACGGAGGTCATCGAAGCAACCTTAGTATTGAGTATAAGTTTTCCCATTTTTTCTGGCAAACAAAACAGGTGTTGAGATTCCTTGTAAAAGGTTTCAGTTTGGTGTTTTAACATCTCAACACCTAAATTTCGATTTAAAGCTTTCGTGACTGCAGGGATTCATATTCTTGGTTCTTTCGGTAAAGTCACGTAGAAGGGAAATAATAAAATAATATAAATATAAAACAATACAAATTCTCACGACGTTTCGACTGCAACACAAGCCATCATCATCAGGTGTGAAATCCACACAAGCAACCATCATCAGGTGTGAAATCAACACCTGATGATTGCTTGTGTTGCATATCATTTCATTATTTCCCTTCTACGTGACTTTACCGAAAGAACCAAGAATATATCTCAACACCTCTTTTGTTGCCAGAAAAAGGGGAAAACTTATTCTCAAAATTGGACCTTAGTATTAGTTCGTCGTATCCAATTCTGCGGACCATTCTCTTAACGCGCTGAAAGCCCGATTTGAACTCAGACCCTAAGCCGTACCAGCTCAGCAACTACAGTCAGAACAACTTTCCGTAAATACAAGCATTTTATTTTGGCGGCTGCCTAGCCATAAGTTGTACACTTACGACCAATATTTGTTTCGTCTCGTCCAATTTGTTCAACGTCAACGTGTTTGTCCTTAGCGTTGCTCGTTTGAATTTCTCTTAAATATTCCATTTCCTGAAGAAATAATTACGAAACAATTGTCAAAATTCCGGATAATAACGGTGAGTAAATGCAACAAAAGAAACGATTCAATTGGTGTCAGTCGCTCGCCAGGAAGAAAGAGAAGACTCGGCGCTTCTCTGCCATCGTCAATTTTTGGCGCGCGTGGGCGCGCGTTCCAAAGCGCTCCACGGATTCTAAAGTTGCGGCGATGATCGAAGTTACTCACGGCGAGATTACGTTGGGAGTGAACTGCGGTTGACGAACGTTTGACGATGGAAAAAACAGGGTGCTTAAAAAAAAGATGTTAACACCTACACGGAACTATCGTTTTTATTGGAAAAAGAACGGATACTACACAGTAACATGATAACAAATGTGATGTTAATGGCTTTAAAAAGTCAAATAGTCTCCACTTTTTCGCCATCATTGTCAACGTGCCTGGAATCTTCTCCATGTGGTCTCCAGAGCCCAGAGGCACAAACATTTATCGTGGTGTTGTTGCAAATTCTCCGAAGTATTCACATTTTTTTGAAGCACCCTGAATAATAGTCCATACTCGGAAAGAATGTAGTTAGAGTGAAGATTCATAATCAACGTTTTTGGGTTTAGATCGCGTTATTTATAAATGTGTCGTAACCCTCCACCACCCGACACGGCCAATCAGTAAAAAAGTGTCACGTTGACAAAAGACAAAATAGTTCAATGCTTTAGCCCACGTCGTACTCAAAAAAATTGTAAATGTTGTGGTTTCACGCTTCAACACACCGGTGGGCTAAAGCAGTGAACTATTTGTCTTTTGTCAACGTGACACTTTTTTACTGATTGGCCGTGTCGGGTGGTGGAGGGTTACGACACATTTATAAATAACGCGATCTAAACCCAAAAACGTTGATTATGAATAATATTGGTCGCGAAAGCCTACGTGTTAGAGAGTGAAGATGTTCAAACACAAAACAGATACCTGCTGCATCGTCAAGTCTGCACGAACCGCACATACTTTGTGGTGAAACATGCACACACGCTTTGGCACTGTTACGCATTGTTCTTGAAACTGATTGGCCTACACCAGAGACATCCTCCTACATGGCCTCGTCTCGCCACCCGTGTTAGGCCCGGAGAATCACGCCACAAGGCGAACTGCACAGAAGCAATGCACGGATCAAAGCTTTGACAGCTCGGGTAGAGCAGTTCTATCTACAGCGCCCTCTTTGCCGGTATCATTTGGATAGATACAAGCAAACAAGGTTCCCATAGTTATCATATTTAATGTTTACTCGGACTTGTCATAACATCATAGCACGCACAGAAGAAGATACAAATTGACAATACAATTACAGAGTTATGGGAATCTAGATTTGAAGCTTTCGTGACTGCACGGATTCATATTCTTAGGTTTTTTCGGTAAAGTCACGTAGGTAAAAAAATTAAATTAATAAAAGTAAAAGAAAAAGAAAATAAATGACGATGGCGATCGTCATTTATTTTATTTTTATTTTACTTTTATTAATTTAAATTTTAATTGTTTTACCTACGTGACTTTACCAAAAAAACCTAAGAATTATGGGAATCTGATTTTAAAACATACATTCACAACATTGTGGTAATATGGGAACGTTCCATTGCAAGTCATTGTCATCGGCCAATTAAATGCCATAGCCTATCGAGCAAAGTTATGGAAAGGCAACCCTGGCTACAACACAAACATTGCTATTAACTGGCTGTGCTTAAGTGGCAGGGTGGTGCAGGGTGGTGCAGGATGGGGCAGGATGGGGCAGGGTGGGGCAGGGTGGGGCAGGGTAGGGCAGGATGGGGCAGGGTGACAGGGGTTCCACTTGTAACACAGAGCATTAAGTTCCAGGGTTCGATTTCCCCACTCCGGATGCATTTCTGAGCGGAGTTTGTATTCTGTCCCCCTTGTTCTGTATGGTGTTCTCCGGGTTCTTGTGTGTCCTTCCATAGCTAAATAAAAATACAATAAAACCAAACAATGGAACCTGGTGTTGGCCAAACGTCCCAATTGTGAAAAAGGACGTGAAAAATACTGAATGGGGATTACACGTAGCAGCAATGCTCTCTCCTGCGGAAACTTGTCAGGAACCTGTTGAAAAAGTCTAGATAATCGGCGAGGCCTTTGTGTGTAAACGATGATGATGATGATACAAAAAAGAATTAAAGTGGGAGAGCATAACTCAAATTCAGGAACTCCACAATGCTCGCCCAAGTGCTCAGAATTCCCAACGTCGACACAAATCACCAAAAAGCACTTCCCGCGGTCACGAAGGCAAACAAATAAAAACACAATTATTACCAACTTGGCAGGACAATTATTTCAACATTCATTGCAAAACGAACGCAAAAATAAATATCGAGTAATTGCACGTAATTACAGAAAATCGCCACGTATTATCTCGGCAGGCAGGCAAGCGTTGAAACATTTCCGACACACTTGAGATACGAGGACGATGAGAGTGGGGGGGCAGCTATCCGATGCCGGGGAGAGGCCTGTTTACACGGCAAACCCCAACAGACAGCAGCAGCCACACCCCTGTCAAACGCAAACGGCAGGAAAAAAGAAAACTCCCACCCAGACCACCCCCGCAGCAGATCTCGATCATCGTTCCGTGTGTGGGGGGATAAGCGCCACACCGCGCTACGAAGCCGGCAAACCCGAGTTCGATTCCCGCTCGCGGCCAACACCAGTGACGATTATCTGAATGGGTCCTGGGCCTCCCTTAGGTCGACTCGGCCTCAAATGAGTACGGTGTGTAAACATCGCCACTAAGGAGACAAAGGTGGCCGGGCGTGGTGCTGTCCACCCACCCCCTATCGTGCCGTGCCGGCCTTCATAGGTGCTCGCTAACAGCACTTGCCCCTACAGTCTGGTAAGGCTATACGGGGGAATCGTCGTCTCCGTTATGAAGTTGCTCGAGAGGAAATGGGCCCTTTGTGGTACGTGAGGATTTGCAGCCGAGTGAACTTGCAGATGACTCGTACGAGCGGTGTTCACAGCTCGGCCTCTGTGGATGAGGCCCGTGAAGGTCGCGACCCGGCAGTGCCAGGCGGAGCTGCACATTTGCCCAACAGGGACTGAATCCTGATGAACCAACTTTGGTGACGACCCCTTGTGTTGCGATCGAAACGTCGTGATATTTTATTTTCTACCGACGTGACTTTACCGAAAGAACCGAAGAGTATTGACAACCCTGTCGAGTTTTTTTTAAACCCTGACAGATCCGCTCTCCGCACACCAGGATTCAAAGGCCAGCGTTGTTGTTGTTTCATTTTTACGCGTCACTAACTTACAAAAACGTACAAGTGGTACAAAACCGAACACATTTTTACCCATTCGTCGCACTCAAGCACCGAAATAATCGAATCGACCAAGCATCTCTCTCTAAAACCGTCAGCTGCTAGACCACCCAGATTTTATGGTCTTCCAAAAATCCATAAAGAAGGTACTCTACCCCGTCCCATCGTTTCCACCATCAACTCACTCACATACCTACGAACAGGTCCGATTTCTGTCTGAGACCCTGCTTCCATTAACGGGCAAGTCCACCTCAGCAGTACTTAATTCAGCTCACTTGGTTTCTCTAATCATGGACATTTCACTGTTTCCAGATGATTTGCTTGTCAGCTTCGATGTAGTTTCTCTGTTCCCCAAGGTACCTGACACCATAGCAATCATTTAAGACTTGGTCCAACAGGGACTGAATCCTGATGTACCATCTTTGGAAAGGCACTGCCTTACCAACACTTACTTCATCTGGAATGGTACATTCTACAAACAAAATGAAGGTACCCCTATGGGTTCTCCCTTATCACCTGTGGTAGCGAATGTTTTCATGGAGAAATATGAAAGACATGCCATCCTGACATCCACCCTACGTCCTTCCCTGTGGAAGAGATACGTAGATCACACTTTCGTCATCTGACCACATGGCCAGCTGGCACTGAACCAGTTTTTCAACCACGTAAATTCCATACACCCATCATCAAATTCATCATGGAAGTGGAAAATGATTGCAAGCTATCATTCCTGAGTATTTTGATCGAGAAGATGCCTGATGGCTCGTTGGGACATTCCGTCTACAGGAAAGCCACCCACACGGATTCCTATCTAAAGTCTGACTCTCACCACCATCTGGCCCAGACGAACTCCCTCATCAAAACACTACACCATAGGGCCCGTGCATCTCCGACCAGCGCCACCTAGCCAGTGAACTGGAGCACGTACACCAAGTCCTCAAGATGAATGGATACTCAGACCACACAATCCGCAAAGCTGTAGCCCCAACCATGGGGAGACAACCATCTGAGGACCCAATCAAAACCATCACCTTGCCATACATAGCAGGTGTTACCAAAAATATTTCCAAAATCTTAAACAAACACAAGATCCAGGTCCGATTCAATACAGTACACAAAATCCGTGATTTAATCCCATTTGTGAAGGATGTCATTCCTGACATGCAATACCCTGGTGTCTACAAACTAAGTTGTGTCTGCGGCAGCAGTTACATTGGGGAAACGAAACGACATGTCTCGGACCGTGTTCGCGAACACAAGATAGATTTGAAACATGGCAGAACCAATACCTCTGCAGTCGCTGATCATTGATATAACGCAGTGGGCTCGCACGATATTGTTTTTTCCGAGACCAAGGTACTCTGCAAACCTTCGGGCTACCATCAAAGACTTGTCCATGAAGCCATCCAGATCTATAACACAGACAATTTCTACCGAGAAGAGGGGTATAAGCTGAGCAATCATTGGAAGGACGTTATTAACCAAGCAAAGTCGTAACTTGCCGTGGTGCTTCCATTCTTCCCTGCCGTCTGGCTGTTATCTCCGACTCTCCGAGTTGCATTGCCCTGTTAGGTGCCTCTGCATTAACGGGCTGGGGTCTCACTAACATGGCCACCTCTGCTCCCTTAGCCTCGATGTACCGATGGTTCTGGCTGTGTGATGGGCTGTGTCTCACTGGCGCGACCACCGTTGCGGTGGTTCTCTTGCGTGGACGCGCTTTCCCCGCAGCGCAGTTGGCAGCGCCGCAGCTTGTGTTACACATAGACATAACATTAACTTACTAATCCCCCTAATCTCTCCCATCAACATTGTGCTAATCTCCCATGAACACTGCTGTTGTGCGCATATGTGCGGATGATACTCTTATGCGGCGACGGAAGCTCATTTCATGCTAATCCCTCTCTCCCTAATCTCCCCCATTAACACAACTGATGTGCTTGCGTCCGGGGATGAAATTCCTTTCCAGCTCAGACCCCGCTTGCTTGCCCATCACCACATATATAACCTCTTGTTGTAACAGCTCTCTCGCTGGTTCAGCAGTTCCACTGCTGGATTATTTTTTCCACCTGAGGACGACCGCTTGTACTGCGATCAAAACGTCGTGACTTATTATTTTTTGTTTTATTGTATTTTCTACCGCCGTGACGTCACCAAAAGAACCAAAGAGTAGTGACAAACGTGTCGAGTTTTTCTTAACCCCTTACAGATCCGCTCCCTGCACACCAGGATTCGAAGGCGAGCGTTGTTGTCGTTTTATTTTTACACGTCACTAACTTACAAAAACGTACAAGGCGTACAAAACCGAACCCCCCCCCAAAAAAAAAACCGAACACGTCTTTTTACCCATTCATCGCACTCAAGCACCGCAATACTCTAGAGTGGCTGCTACGACGACTCGAATGTAAGAAAAATAATCGAGGGGGTTCGAGCACAGGATTTAAAAAGTAGTTTCAACCCGCTCGGGGGGGGGGGGGGGGGTTGTCTTGCTCTATGATGGTGAAACGCCCGAGGCACTTTGCGGTTGATAACAAAAACACTCATCGGCTGGGGAAAAGGGGTGAGGGCGGTCTGAGAAACGATTACCCTCCCCCGCTGTGTGCCACTGAAAGATTTCAGAAGTCGCCGTTTTTGTTTTTCTACGATAAAACTTTCATCTCGGGAGGGGGGGCGATAACAAATCTCCCGCTGATGGCACCGCGATGGAAATTAAACGTTCTTGCGGCGCACGGTGAGATTTTATATATATATTTCAATATATATAAGACACACACCGTTGAATTCCCCCCAAAGCGGTACGCCTGGAGTGACGTGTGGGCCGAGTCGAACACCTTTTAGTGGATAACCGCACGTTAACGTTTTGGCATGTTTGCAAGAACGCGACCGAAAACATGCGCGTTGACCGAGTACGGAGCGACGAGTAAATTCTGGACATGGCCATTGTTGGTCACGTCAGAAATATTCCCAGGATGCTCCCGGTGACCGATAAATATATGGTGAGATGTTAACTACCTCGCCTGATTCTAGATTTGAAGCTTTAGTGACTGCAAGGATTCATACTCTTTGGTTTTTTCGGTAAAAAAACATCAGCAGTAGACCATGCTTTCCCACCTAATGACGGACGCTTGTGTTGCGCCCGAAACGTCGTGATTTAATTTAGTTATTATTTATTTTATTTTTTACCTACGTGACTTTCCCGAAAAAACCAAAGAGTATACCTCGCCTGGGTTCGATCCCGACCCCGACGCCTGCTGCATATTTGGAGTGTGGGTGCGTGCGTCTCCCTCTCTTCCCGCGGTCGCGTAGATTTTTCTCCGGGTCCAAATTCAGAATCAACATCACGCGTTTAGAGTAATTGGCTGCTGTACATTTCCAGGCGATGAGCCACTTTGTTGAGCTATCATTTGTGGTCAGGTCGCTTCTGAAAAAGCAGGTCGGTCTTACCTGGTGAAATAAAAATCGTTCAATAAAAGTAAACAGTTTCAATCTTTCGCGGGCTCTTTGTCAGGGCGTAGGCCTCAGCGTGCGGCCGCGGTCAGTGCAAGAACCAAGTCGCGTGCCAGATGCGTCAAGCACCCCGCTACTGCCCAACAGTTTAGTGAATATCCCTAGGGGTCGTGACCCCCAGGCCGGGCCCCCTCGAACCGCCGCTGCCGTCGCTTCTTCTTCTTCTTCTTGCCGCCCTCTCCGTCGTCGCTGCGGCCGTCCCTCCGCTCGCCCGAGCGTCTGTCTCGGCGCTCGCGACGGCGCTCCGCTCTGCCCTCGCGTTCGTCGCCGCCGCCGCCGCCGTCTCCTCCGCGCTCCTCGGTGCTCCGCCTGCGTTTGCGTCGTCGCTCATCTCCGCGCTTCTCTCCACGCTTCTCTTTCTGCTTTTTCTTCCGAGTCCGTCTCTCGCCGCTACCGCAGCGGCGCGCGGCCGCTTCATTGGTGGCGGACGAGGAGGAGGATGAGGACGACGACGACGAGAAGTGCCGGAGTGGACCGTTCCTTGCTTTGATCCTTTTGTTACTTTGTCCTCGCGCGTGCACACAATACACACGCGCGCACGAGAAAGGCCGCGCTCGTGAGAACACACAGCATGTGCACATCATATGCATGCAAGGGCGTTGACGTGCTGTTGCACATCGTCAGCGAACGTGCGTACAGAAACACTCGTGTGTACATGCACACACATGTATATGTGTACGTGTATATAAAGTGAGCGAATGTTGAGGCCAGCACGGCACACGCAATGGTGGCATCGGTGTGGCCGGCATCACGCCCCGCCCAACTTTGTCCACCAGCTGCCGACGTTTACAGACCGTACCGGGTAGGACTAAGAATCGATGGCCGAGTCAATCTAGGGGAGGCCCAGGACAGATTCAGATATCGCTCGCTACTGATCGCTGGGGTTTGTTTGATGTCGCTCCCCACAGTACCAGTTCCAGCTGATTTGTGTAACCAGGAGAGAGTCTAATTTGCAAGACTCACCTGGGGCACCAACATGGCAAAAGCAAAACAAAAAGCACATCGATGCAGCAAAATAGAAATCGGCACAAACACAACCATGCCACGTGAGAAACTCTACCCGTGCTACAATAATGCACACACGTGCAACAACACACAGCAACCGCCATTCCGCACAAGGCGGCTGTGATGTAACATCAGCCTGTGCCAGGCTAGGTGCGCTTTGAGGCCAGGTGAAATGGCGAAGACGCTCTGAATGTAAGTGACAAGCAAGACAGACCCGGTTGTTTTAGGTTCAATGACATGTACGTACACACATACAAATGTACAAATATACATTTTTATATGCCAGGCCACAAAGACAAAGATCCCCTGTATACCCTGAACAGACTGATGGAGCAAGTGCTGTCAGCGATATCCGATGAAGGCCGGCACAGCGCACGAGGGGGTGGGTGACCAGCAACACGCCCGGCCGCCTTTGTCTCCCTAGTGGCGATGTTTACACACCGCAAGAGGTACTCATTTGAGGCTGAGTCGACCTAGGGGAGGACCGGTTCAGATAATCGTCACTGGTGTTGGCCGTGAGTGGGAATCGAACTCAGGCCGCCGGGTTCATAGCGCAGCTTCGCTCTAAACGCTGCACTGCCGCTCCGCACATGCCAGGCCACACGCGCGCACACACACACGAGGGACACACACACACACACACAGCAATCATCATAATCATCATTAAACGGTTATTTATGACTTTCCTTTAATTAGGAGCACCAATGCGCAAACTCGTGCAGTGCGTATCGGAGGCAGGCTTCGCTTCTAAAGAAGGATGAGTCTGTGAGGTTGGCCTTATTAAAAAGACATTTAGCGAATTTTTAAAAATTATTTTGAACTCGACGAGTAATGAGGTGCACTGGGCACGCATGCATGCACTCGCACAAAAACGACCGCACGCCAGACAAGACAATGATATAAAATAACATTCCGCATTCCGCATGGATTGCGATAGAGTATGGGTTCAAAGGTTACGGTTTATAATTGGTATGGTTTAACGGACGTAAAAAAGAAATCCAAATATATAGAACTACAAACGGTGTGTGGGTGTGTGTGTGGATGTGTGTGTGTGGATGTGGGTGTGTGTGTGTGGGTGTGTGGGTGTGTGTGGATGTGGGTGTGTGTGTGTGGGTGTGTGTGTGTGGATGTGTGAGGGTGTGTGTGTGTGGATGTGGGTGTGTGGGTGTGTGTGGGTGTGTGTGTGGATGTGTCTGTGTGGATGTGTGTGTGTGGATGTGTGTGTGGATGTGTGTGTGGGTGTGTGGATGTGTGTGTGTGGATGTGGGTGTGTGTGTGTGGATGTGGGTGTGTGTGTGTGGATGTGGGTGTGTGTGTGTGGATGTGGGTGTGTGTGTGTGGCAGGCAAGGCTGGGGAGTGGTAGTGTAGTGGTTAGCGCTACGCTGCGCTATGAACCTGGCGACACGGGTTCGATTCCCGCCCACGGCCAACACCAGTGACAATGATCTGAACCGGTCCTGGGCCTCCCTTAGGTCGACTCAGCCTGAAATTAGTACCTGGTGCGGTGTGTAAACATCGCCACTGGGGAGACAAAGGTGGTCGGGCGTGGTTCTGACCACCTACCCCCTCGTGTACCGTTCCGGCCTTCATAGGTGCTCGCTAACAACACTTGCCCCTACAGTCTGTTAAGGCTATTCGGGGGATCTTTGTCTTTTTTATCTTTGTGGCAGGCAAGGCTGCGTTGGCTGGGCCATGTAGCCCGCATGCCCAGCCACCGCATGCCTAAACAGCTTTTGTTCGGCTGGATCGAGAGGGCTAAACAGGCGCGGCACGGGCTAGAGAAGAGATGGAGTGATGTGGTACAAGAGGACGTGGAGCTGAGTGGACTTGCCGATGACTGGTACCAGCGGTGTCAAGATCGGCCTCTGTGGTGGAGGAGGCTCGTGAAGGACGCTACTGGGCAGTTGGAGGCAATCACACCTCCAACAACAACAGAGGGGGGAGGAGCGATGCTCACAACAACGAACGGATCACCGGGTGGCGAAAGCACAGCAAGTTGGCACAGTAGGGGGCACAAGGTGGTGCATCAGCCAGTCATCTCAGTCACCTGGGTCTGCCCCGTGATCTCCTGCCAGCGGGCGTTCGACACTTCACGTGGCCTCAAGGTGCACATGGACTGGCACAAGCGTCGTGGTGACGTCACCGCCACTTAGTGGCGAATGGCGGTTGTTGTTGTTGTGTGTGGATGTGGGTGTGTGTGTGTGGATGTGTGTCGATGTGTGTGTGTGTGGATGTGTGTGGATGTGGGTGTGTGGATGTGGGTGTGTGTGTGGATGTGAGTGTGTGTGTGTGTGGATGTGAGTGTGTGTGTGTGCTTGTGGTTAATTGCTTGATTCCCCGCAGGAGAGGGATGATTACAGCAAACTCCGCGGGCTCCACAGGGTCCCTCCCTGCTTGTGTTTCCATGCAATTGACTCATGTGCGCGTGTGCGCGTGGAACGGTGGCGCTGCGGTTAGCTCACTGCGCTAAGAACCCGGCGACCAGTGTTTGATTCCCGCTCGCGGCAACACCGGTGACGAATATCCGAAGCGGTCCTTGGGTCTCCCCCCCCCCAGCTTAACTCTGCCATGAACAAGCAGCCGATGCGGCTCATAAACATCAGCACAGGGGGAGACAAAGGCGACCAGGGGTGGGTGCTGTCAACACCACCCCCTCGTGTACGATGTCGGCCTTCACGGTTTGCGCGCTGAAAAGCGCCCGCCCCCGACATTCTGTTAAGGCTACGGTCGCTAGTGGCACTTGCCCCGACATTGTTAAGGCCGTACAGTGGTTCGTTGGCTCGATTGTGTCTGTGGCCTCTCGCTAGGGGCTCACGAGGGGGCTCAAGAGCGCGTGCAGCTGGTGACCAAGCAGGGACACCCAAAGAATAACCTCGCCGCCGCCGTCACCGCCGTCGTCGTCGTTATCAACGAGTCCTCGTCCTTGCTGCTCTTTTACCTTTTGTTTCGCAATTACGTGAAACTGGCGCAACTGTCCGCGTCACGCCGCCACGAGGTGAAGGCACTTCGACTCGAAGCTCACGCAGAGGGAGCAGAGGGAGCAGCGGGACATCGAGGCGGCTCCGGACGGAGACGACGCCTCAAAACAAACTGCCGAGATGCCTTCTGCGGCCTCTCAACCACACGAGGTGGTGGACTTGAAGGTGTGCCACACCAGCAGTGCTCTATGTGTGCGTGCGTGTGTGTGTGCGTGTGTGCGTGTCGCGTGGGGAGCCGTGGCGCAGCACTATGAACCCAGGTTCGGTTCTCACTCACGACCAACATCAGCGGCAGATAACGGAATCGGTCCCAGGTCTCCCCTAGGTCGACTCAGCGTCAAATGAACATTGTAACTGGTGCAGTGTGTGAACATCGCCATGAGGGAGACAACAGCGCCTAGGCATGGAGCTGTGGCCATACACCTGCCCCCCCACACTCGTGCCGGCATTGCTATAGGTGAGAGTACCTGGTGCGGTGTTTACATATCGGCGCTTGGAAGACAACGGTGGCTGGGCATGGCACTGACCAGACATCCGCATCGTGAGCCATGCCGGCCTTAACAGGTGCTCGCTAATAGAACTTGCCCTAACAATCTGCTTGGGCTGCCGTACTTACAGCGGTGGGCGGTAATCGCTGGGGTAGAGCTCCCAGAATCCAGCATGTCCCCACCTACCGGGGAGGAGGAGAGGTCGGTGGGGCGAGAGGTTAGAGGTCACGGGTCATCACGTGACGGCTGACACAACATCAGCCGAGCCACTCTCACGCCGAACAGGGGACATCCTCCGACCAGCTCGTGCACAGGTGCTGGATGGACCGCTGCATCGCAATGTACGTGTTTGCTTCAAACTTCTTTGGCACCGTACGTAGCCAACCGTGCTAATCGGAGGTGCGGGGGAAGGACAAAACAGCGAAGGATGGCAACAACGTGTATAAGCCTTCATCTAGCAGCCGATGTTCCCTAATTGCAATAAAATGCAATTCACGTTGAATAACCCTCACTGTACAACCATGCAGAGATTTCCATCAGTTTTTTCTCCAATAAGATCTACAAACAAAACTATAAACTATATAGCAGGAAGGCCCACTGAGCTTTTAAAACCTTCATCATCTTCGCGACAGTTATCATGGCCTCTGCTAAAGCCCACCCATAATAACAACAGTCAGAGTAAGATGAATGTGTGCGCTTGCTTATTAAAATTCCATTTTTAACAGCGAGAAGGAACCGGGGGAGGGGTATGCGGTGGGGAAAAAGAAACGTTCAACGTGCGAGAAAGAAAAAAAAAAACTAACTTTGGAACTCCCCCCGAATTAGAGAGGAGATGGGGGGGGCAGATCAGACGCGGTAATGAGCGCAAAGACCGGTAAACGCCGGAGGATATTTAATTGCGGCCGCTCCATTTGCGATGCCGCTTATCGCAAGCACGGCAACGGACATCGCTGGGGGAAGCGTCTCTCGGGACACCCAGCTCGTTACTCCTCCTAAATGTGTTTTTTCCTCCCAGATTCTGGGAAATGCTGAAAATGGGGATTGCCGTATTTATTTATGTTTTTAATATACACATTTATTTTTATCTTTTTTTTGTTTTTCAACGCCACAATTATGTTGGACTCGTTGCCGCCGCTGATCGGAATCATGTACGCGAGATTATGGGACTTCCCGTTTGGAGTTTTCACAGTGAATAGTGCATCTCCTCGTTGAGGATAATCATAATAAGCCTCATTCATCTCACAAAGTGCATTTCACAACTTGACACAATCCACAACACACGGAGGTGCATATATATTTAGACGATGTTTTCAGCCAATTTCTGAGCGCTTATACACGTGGCAGGAAACAGAATCACCCCGCAGATAACACACGCTTAGCGAGGGGGCAACTCTCTATCCCGTACAGCTGGGACAGATGTACGGCCTTCCCCTGGCAAGCCAAGGTTTGGCAACCTTCAAATGCTCACATGGAAGGAAATTTTCGCAACAATAAGTGTGAATCACCAATCCTCGTGCTGGGTTACAGGCATGGTGGAGAGCCAACACCGCCCACGAGACGATGTCACTCACCCACTTTAATTGCCTTATAGCAATGGCGGAGGGCATTACCCTTGATATGACCTTGACAGCATGCTTTTTGACAGCATGTTTGGCAATTACAGTTACATTTGTCTGTGACTAAGTAATCTTTATTTGCATGTGAGTCTAATTCCATGCATTTTCCAATAATATATAATTTTTTTAAACATTTCTCAACTGATTTGTGAAACAGCTACTCGGTTTGCTTTCAGCACGGTTTGACTTTTTCATGCCATTTCTTCGGCCCAAACTTTGTCCGAATCAACGTACCCGCCTGATTCTAATGTATAACGCTAATTTGATGGTACTGATAAGTAGTAAAACAAATATTGACTTGGTTGGAACAAATATCTGTTTCCCGTTGGAAATAAAACATTCCCAGTCTATATGTTCCGAGTGGAATAAATATTCAAGTGAACAAATGTGCATTTACGCCAATTCGGTGTATTTGACGCAGCCATTGAGCCATTATGCCACCGAAACTAAACTATTTTTATTTGACCAGGTAAGGCCCACTGAGCTATAAAACTATTTTCAGAAGCGACCTAACAACAAGTGATCGCCCAACAAAGTGGCTTATCATCGTGTGGAAATTTATAGCGGCCAAATACTCTAAACGCGTGATGTTGATCAAAATGCGGAAGGAAAAACCGGAGCTCCCGAAGAAAAACCAACGCGACCACGGAGAGAGAGACACACCGCAAACTCCAAATATACATACAGGCATTGTCAGGGTCTGGATCGAAACTCACGAACCTCCTGTATACCAGGCGAGGTAGTTAACATCTCCTAGCCACCGCGATGATGATGAGAGAGAGACACGCAAACTCCCAAATATACAGCAGCAGGCGTCAGGGTCGGGATCGAACCAACGCCCTCCTGTATACCAGGCGAGGTAGTTAACATCTCCTAGCCACCGTGATGATGATGATGAGAGAGAGACACGCAAACTCCCAAATATACAGCAGCAGGCGTCAGGGTCGGGATCGAACCCACGCCCTCCTGTATACCAGGCGAGGTAGTTAACATCTCCTAGCCACCGTGGCGCCCTCACCTCCCACGCCGGCCTCGTCTCTCACCGGTCGGGGTTTGGTGCCTCCGCCTCGTGGAGTCTCCGACGCCACCTTCTTCCATCGTCGCTCGCCTCCGCCGCCGTAGTCGCCGCCGCCACCGCATCGTCGTCGTCGTCGTCGTAGCCGTCGCACCGCATGTGGCTTCTGCGGGGGACGAGAGGAAAGCGCGGCGGCGAGTCGTTCCGTCAGATCGACGGTTGCGGGGGGGAGGGCGGTTCTTTACTTTTCAAAAGGAAAAAATAAAACTAAAGTGTTTTTATTTCAACCAGGTAACACCCATTGAACTATATAGTTCTTTTAAAGAAGCGACCTGCCCACAAATGATAGCTCAATGAAGTGGAATGTCGTCGCGTAGAAATTTATAGCAGCCAAATACTCTCTAAGCGCATGTTTATTCTCAATATGTTGGAGGACCCGGAGAAAAATCCACGTGACCACGGGGAGAACACGCAAACTTAAATTATACAACAGGCATCGTCAAGGTCGGGATCAAACCCACGACCTCTTGCACGCCATGGCGATGGAGTTAACCTCTTGCCACCGCGGCACCCCTAAATTGCTCCATCTCCCTGTTCAGCGTCCTCTTGGGGAACGCTGCCTCACATCGCTCAACTTACAGGGTCTTCATCATCGTCATCATCATCATCGTCATCGTTTGTGACCATGGGAAAAAAACAAGCGGCTCTTTAAGTTGGAGAAAGTGGCTCTCCCGGAGCAGGTTGGCAGCTCGTTGCCAGACTCACAGAGTGATGAGACACATTCTAAATGATGCGGCTCAGACATGGGTCGGGATCCGCCTCACAGCCTCGATCCCATCGTCGAGCCTTTCCGTATCCGCTTCCCGTTTTCGCACAGCCGCGATTTATAAACCGTTACAATCGCAGGCCTCAATTTATACAAAGCCACGATCACCGGCATAAATTTATACACCAGCCTGGCCAATCAGGGGGCTTCCAAGAGATCCTGATCAATAGAGTGCTCAGCTCCCCTGCTGAAGGCTAAGCTTTTTCATTTAAAGATTTTTTTAAAGAAACTGTGTCGTCATGCATCGCCCCCCCCCCCCCCTTTTAATGAAAGCCACAGCAATAGCGTTGATACAGGTGCCAAGGCCGCGTTTGCCGCTTCTTTAATGAGCGAATTATACATCACATCGACAGAGAGGCGATGGTAAATTAAAATTTCACGATGATTTTTTTAAAATGTTTTTGTTACTTTAACACGCAGGGTTGAATGGGCCCGTGACAATCAACTCGCTACACTTGGGAACCCGGTTTAATCACGGGCGCCCGAAAGCAGGATTCAAACCCCCTCTGTGCTGACTCAGCGCTCTTGTTCCCGAGCCACCTGTGCGACAAGTCCAGCGCAAACAACGCGCCTGCTCCCGGCAGAGTGGCCGCAGTGTGCAGTGTACACACCGCCCAACGCTCGAGAGGAGGCCCCGGGGGCTTCAAGTAACTTACTCTGCCATGTCAACACCGTGAGAGCAATATGTACTTGTGTGGGGTGTTTATTGAAATTACCCAAAGGTGTAGCGAGTTTATAGCGAGTCACATTCCCAGTCACCACCGCCTGTAATTGCTCAGAGTAATTTCAATAAAGACTGCGCAATATTAGTGGTTTTGTCACGAGATTTAGAGACTTTTTCGGTTTCCCCAGCAACCAAATGTTGTCATCGCGAGTTTCTGCGACAAGAATTTACAAGTGATTCCAGGTATGTGTTAAGAATCCTGTGCCAATTTATGATGCTCATCGAGTACCGTTTGACGACCTTGAGTGACTTTCCGCTGTAAGGATAACTACAAATTATTTTTTATTTTACCAGGTAAGGCCCACGGAGCTATATAGCTCTTTATTAGAAGCAACCTAGCCACGAATGATAGCTCAACCAAGTGGCTTACTTATCATGTGGAAATTTATAGCAGCCAAATAATCTAAACGCACGTCGATTCTAAATGTGGAGGTTAAAACCGGAGGCATCAGAGCTGGGATCGAACCCACAACCTCCTGCATACCAGGCGAGGGAGATAACATCTCCTGGACACCGCCACTCTGCCCCACTCCCCGCCCCCCTCCACACACTCCACCCACCACCCCCCGCCGACCTTCCAAGGACGGGAGAGGCCATGCGCCTCCGTTTCCGTCGGACGCCGCCGTCCTCGGTGAACGTCTGCATCTGCCGCTGCTTCCACATGACGCTCACTTCCTGCATCTGGAATACGCACGCGCAAGCACACAAAGACGCACGCGCAGGGACGCACACACGCGCAAAAGCACGTACGCATCGTCACGTAGCCCGAGCAGCACACGCCCAGACATTACAAGGTGGCCAGGTCACTCGGGGGGTCTCATAATGGCCGTGTCCAAGTACTGAGTCATCACGGCCGAGATCCTGGATTCAAGCCTTGGGACTGGGACGCTCTTTGACAGCCAGGCGTGGTGGCTATGTGCGCCTGTGACCCCAGCACTTTGGAGGCACGGGGAGGTGGATCACGTAGAGATCTGTGAGACTCTCAAACCCGATGGGGCTGCGAGGTGGAGATTTAAAAACAGCAATTGGGTTTACAAACCTTTCCATATAGGCCTCTAAATATTATTGCTTGTGCGCGGGAATTCTGAAAGGTAGTCTGGTTTCCGCCGACATGCAAAACACTTCTTAAAATCCCTTCTTCGCTTGTAATAATTATTCATCCAGGAAAGCCACACCGAGTACAATGACTCTTTTGCAAGAGGGTCCACCGTACTGCATGTTTTTATTTTAAGATGTTTTCAGCCAATAAATTATGAGTTTTTATACACGTGCGAGGAAACAGGAGCACCCGGAGAAAACCCGCACGCATCAGTGGGTGACACTCTATGCCTATACAGCAGGAAACAGATGGCGATGTCTCCACTTGCTCTACTGCCATCTGCTGTCGAGCCAGGGTATGGCACTTCTACGAACACGGGGAGTTTCACAACCTCCAGTGCTGGATCACAGGCCACGTAGATAGCCACTACCGCCCGGCATTTCCATTCTGCCTGCTCAACAGCGACGCCAGGGCTGAATGAACATCATTCCACTGTCTCGCATCTCAAATCGGTCTCACCCCCTATGAAAATTCCAGTCTCTTTTTCTTTCACATCTCAATTTGCTACATCCATCTGCACGGTTCACCAAACCTGTTTCATTCTGATCGGAGATCACGAGGGATTGAAGCTTCCTCTGATCCACATGGTACACCTTGTTGATCCAGCAAAGCATCATTCATATTTTTTGGGTCTTTCGGTAAAGTCACGTAGATAGGTTCAAAGAAAATACAAAAAATTACTAAAAACTACGACGTTGATGAACACTTGTGTTGCGATCGAAACGTCGTAATTTTTTGTTAATTTTTGTTATTTTCTTTGAACCTATCTACGTGACTTTACCGAGAGACCCAAAGAATATGAATTCCTGCAGTCACGAAAGCTTTTTTAAGTCAAGATTTATCATTCAAGTCTTAAAACTATTTCCGGACTGGGCGATGTTGCTAACGTGTAATTCTAATTGAGTCATTTACAAGGTCATTTTCAGCATTGTGATATTTGGCAATTACAATTACATCGATTTTTGTTTTTAGCTATGGGAAGAAACTGGATAAGGGGCAACCCACATGGCACAGGGGGAGAAAACATACAAACTCCACGCAGAAAAGCATCCAAGTCAGGAATCGAACCCAGGCCCTGCTTGCTGCGACGCACGAGCATTGCCGCCATGCCACCCTGCCCCCCAAAAATGAATCATTCCACACAAATGCCCCCGACCTCTTGACCTGGTGTGGCTCTGCTGCCTCTAAGGATGCCGCGCTTGGCCTGCGTGGCCGATGCTTGATTTATTTTCTTGTGTCGCATCATTCCCCAGCCCTGACATCGGCAGACGTCACTGCCGACGCTATCCCTGCCGCCATCGCTCCCCTCCCCCTCCCCGACCTCTTTCCCACATACTCTTAGGTTTTTTCGGTGAAGTCACGTAGGTAAAAAATAATGAAATTAAAATTAATAAAAGTAATAATAGAAATAAAATAATAAATCACGACGTTATTCTTTTATTTTTACTTTTATTAATTTTATTATTTTTTACCTACGTGACTTTACCGAAAAAACCTAAGAGTACGAATCCTTGCAGTCACGAAAGCTTCAAATCTAAAATTAATACCCTCTTTCCCACAACCAAATCACACCGTGAATGCGCTCGATCTTGGAAAGCTAGGCAGGCGTTAGCCGGCTGAGTGGCTGGATGGAAGACTGCTTGGAAATAGTCGCTGGCAATGCAGGCTCAGGCTGTCAAGTGGCCAGGAAATGGGTGCAGAGCAATGGATTGTTTTAGAATCAGAATATGTATTTACCATGGAGAAATCCGATGAGCTTTGAACCTATCTGTGTGGAGCTTTGAGTGTAAACCCCCCCCACTTTTGCTCGTGGTGGGTTTTCTCCAGGTGCTCTGATTTCCTCCCACATGCTCATCAATGGAACTGGTCAAACATCATAATCATCTTGAAGCAGTCATCAGACACATTGAGGGTTTTCTGGGTAAATAAAGGGCACGATCATTATCGGGGTGGAGTCATGGCCAAGTTGTTAGTGCACCAAACTCTTCATTTAAATTCCTGGTCACCCAGCATGAAGTATAGTCAAACAACCCCCATGACCGACACCAATAAACAAAGCACTGCAAATTATCATAAAAATTACAGAACGTTGTCAAATCACCGCCGGATAATTGCCGTTAAACGCTCTGTTCGTCATTGGGTCCGTCTGACCATATTTCACCACGCTGGTCGGCACGCATTACGCATACCCGTCAACCCCTTATCAGTTTCTACAATATTACAGACAAATTCAGACCTTATAAGTCACCGCATGCCCTTATAAATATCAACGTTCATCCTACAAGGTCCCATCACATGGGGGAAACACAAACAAATGACCGCACCCATCCTGCGTACTGCCCTTGAACATAGGTCGGGCTCTCCCTCTCTTTCAAATGTCTGCCTGTCGGCGTCGCTAATGTCGCTTTCTTCGCCGCAGGAGGTAACTCTGCCAGTGTCGCTGAGCTGTGGCGCGGCCTGTTTGGCAAATTGGATGTGGAAGTGTAGCCTTGCGCATGATCTGTACCGAGAGTCATAATTCCAGATCAAATTTGTCGGCTGTTACGGGGATCGCGACTCTCCGGAGTCAAAAAAAAAAGCTATCCCACGATTTTTTTTTTTTACCGTATTATTCTATTTTTGCCCGTATTGAAACGGCTGTATGTCGTATGAAACTGAAAACGCTATTTCCCTGTACAAGAATACGAGTAAACCGTATGGGTTGACAGCCGTGATCAAGTGATGGGAAGGATTCCCGGGGAACCGTTTCAGATGTTTACTCGCCACCGACACGGTGCAGTGCGTTGAACACTGCACCAATCACTCCACCCCCAGACGTTAAAATTATTATCAATTACTCTCCAAGCTGCTTATCCTCCACCCTTGCCATGCAGCAGGATAACGCAATCCCTGAGGAGCAATTGCCGGAGGGTCCCCACGTCCCCGTGCATAGCCCCTCCACCGCCTACCCCCCTCCACCCTCCGTTCCCATCGATCGCTGCTGCGGCTGCTGCTGCTGCTGCTGCGTTACCTTGTTGTGAGCGTCCGTGTGCCGGATTACGTTCCTCAGCAGACGCTTGTCAATGCACGGCAGGCGAGACATCCTGAGATCTGCTTACACGCACGCAGGCAAGGACAACGTACACACAACACAAAGACAAGGGGTTTTCTGCAGCCTTGACAGACTGTTGGGGCAAGCGCTGTTAGCGAGCGCCTGCCAAGGGCGACATGGTACATGTGGGGGGTTGTTAAGCTAGCACCATGCCCGGCCCCCTCGCTCTCCCCATTGGTGATGTTTTACACTTTGCAAAAGGTACTTGCGTGAGGCCGAGTTGACCTAAAAAAGGCCCATGACCGTTTTAGACACCAATTGATGTTATATATGTTAGAATGGATGCTAACTGAAGCGAGGTTTCCGGGACTATAGCGCAGTGTGCAAACTACTGCTACACCACTTCCCACGATAAAAAAACGCACACGTAAATGAGTGCATGCATAAACACATAAACATTTGTGTCTGTAAATAAACTATAGAACGACAATCACCTTCTGTAAATTATGGAACAGATATATAAGGCATCACAAAGAAGCATTTAGCTCGCAGTGGCTCATGCCCTAATCAGAAGTATAATCGCAAAATCCACGGTGATAAATTCAGCATTTGTGGTGTGCCAGCCTTTGTGTCAACTCCACCACGGGATGGCTTCTTGTAATCGTAGGAGTAGTGAGATGTGTTTAGATCTTTAGCAGTGACCTTTTTACATGTTCTGACTGAATAACTTCATGTGACTCCGCGCAGGGCAATTACATGCCTTCAAGCGATTCTGAGTGGTCACGATTTGGTGGTCATGCTCTGATTTAACAAATTACATTTGGCTGTATTTTGGATGTAAGAAGCATCGTTACGCTACCTGCAAATATGTCCGTTGTGTTTATTTGATTTAATCATAATCAACTCTCACAATTCAAAGAGTGCATCGTGATTGCAAGAACTTATTTTTGTAGACGGCTCGATGATCCAACATAAAACACCACAGTCGATCTACTGCTGGATTAGGGAATCCCCAAGCCGTTGCTATCCCTCGCAATCCCGTTTCGCTCCCATCAATCTCACTTCACTAAACCTTTCCGATACTTTGCACTCTAATCATTTTTTTTTTGTAGTCTTTGACGTTGTATCTTTCTGACCAGACCATATTGAACGTCTGTGAAAAAAAGCTTCACAGCTCATCGGATTTCTTCAGGATGAATTAAAGATTCTGATTGCGACTCCTGCACATGAACGGATCTCATCGCTTTATCTCCACGGTGGTCGTCTTCTTGGACGCATCGTCTCCTTTGCAATCCATCACCGGTCTCGAACATCTACCACCCTCCCTATCTAGACATGTTCCAGGAAAACAAGTAACACTGGGGGAAGGTGAAATGCTCACTGCCAGCACTGAATATTAGAAAAACCTCGCACCCACTAAATTATAATGATCCGTGCTGTACAAAGTGCTGCGCAAGCGAGATTCAAGGGCTAATTGAAAGTCTGCGCACGCTTGTGGAGGTGTACCTGAAGTGATGTAGGCAGTACGCCCTCTGCTGCTTGGAGTTTATCTGTAACCGACGTGTGTTGGAATGAATACTGTAAGGGGAAACGAAGACCACTCAGGTGGTGGGTGTGTAGTAAGTATTCAGGAGGCTTTGACGACGGGGTCGGAGGCACACTTATTTATTAACGCCAACTTGTGCACAGTAACGGGTACACACAGCACTTAAAGGGGTATCGTCCCCTTCACTCGTCTAACTGGGAGACACAACATCTAACCCCACTAACCTACGCCCGAGTCCTCCACTACGGAGCTAGGGGAGGCTACCTATCCCAGCCCTGGTCAAGCTGGGATCCCGGCACCCTGAGTCTCCAGACCGGCTCTTATAAGAACGTCAGTCTGGGCTCTCGGGGCCAAGCCACCGGCTTGCCCTGGTCGGCCCTGACAAGGACAGCGAGCCAGGGGAGCTCCGGGGCCTATTCTAGCTGGTCTTCAGTCTTCGCTGGTTTAAGCTAATACTCGACCTCGAGCCCTCCGGCTCACCACCTTTTATAGCACTCGGCCCCCGGGAGGGGCCCGTGGGGGATGCAGGTGCGGACGTCGGTGTGAGCACCTCCTCTGTGTACGGCCCTAACCACGCCCCTTGTGTTTGTTAGCCATCCGTGCCCATACACAATTACACCTCTACAGGTGGTACAAGTGGTTCCCGCACTGAGCCGTGAACCCGACCAACCTGAGTTCGATTGCTAGCCACGGCAAACACCAGTGGCGAGTGAGATCTGAAATGCCGCTGGGCTTCGCCTACTTCACCAACCCACATTGACCAGCGTGGTTGCAGTTTGGTGAAATAACCCACGGAATATACACGGCAGTAGGAGGCCCTGATCTAGCAATGGATGAAAAAGAGAAGCACATGTTTATTGTACATTACATTGAATTTGGCCAAACTGTTCACCAAGTACCTAAATCGGGCGGATATCGGATACGGTTTATTGACGGGTTACATGAAAAAAAAGCTATTTGCGAAGATTAAAGAAACGAAAAATGTTTTACAAGTGTTACAAATCTCAGACTTTTTAGAGAGGAACCTTGTGTAACAGTGTGATTCATTAATGTATAGACACCGAGACATGGATACCTCGATTTATGACCAAGAGCCCATTGCTCAAGTTTAAAAAAAGAGTCTAGACCCTTTGAAATGTACATGTACAACTCCCTTGTCAATCCACTGCTGGATGAGTTCCTCCACACTCCATGTGGGTTACGAGGGTTGTTTTGGCAACGCTGCACGCTGGTCCAGTGTGGATTTGTAAAGGTGGGGAGCATAAAGACGTGGGGGGCAGACACAAAGGAACAGGACCAATATAAGGTCGCACTCATTACACACAAAGTCCTCGCCACAAATGAACCACAATACCTTGCCGATCTCGTCAAGGAGCATAAACTATCACGCAAAACTCCGGACATACTCGCATCAGCAGCGGGTTTTGGCTCAGCCATCGAACAAAGACGGTCATTGCATCGTGCAATTTCAGGTGTGTTTCTGCGGCCGTCTGGAACGCTCTTCCTTCCGATATTAGGAAGCCACTGGAGCTGTGCATGTTGAACTTCTTTCGCACCCTACGTAGTCATGTTGACGCTTCATGAAGCTGTTCACGAGAATCCAGATGACACAGCAGTTGTTAAGGATTGTGTCACAGACGGATCGGTGGTAACCAGTGATTACCAGTGATTGATTCCCGGCCACGTCCAAGATCAGTGGCAAGTGATTCGACGGCTAGAGCCGGTCCGAGACCTCCCAATTCACCAAGCCGCACTGAACCAGCGCGGTGAAGTACGGTTAAAGACCCGTGTGAGTGACGCGGAGTGGTGAAATCGTCATCCAGCAGGGGATTGACCCAAGGTCCGTGCTTGTTAAACTACACACGTTACCCGCTGGTGCCGACTGACGATACGAGTGTAACGTAGTAGCAGCAGCAGTTCGTTGTGTCACGTAACTACACTATACATGAAAGAAAATAAGAAGAAGTTTTTACCCTTTTCTGGCAATAAAACAGGTGTTAAGATGTTCAAACACCAAATGAATAACTTTTTCAAGATATCAAGTCTGCATTAACCACACACAGTACCTGTGGAGAACATGCAAACAAAAACATGCTCTAATAATACTGGTCGGAACCTCCTGGTTCCACCAGCCCACAGGGGATTATTGTGTCCGTCCGTCGTGCATCCAAAAATGGGAGGGGTGGGGCTGGGTGGAGAGGGGAGGGTGGGGAGGGGCTGGGTGGGGAGGGTGGGGCTGGGTGCGGAGGAAAGGGTGGGAAGGGGTTGGGTGAGGAGGGGCTGGGTGGGAAGGGTGGGGCTGGGTGGGGGGTGGGAGGGGTGGTGCTGGGTGGGGGGTGGGAGGGGTGGGGCTGGGTGGGGGATGAGAGGGGTGGGGCTGGGTGGGGAGGGGTGGGGCTGGGTGGGGAGGGGCTGGTCACCCCGTGGTGCCTTTATAAAACTCAACGTTTAACCTACTCACGCCGGCTTGTGCCTGCCTTCACAGTCGGGCATAGTTGCGGAATACACCACGCCGCCGTGGACCCTGGCCATTGACCGAGCAACCCAACGTTCCTACCAGCTCCCTCCGCAGAAATGCGTTATATGGGCATTGTCTTTTAAACTGATTGGCCTACAACACAAACAGCAGCCTTCTTTAAGGCCTTGTCTCACCGGTGTCAGACCAGAGAACGCCAAAAGGCGAACAGTACAGAGACATTGCCACGATCAGAGCATTTCTAGCTCGGAGTGAACAGCTACAAAATGGGACCTTTTTTTGCCAGTATCAAAATATAAAAAATAGGTTGTTACCCTTTCTGGCAATAACACAGGTGTGCTAAGATGTTCAAACACCAATTAGAAACATTTTGCGAGGCATCAAGTCTGCATTAACCCCAAGTACTTGTGGTGAACATACAAACCAAACATGATAATAAAAGTGCATTGCCTTTGAAGTTCATTGGCCTCCACCAGAGCCTTCTTTAGGGCCCAGTCTCACCAGTGTTAGAGAACGCCAAAAGGCCAACAGTACAGAGACAATGCCACTATCAGGGCATCTATAGCTCGGGGTGGGCAGCTATATCATTGCCAGAGAGAGTAAAACCTCTTCTCAGTTTTCATACTTTGATACCGGCAACAGAAATCAAGTCCCATAAGAATATTTATGTTCATGGCGATAGCGATGCTTGGTCAACCGCAGATAGCAAGATACATAAACCACCGGCGAAGTTTGTTGACAAACAGCAGCTTTAATAAGTAATCAAGTGTTGTTGTTGTTGTTGTAGCTGTTGTTGTTGTTTGTAAAGCGATGGTAGTACAGTAGTTGATTCAATCTTAATTTTGGAGCTTTCGTGACTGCAGGAATTATTATTTGGTTCTTTCGGTAAAGTCACGTAAAAAGATAAAATAATAATAAATTAAATAATCGCATTCATTAATTTATTATTTTATCTTTATACGTGACTTTACCGAAAGAACCAAAGAATAAGTAGTAGATTCCCCAAGTAAACGAAGGCCGGAGTGAGTGTGTGTGCATCGTTCCGTCTTGTACCAACCTTGACGGGTGTTCCAAACGGACGCCGCCACTCGCTCTCGCCCACGCGTGCCGACAGAGGGTCTTTAACAATTAGAAGTGTTAGTTTATTACATTCGTAACACGACAACGGAATCTTGAATCTGATTATAACAGAGCGCGGGTGAGCGAAACACGACTACAGTACTCTACTGTACCAATCAAGGCAAACTCGCTGTGATGACGTCACGTCACATGACGCGGCGGGCGGGGGGGTGTGAAAGAGGAAGCGGGGGGAGGGGGCGTGGGGTTAAAGGGCACGCGGAAAGGGTGGGGGTCAAAGAGGAAGCGGGGGGGGGGTCCAAGCGGAAGTGGGGGGAGGGGTCAAAGAGGAAGTGGGTGGGGGGGGTGAAAGTTGCAGCGGGTGGGGGGGGGTCAAAGGGCACACGGAAGGGGTGGGGGTCAAAGAGGAAGCAGGGTGGGGGTCCAAGATAAATTGGGTGGGGGGGGGGTGAAAGTTACAGCGGGGAGGGGGCGGGGTCAAAGGGCACGCGCGGGTCGCCATGGAGACGGAGCCACCCGAGAGACGCCATTGCAGTGCTGCAGTAATTCGTGAGGTCTTTTTAGTCGTTGCGAGTGAAGATTTCGAGTAGAAGATTCAACATTAATGCGCTTTGATACGGGACGTTGTCGAAGCTAGGCAAGTTTAGAATTGCGGCGGTGTTTTGAGTGGATGTCATTGATTCGTAACTGCATCGTGTGAGGAGCGGTGGTGCAGCGGTTAGCGCTACGAACCCGGTGACCAGAGTTCGATTCCCGCTCACGGCCAACACGGGTGACGATTATTTCAACCGGTCCTGGGCCTCCCCTAGGTCGACTCAGCCTCAAACGCGTAACTGGTGTGCTGTGTGAACATCGTCACTGGGGTGACAAAGTCGGCCGGGCGTGGTAAAGCTAGTACCAAATAAATTAAACTGAAAACTTAAATTTTAATCGCAACGGTTCCAAGAGTTACCCTTGCAAAAGTATGTTGCGAGGAAGTCGTACTTCGACGTTTTTTTATAATCGTGAACACCAAGGTAATGTGGGTCTTGTTGATGGTGGTGGTGATCGTTTCAGTGACACTTCTGACGGTGATGTTAGTGATGGTACTTTTAAGTTTTTTATTTTGGTTCAGGTAAAACCAATTGGGCAATAACTGCTTCTTTTCGATGGGGACCTGGTTACAGCAAACAAAAACGTCGACAAAAACACCCTAGTTTAAATAAACCTTACTTTCAAAAAACTTTTAGAGAATTAAATGGGGGTCACAAGACATCTGGGCCACCCTGTTTAATAATGTTCACGATTATGATAACGATAGTGATGCAGATTGAAATTAAGTCATTCAAAAACGTGTTGTTTATGATTATGCTGTTTATTGAGATGATGAAATACAAACTCAACACATTCGTATATTTCTCTTGTGCACCACTACCAATAATTTGTTTAATGATGATAATGATATATTGCAGTCGATTGCCCCTGACAAGAATGGACAAGCGACTGATGCGCCAGGCGGAACACATTTGGGGAGCACTGGATGAGCTAGCCATCTCTGACCCCACCGCCTACAAAAATTTCATCCAGCACCAGCTGAAAGGAGCTCGCATCCCTTCCTCCGCAGCCATACCTGATCCCCGGCAACCAGCCGTCGAGAAGCTCCGGGCAGTCGCAGCCCCGCGTGGGACATTTCCAGCAACGATTCTCACGCGACCGCCTGGCGAAGAAGAGGAGGGCATCGGCGACGGCGAGGAGGGCTCCCGGTTGGCACTGAAGCTCACCGCTTCGCCCGCATGTAAGAGGAGGAACAATGGGAAACTGCTGATTGAGGAACTGCCCACATCTCCGCCGGAGAGGCCAGAACCCACGCCAATTGATTGCACGGAAGCCGGGCTTGCGAAGGAAAGACTGCAGGTGCAGGTGACCAATGGTTTGGCGTGAGGCTCGCGTGCTTGCCATCTCGTTCTGATAGCAGTAATAGCGATCATCGCGCATTTATCTGCGATATTTTGATGCGTCTTCTTGGTTCTTTCGGTAAAGTCACGTAGAATGGAAATAATAAAATAATAAAAATAAACACGCATCAAAATTTCGATTTAAAGCTTTCGTGACTGCATGGATTCATCTTTTTGGTTTTTTCGGTAAAGTCACGTAGAATGGAAATAAGAAAATAAAATAAAGTAAATTTTTTATAAATTTTATTATTTTATTATTTCCATTCTACGTGACTTTACCGAAAGAACCAAGAAGATGAATCCCTGCAGTCACGAAAGCTTTAAATCGAAATTTTGATGCGTGTTTGCCTTTTTGTGTGCGTTTGTGCGAGTGAGTTAGGGTACGTTTGTGTACGTATGCATGTCTTTTTGATTCCTGCTCATGATGTCTCTGAAGGAACCCAAGCACACCGTGCATCTGGAGGAAAGCGAGGACTGTGCTCCTCGATACATAGTGACCGTCTCCCTCCCGGATGTAACCACCATCAACGACTGCAACCTTGGCATCAGCTTTGTGAGCACCTGACGTTTCATTTCACAATTCTCTCCCATTGCACTGTATGCAAGTCGATAGGTTTATGTTGTAAGTCTTCGAGCCTCTATGTGAGTTTTTGGGTCTCTTGTATGTCAGTCTATGGATCTCTTAAGTATGTGTGTCTTGGCTTTTGTGTATGGGGTGTCTATGAGTGGCAGCTTCTTTATAAGATAAATATGCCCACTATTTCTAATACTATAATGTGATGCGCTGCTGGTCAACATAGGCAGTGCAATATAAATAACAAATAACGTATTACATATTTCATTACAGCATCTTGATACGTGGTTTATTTCAGATGCTATATATATCCACATTGTAATTGTATAGTAATGATTGTTTGCATTGGCTGTGTTTTTGGGATCCACGTTAGGACGACCTGCTACTGGAGGTGCCAGGAAAATACCGCTTGCACGTGACCTTCTCTCGACCAGTCGTTGACGTCGCTGGGTCCGCCAGGTTCTCGGCCAGAACGCGGACGCTCACCGTGTCGTTGCCTGTTGCCACGACAACAACCACCTGAGAAATGACCGCCGCTTCCGGCCCAAGCTGCTCATATCAGGAAGACAGCGACAGCATTGCTAGATGCGCAAAATTACACAAGTTTGGAAGAAATATTCGTAGATTATGTAACACTTTCTAACATGCAATCAATTCTCAGAAGTATACAATTAGCAGTGCTGTTTATGCGAGTGATGCGTTGAAAAGAAAGGGCACACAAAGCAAAATTGGCAAGCATAGTCCAGACAGTCATCCAGCCCACAATGCACCAGACCGGACAACTATCTGCCTGCCAAGTAGCGCACACAGTACACAAGCAATATTGTCCCACGCCCGACTGCATAGCCATATATTAGTGAATTCAAATCGCATGCAGCGAATTTGTTGTCGAAATAGATTAGTCACGTATATGCCAAATCGCATAAACCGAACCTGCATACAGTGAGAGAAATCTGTACAGACGCTAATGTTTAGCTGTCTGGGTAAAATGTGTTGGCATATTCTTGGTTCTTTCGGTAAAGTCACGTAAATAAAAAGCAAAAAATTAAAATATAAAAAATAAGAAAATGTTAAAATAATAAATTGTTATTATTTGTATTTTTTTTCTATTTATGTGACTTTACCGAAAGAACCAAGAATATGAATTTGTGCAGTCACGAAAGTATAAAGTGTAAACCTGTTTGCATATTCGATAATATTGGTTCAGACTCCCAGAGGTGTGGGCTATGTTATGGTTAATGAAAAAGGACTGCATTGATTACAGTTACGCTGTATGCAATTGAGCAACGGCTTGGTCTGTTAGTGCAATCATAAATATAATTCAACTCGGAAAGGGACTTCTACAGGATATAATAGACTTGTTAATGTTACCATGCAAACACATTTGGCAGAGCATGATTCTCAATTCATCACATTCCATATAGAAAATACTATTCTGCTCTGTCGACTAACCGCACCATCTAGATGCTAGACGAGTCAATGTTGCTATTTTCTTGAGTATCGAAAATACGGATTGTGACTAGTTAATGGGAACTTAAGCACAGTTGTGTATTTTAAAAATGTAACATTTGAACAAATGCATTGAGGTTTCATATATATTTGTAAGCATTCTAGGAAATAGTACTCTGGAATATGAAGGTCGTTTGCTCTGAAATATAATCGGGTGGCATGTACGGTATTGCCACGATGTTAATTTCACGGTACGATTAATTAAATATCACGATATGATGATTATCGCGATGTCTCCCCGTGTGGTTGCATTTCGCATATTCAACATGTTACCATCTTGTTTTTATGCTACGATGGATTTTAGGCACAAATAATGTTTAACCAAAAAGGTATTCAACTGGAGTTTGCTCAACATAAGCTCGTCGTGAATTTTATCAACTATTATTTTACTAGGTAAGGCCCACTGAGCCAATAGAGCTATTTTTCAGATGAACCTTATGACGGGGTCCCGAATAAGCGGAAGTCAAAATCCTAATTAATTTATTTTTGGCGACTCCATCCCACCGCGCACATAAACGCCGCGACCCACCTGGCGTAGATCATTGTCATGTCCTCGCTTCGCTTGGACGAATGCGCAGAAGAAACACAACTTTGATTAGCACATCGTGTAGAGCTCGTCGAGAGGAATAGATTGCCGTATCGTTCGCCTTTAACAGACATAAATATGACGTCGCAACGCAGTTTATGCAAGAGCCGGGGGCTTATGGGACCCTGGGGTCCCGCCAGCTGGCTACAAATGATAGCTCAACGAAGTGGATTACGTGGAAATTTATAGCAGCCAAATACTCTGAATGCATGTTTATCATTTTATTTGATTTCACCTTTATTTAACCAGGTAAAAACAATCCCTTGAGGTTAAAAACCTCTTCTGCAAGGGGGACCCCTCCTACGTGATTTTACCGAAAGAACCAATAATAAGAGTTAACTATGCATTGAAATATATATTGCGTACATTTACAACCGGCACCAGTGAATGGACCTGAACAATAACGGTACATTTACAGGGTGCTTCAAAAAAATGTGAACACTTCCGAGAATTTGCAACAACACCACAACAAATGTGTGTGCCTCCGGGCCCTGGAGACCACCTGGAGAAGATTCCAGGCACGCGTTGACAACGATGGTGAACAAGTGGGGAGAACCTTTGACTTTTTGAAGCGATTACCATGACGTTTGTTATCGTGTTACAGTGTAGAATTATGCGTTATTTTTCCCATTAAAAACGATAGTCCCGTATAAGTGTTAACCTTTATACAGGTAGAACCTCTGGTTACACCAGCCCACGGATTATTGTGTCCGTCCGTTCGTCGTGCTGGGTGGGGCTGGGTGGGGAGAGAGGGGCTGGTCACCCCGTGGTGCCCTTATAAAACTCAACGTTTAACCTACTCACGCCGGCTTGTGCCCGCCCTCACAGTCGAGCACATTTGCGGAATACACCACGCCGCCGTTGACCCTGGCCATTGACCGAGCAACCCAACGTTCCTACCAGCTCCCTTCGCAGGAATGTGTTTTGAAGCACCCTGTATAAACTAGTCGTCGGTGAATATGAACTTGACCATAGTGAGAAATACAATAAGCGCCTCTTGATGGCCGCTTAACTATAGTGGTAAATCTTGACTTAAAGCTTTCGTGACTCCAGGAATTCATATTCTTTGGGTCTTTCGGTAAAGCCACGTAGAAAAAAATAAAATAATAACAATATCACGACCTTTCAATTGCAACACAAGCAATCGTCAACAGGTGAAAAAATATAGCGGGAGAGCTGCTGAGGCAGGGTGTTATAAAGGTTTTAGATGGGTGTGGCCAAGGGTACATAGGCGGGGCTAGAGAAATTATCCGCCCATTTACCAAGGACAATTTGCAAAGTGATAATTGTTTTTTTTACCCTTCTATCTGGCAACAAAACTGACACCTTTTTACAAGGAGTCATGTTTGCATAGACCGCAATACCTGCAGTGCACATTATCAGAGTTATGTCTTTTGTTTGTATTATGACTGCAGGTATTGCGGTCTATGCAAACATGACTCCTTGTAAAAAGGTGTCAGTTTTGTTGCCAGATAGAAGAGTAAAAAAACAATTATCATTTTTACTGGCAAATGAGGTTCCCATGGAATATGCAAAGTGTTAGGAGATCTCGCGAGAGTGAGAGAGGCTATGGGCGGGGCATAAGCGGCAAGGCGCGCCATACTCTCGCGAGATCTTGGGAGGGGTGAGATCTCGCCCCTTGCCCGCGAGCCCGGGAAACCCCGCGCCTCCCCCCCCCCTCTCTCTCTCGCCTCTTGCACCGCGCGCCATCACGGTTCGTTCCGTCGGGAGCTCCGCCGCTTTCCATGTTGTGTTCGCGTTGTCTTTCCCACCTTGCGATCATCGCCCTCGCGACGAGCGGCGTCGCGCCTCGGTCGCTCGCACAGCGCCTCGGATTGTTTAAATTGTTAAAATATCGCGTGTAAGGTTTGTGCTCCCCTAATTGTTACGGGGGTTATGGCCGGGTTAGGCTTTGTTGAGGCCTTTTCGCCCTCGGGGCACTGAGGCCGTGGTCGTCGTCCTCTCGCGTGCATTGGTTCGGTGCCCCCGAGGCGGATTGCATTCGCAAAACCCCGAGCGGTTAAAATTTTAAACACATTTTTAAAATTGTGTGGTGGGCTGATTGTCTTCTTGACAGATTGTGAGTGTGGATTTACTCTCCCAACGCACCGGTGTGCTGTACTAGTAACGAATTGGTATATTCTGTTTACGTGACAAACCTTACGAATTAGCGGTGGCGGGTTTAACGACGCATTTACACGATATAACCCCAAAGAAAGCCATATTATGGATGCTAATTGTCTTAATTATTGATGTCTTGCCGTTTATTTTATTTGTGGCTGTCTGAGTGGTTTTCATTTTGAGATTTCGTATCGTAAGCCGACAGGTTTGGTGATGTAGATGATGCGAACACGTGGCAGCGTGCAGCTTAACACTCGTTGAGTTTGGGTAGACAATGTAACCTTTCTGTTGGCTACATTAGACATTTTAATCTTGCTTTATGCGACGCTCTTAATGAATACAACTTTAATGTTTAATACATTGCGCTTGTAACACAACAAAACAACACTGAGCGCACGTCTGAGTCGTGAGGTGGTTTAAGTTCATGGCGAGTTCCAAACACTAGCCCCCTATATAACCCATTCAATCACCTTGAATAGTAATAACCGATCTGTGCTCCCCTTGGTGGGTGTCGATTTGTGCTCGGGAACAGAGGACCATTCACACATTTTAACATCTTCGTGCGAGAGCTTGTATGTACAAATATATAGAAACTCCCTGAAGCTGACTTGTATCCTAACTCTGCCGGTCCCCCTCTCTGTGTGTGCTGTGTTTGTGGCCCCGCTACCCCGACCCCCACCACCCTCGCTGCAGATGCCGGGCATCACAGTGAAGGACGTGAACCAGCAGGAGTTTGTGAAGGCCCTCGCTGCCTTCCTCAAGAAGTGAGTGGGCCGCCGCCGCCGTCCTTCCCCCCCGAGCCTCTCTGGGCAATGGAAAATGTTAATTTAACACAGGGACGGGGAACGTTTTTTCTGCCAAGAGCCATTTGGATATTTATAACATCATTCGTGGGCCATACAACATTATCAACTTAAAAATTAGACTGTTATATTTGGTCAAATATTTAATTAACTCCTAATGTGATGGCTGGAACTGCTTCTCTTTGGTGAGGCGTGTGATGTTAGCTGGTGTTGATGTTGCTACTCGCAACTGCTTTTCCAGGTTTGTTTGCTCCTAGATTTATTGAATTTAGTAGTAGTAGGCCTTCGTGACCAATATTATTAATGGTTAAAGTAATTTTTTGGTTGGGTCGCGTAAATATAAATGTGTCTGTTAAACCCGCCACCAGCCGACACATCCAGATAGTAAGGTTTGTCACGTAGCAAAACGTGCCAATTCGTTGACTACTGAAGCTCACCCAGCGTGTTGGAGAGTAAGCTCATAACGTTTACAATTTGAGCACTGATGTTTCGGGGAATGGGAATATCTCGCGCTGCCTCCAACAACAACCAACTAGCATCGTAGGAAACATTGGCGTGTTACCTCGTGCACCAGTTTACGCTATGGTTTTGTAGGAACAAGCAGTTGTACGGTGTGTCTCGGCGTAGCGTCACACAAGGCGGGATGCTGCTGGATGCTTCTAGATGCTACCCCCGATATTTATTATAACGCGATTTTACCACAACGCGCTCTTCTTCAGAAACGCAACTACCACCGCATCATAGGAAAACAGGCTGGATTGAGTTTTTATTATTGACAGAACCAGCCCCCGCCCACGATGCTCGTAATTGAGAGATTGGTGTGTGTGTGTCTCGCCTGTGCTCCAGGTCGGGCAAGCTGAAGAAGCCCGACTGGGTGGATACAGTGAAGTTGGCCAAACACAAGGAGCTGGCGCCCTACGATGGGGACTGGTACTACGTGCGCGCTGGTACGAGCACAATCTTGCGCACGCAACCGAATGTACACTCAACACGCGGGCGTGGGCGCGCACACACCACCCTCCCCACTTCAAGCCGTATAAACTAGTTGGCATGTAATGTACACATGTGGAACTTATTTCACACTGTACGTAGCCAACCGTGCTAATTGGAGGTGCAGAGGTGATGACTACCTAAGCCCAGCGGTTCGATCGCCACAATTCAGTGTATCATTTCGATTCAAGATTCTTTTCAGGGCCCAATCACTGACTCTTCCCCCCCCCCCCCCGTGCCCCGTGGTTCTCCCCAACCTCGCGGGTCAAGCCGTATAAACTAGTTGGCATGTAATTGAGTATCCATAAACCCAGCGGTTCGATCGCCACAATCCATTGTATCGATTTGATTCACGATTCTTATCATGACCCAATTACTGACTCTTCTCTCCCCCCGTGCCCCTCCCCACCAGCCTCGGTGGTGAGACACTTGTACCTGCGCGGCGGCGTCGGGGTCGGCGCCATGACCAAGATCTACGGCGGTCGGCAGCGCAACGGCACCAAGCCGAGCCACTTCTCGCGCGGCTCCAAGAACGTCGCTCGCAAGGTCCTGCAGTCCCTCGAGAGCCTCAAGATGGTGGAGAAGGATCCCACCGGGTGAGAAGCCCAATCCAGCAACCGCACGGACGCCACCGCGCACATTTGCATGGCGACACGGTCACCCGCATCCCCCACGGCGTCGAGCTGGGTTTGCGCGTCATGCCTGCCTGCCAAATCGCCTGCCACCTCAGCCGTAATTGCCCGAGATACGCCGTGATTCCATCATGCTTTGGTTGAAAAGTTTTTCTGGCTGGCTGGTGGGACGGAGTGAGGGAGGCGACGGATGGATGGACACGTATAAAGAAAGTGTGGGCATAGGTTTCAACCAATTGGGGCTGTGCTTCCGATAGACATACTTTTGTCCACCTTTCTTGGCAAGGGAGTAATGCTTACGGTTTTGGACGTGTGCATTCATTTCCTTCTACGTGTAAAATTATTGGTGTGTTCCAGGCTTAAGCCCAGATTGTCAAGAAAGGACACCCCGTACGTATTGGGGCGAATTATACATTTTAACTTTTCAGATTGGCCACTTTGCTTAGCTACAAGTGTACAAGGGGCGTAGTGGCTCGCACACTGGACTATGATCCGAAAAGGTTGGGTTAAATTCCTGCTGCAAGATCACATCAGTGGAAATTGGTATCGATAACCGTTAACAGTACTAGGCCTCTACTGCATTAACTCTGCCTTAAAATTGAGTACCAGAGGACGTTTGTTTATGCAAGTGTCCGTGGGTAGGGGTGCTGTGGCAACTGTGTGCTGTGAGATGCGGCTTACCCATTCTCCACACCAGGCTGTGATTATTCTTGGCAATCGATGTTTCTACGTAGTCTGGGCCTCCCTTAGGTCTCCTCGGCATATAATGATCACTTTACACCAATGTGTCGGAGATATTAGCCGTGGCCTGAAATGTACTCGGGATGCAGGGTTCATAGGGCATTGCACTAACAGCTTGCGCCAAGCGCTTCGTCCAGAATTTAGATAAAGTGCGTATATCTGATTCCGTCTAAGATTGGGTGATCCCATTTACAGATACTGCACTAAATAGTGAGAGATCACAAAGAAAATATAATTTTAGGAAGTCTATGTCAATAACATTCTCTGTAAAGTATCACTTTCATAAAATTCAGTTGCCTGTTGAGAGTCAATGGATCATTCGAAGTCACACTCACAATATCTTAACTCAGGAAATACTCACCGAGTCTCAGACTCTCACGAGGGTTCTGCATCGAGATGTTTGGCATCATTTGCCTTAAATGAGCATTTGGCTTCATGTGGGAGGAAACTCGGCAACCCGGAGAAATCTCACCCATTTGAGAGCATTGCACTCAAAGCTCTGCTCGGGTAGATTTGAAAATCCATCGCTTTACGGGCTTCCGTCCGACCACCTCGCAGCACAGCGTGCCACAATTGTATGTTTGTAAGAGTGCGGTAGTGTAGGGTGGTTTTTTGTTATTTCACACTTTGCATGGGGGGGGTAGATGGGCAGCAGGTGTGGTGGTTTATCCGCACGCTGGGGTTCGGGGCGGGGGAATTGTGTCGCTGACTCGGTGCCGTTTGTGTGTTCTTTTCAGGGGAAGGAGGCTGACACCCACAGGGCAGAGGGACCTCGACAGAATCGCTGGACAGGTACGCACACTCGCACACGCGACAACCACCGTTCGCACCTCCGATTAGCACGTTTGGCCACGTACGGTGCTAAAGAAGTTGAACATACATGCGCCACTTAAATGGTGGCGGTGACGTCCCCACGGCACCTGTGCCAGGGTTAATTGACTGTGCGGTGACTGGCGGCACCTTGATGTGTGTTATCCACCCAGTGGCTCGCTTGTTGTGAGCTATTGTGCACACATACATGCAACGAGTACATTCTAGTAAAACCTCACTCACGTGCTCTTAAGGGGGGGAGGGCTGGTTATATTGAACTCCAGGTGCGCGGGAATAATGAATGTTGCGTCTTCGGGGAAAATTGGGAATGTTATGTTGAGGTTTTACTGTAAACGTGTTTACATGCAAACGTGCATACAAATAATCGCGTATGCATAATACACATGAATGCTCATTTAGCTACATCTACCCATACAGACTTGATCACACAAACATAAGTGGAAAATTACCAACATGGGTGACCCTGAGGGCACGATCAAACCTTTAGACGGTGAATCTATGTGAATGATGGCCTTTGTTTACACATTATTTATTCACCAATCCATGCCGTAGTTTAACCATCTTCAATGGCACCTCACTGCTTTACATATAAACTTGAGCATGCATTTGTCCTTTTGTATTTGCCTGCTTTGAGTTAAATGACTTCTTCATTAAATAAATACACCTTCATGCTGTTCCTGTGTGGAGAAGGAACCTCTACTGGTGCAGTCACGTCCTTGGTTTGCTACAAAGGGAAGTCTTAAACCGCTGTGCGTGACCTGCTCGCATGACGTTGATCATGAACCTGGGCGTTGACAAAGAAAGCAGAACATGATCTGAAAAGTGTGCGAAGAAGGGCACAGCGAGGTGCATGTTGGGAATTATACTGAATAGCTGAAAAAAAAATCGACGACCAGAATGCCGTGTGTCTGAGATGTGGGAAAAAAAATCTGCTATTGTGGAGGAATGGCGTGTTGTCGACTTGTCTAATTGTTTAGTCACCCGTGTGCTTTACTGGCACAGTCGGTGATGGTTTCTCTGGGCAGGGCTCAGTTGCACTGGTTGCCCATTGACACTGAATTCAAGTGGAACTGCGTGTGCTTTTTGTACTCTGGTGTGTGCATGATGCAGGTTGCCGGAGCAACGCCAAAGAAGCACTGAGTGCGCGCACCTGTTCACTCGCATGGAAACCAGATAAATAAAATCCACATTCTCACAATGCTGTCGTCTTGTGTTGGTAAAATCGTGTGGTCGCATTTGTAGAATGTTGTGGGCCGGTCTCGGCCACGATTCCTAAACCTCGCAACCCCTTATCAGTGCCCTACCTTATTAGACCAATTCAGACCTTATTGGGCACCCTGTGCCCTTATAAATCTCAACGTTCATCCTACAAAGTTCCATCACAAGGGAGAAACACAAATAGACCAAAAAATGTTGCCCTTATTGAAACGGCTGTACGTCACATTGACCTGGACTCAAATTACCTGTACAAGAATACGGGTTGACGGGTATGGAGATTCCCCTTTTTCAGAATTTGGTTTCACACATTGCAATCAAAAACGTAGGCGGGACGAAAATTTGACGCGACGTTTTAATTTGTCAGCAACCCGCTTCCTGGCTTTTGCGTTGCAAGTATTTGAAGGCAACTACTGCCCGCCAAGACTCCTAAGTAACGTGGACAGTCACAGAATTGCCACTCGTAGCCAACTGAGAGAAATTGGGCCAACGTGAGTTTACTGGTTTTTAGCCTTACCCATCAAGGAAACCTCTTGGGCCTGATGAGTGGGGCCATCATACGACTGGTCACCATTTATATATTGCGTACACTAAAGATGAAAGCATCCCACACGTGGAACATGTTACACGAGGACATATGCACTCACTGAAAATGGAAAGAACGTGAAACGGGGCAATTTTAGCACAACCATTTTAAAGTCCGTATATATTTACGTGCAAGTCTGCAAAAAAAACTTGGCGCATTTTAACACTGCTTGGACGGCACGCATGGAACTGCAAGCCCAACCGTTGGGAGAAAATCCCGAACAATAAATACATAACACTGATCGCATTTCCCATTCGGTTACCGAAATGCCACAATTTTCAATGTAAAAACGCGCGCAACGGTGAACGGCGCAATTGAGCAGCGGTGAGCGTTGCGTCGAGCCTGCGTGTGGTGGTGGTCTCGCGAGGGTTGCTGGATCAAGCCAAAGATTTGTCAAACTCTCAAACTGACGAGGTGGCCAGAGATGCACAGCGCAGAAAATTCTGCGTTCAAACCGGCCTTGGTGATCCGTTAAACCCCCCATCATCCTCGGGGTTTTCTCTGGGTGTTGCTCCTTGAAAAGGAATTTTCCAAATAGCTCAATCTGCTATACTGAAAGTCTCCGAGGCTCAATGCTTTCCAAGAAATTGCGTTATTGACAACGCTTTGGCTTGTAACAGGAACAAACCAGGCATCTCAATGGCAGTGTAACAAATGGACAATGCGGGAATGAAAGTTGGCTTCCAAGAGGCACTCGCTGTCGTCCAATTATGGCCATGACAAATTTGCAAAACCGCGTTGGATTCTCTGGTGCAGAGCCGGGACCCGATTGTAATGCAGAAATTTAGAAAACCGGTGTGAAATAGCCAAGCTATGCATTATAACTCATTGCAACATTTGTAAACGTAGATCCATAGTTAACTCGGTTATTCACGGGTTGTGAAAAAATGTTAGCGTACGTGGTTTCTGGTTTAATAGTAGAGCCGGGAATAGTTGATTATTCAGCTTAAAAATCGACTTTTGTGATCAATTCATCGGCCACCTTTCGCTGTCGCCGTTCCCACGCCCAATATTCGAAGGCGGGAAACCCCCGTAAAAGACGCTGCTGCTGATGCCCACGACTCCACAAAGTCCCTTTAAGAACCGATAAATAAAACCAAAACACGACCACACGCCATCATGACTTCAACCCCAATTCTGAAATTTTTTTAAAAGCCAAATTTCCGTAAGTATTTTTCTTATTTTTAATTCATCCATTGGCCCCGGATAATTTAAGAGTCCGACTGCTTATCACGCCATCTCGTTAGCGCTTTGGCAAAACGGGAACTTCAACGTCCACGTACCTGTCAACCCCTTATCAGTGCCGACCTTAACAGCGATCCAGACACTTATTGACCACCTCAAATCTCAACGTTCATCCCGCAAGGTCCCATCACAAGGGAGAAACACAAACAAATAGACAACAAAAACACGTGTTTGCCCGTATTGCCACGGCTGTATGCCGTATGAACCTGAACACTCAATTCCCCTGTGCAAGAACACGGAGTTGGCGCGGTACCGCGTTCATAAGCCGGCTCTGCGATGGCACGAAAGGACAAGCGAGGGCCGATGGTAGCTGTTAGACGCTCCGACGCATGATGCACTCAAATATTTTAAGATTTGCGTGACGAGGCTGGCACCCATAGGGCATGTTCGTCCTTAAACCCCCACAAACAACGGCGTCTTTTGGCATACGGCTGTTCGGCACTTTTAAGCAAACGGAAAATAATGGGCAATCTTAACGATGTAACCTTTAACGTCAATTACAGCACTATTACTAAAATGTTTTAAGTTCATAAAAAATCCAGGCGAACCCCTCTTAAATTACGAACCTGCAATTGCATGCACGTGATATGGGAGCACTTAAGGTGACGTGGCAGTATTTGTGAAATTGTTTCTCAACAGCCCAATGGCGTAAAAGTCGTGTGACTCATAACATCGCGTTCACTATCGGCTCCAAACAGTTGTCCGCTTGCATGGAATTCATGACGTGTGGCTTTTACAATCTTCATCATTCACAGCCTACCGAAGGCATTTATCAGCAAGACATGTCTAAGACAGTAAACACTTTTATCCTTTTAAATTTCAATTTAATGCTTTCGTGACTGTAGGGATTCATTTTGTTGGTTTTTTCGGTAAAGTCACGTAGAAGGGAAATAATAAAATAATAAAAAATAAACCAATAAAATAATTCTCACGACGTTTCGTCCACAACGCAAGCAGCCATCCTCAGGTGAAGAACAGGTCTGTCGGAAAGACAGCGTCTGAATGAGCTGCCTTTCTGACAGACCTGTTCTTCACCTGAAGACGGCTGCTTGCGTTGTGGCCGAAACGTTGTGAGAATTATTTTATTATGTTCTATTTTTATTTTTTTATTATTTCCCTTCTACGTCACTTTTATCCTGTCTGCCAGTAGGGCACTTTTCTGAAAGGGTTTAGATTTAGCCGGGCGATGGTGACGCCCGCCTGTAATCCAGCACCGCGGAGGTGATGGTTTGTGGACCGCACAAATGTAGCGAAACTCCCTTGTATTTACATGTAAATATGTATTTACATTTACATGTAAATATACATGTAAATATATATTTGCATACAACGGGAGTTTTGCACCGTACGTAGCCAACCGTGCTCGGTGCTGACAAGCCATACCCTGGCTCGCCAGGAGGCTGTCCAGCCAAAATGTGGACTCCGCCTCTTCCGTCTGTATGGGATCGAACGTTTCCCCCTCGCACGCGTCGGCTTTCTCCGGGTGCTCCGGTTGTCCTCCCACATGTAAACGCTCGTTAATTGGCTGATGACACAAGTTAAGATATGGCGGATCGCAGAGCTTTTGGCAATTGTTGGCGCCGACTCGTCGCGTAGCTGTCTTCCCGTTTGTCTGGCTTCGCGTGCCTCTGAGTCGTTCCCTCTCTTCCAGAGCGAGCCAATGCCTGCGCACGCGACAAGTTGAAATCGTATGTTTTATCCATCCCGTTGAGCTTCCAAATAATGTAAAGTTAAGTAAAAACGGCAATCATTCTTGCTTAAAAAAGGAATTATCTAAACACGGTCTCGGTTTCAGCACTTAAGTCACGGAATCGCTCTGCCTTCACACGTGGGTGAAGGAGGCAGTGGCTGGGTAGGGGAGTGACGATGCATCATCGATGGGCTCTGGATCCATACATGTTGCATGCAATGGGATTGAAGTCACCCCTGCAGCCACTACAGGCCGCTACATTCAGCATCTCTACACCGGTGGCATTTGCACCCTCTACACAGCAGGGGGCGAAAATTTCCCACACGCTGTGCTGTGAGATCGTCACATGACCGTGAAACTCGTAACGTTTTTTTTATTCTCAGAGCTGGAATAAGGCCAAATAAGAGTGTAGACCCCACTTGAATGCGATGCTTTTTGTGTGTGTGTGTGCAGTCATTGTTGACCGGTCTGAGATGATCTACACTTGAGAAGCCAGTTTAGTAACAGGCCTGGATTCAAACCCAGGTTCTCAGCGACGCCGGCTTAGCTTAGCAGCAGCGCCCTGACCACTTGAGCCACCCGGCCACCTCAAGAATCGAATTATATTCAACACTGGAGAATGTAGCGGCCTCTAGTGGCTGTATGGCGGGTCACGTAAACCTATCGTATACGACCTACACGAATCGCATCTTGTGCACGCGACGCGATCGATGTGCCCAATCGATTCAAATGAACAAATCGAGAAGAAAACGCTTCTTTCATTTGGAACCCTCAAATTCATGGCCGGTGACGCAAAACACGACAGAGCGGATTTCACCCTCTAACTTGTAATTTCAGAGGACAACGCCACTTCAGGCGTTGCATGGCTGATCTGCAAGCAGCCCTCACGGCCCTAGCGCTAGACTGCTGATCCGTGTTAACTGCAACCTCTAATGCCCATGTAACCCAGGGATTCTCATAACTCCAGTCCTCATGGCCCGCCATGGCACGTTTTTTCCAATTTGACCAATTTTCCTTTGTGCCAATCCAAAAATGGGTTGGTAACGAGCTGCACACGCTAGACCATTGCGAAACTCCATCGCATGTGACGTAGCGAGCAATGGTTGTTTGAATCAGCCCGTGTACGTCATATGCGACGACTGGGCGGTGGTGAGGTCACCACAGGGCTTGTGCCAGGCTAGGTGCACTATTTTGAGGCCACTTGAAGTGAGGAAGGCTTGCTGCTGGCAGGAGGTCACGGGACAGACCCAGCTATGATGGGTAGGTGCGCCACCCGAATATGGGATCAAGACAAATATCCGCTGTATAGCCGTTACAAACTGTAGGGTCAAGTGCTGTTAGCGAGCACGTTGTAATGCCTGCGCACACACATCTTAAATTTCAATTGCACCGGCACTCCACATTAAATGGGGCCACTGTTTAGCAATAAACAGGCGCATGCAGCGTGTATATATGTTGAACTCCTTTCGCACCGTACGTAGCCAACTGCGCTAATCGGAGGTGCGTAACTACTTGAGTTGCATTGGAATGGAGGAGACTGGTGAGCATGGAAAGGAAGGCCCCGTGGTGGTGGTGGGATGTGAGGAGTGGAGATCGATTAACGCTCTTCTAATCTTACAATTCCCGACAACGTCTACATCTCGAACTCCAAACAGCAATGTGTTCGGGATCCCCCAAAAGCACCGGCGTGTCTTGCACGTACCACAAATGCCCTTGAAGTCCGTGGGCCACGGCAGAAATTGGCACATCATACGGTTGGCGAAAAGCTTTTAGCCGTGCCATTTTCTTCACGTGGCTAACTACTGTGAACCGTGAAAATTATCAAATGTCACTCAAGTTGTGCAACCTCGGGTGAAACAAGTGCTCTGATCGGGAGGTCGATCGGAGGCTCGGAACGAACGAACACCGAGGAGAGGAGGCTTTGGCGCACGCTGGCATCAGGAGGCGGGCGAGTTGCTTGCGCTGGCGCTGGCTGCGTGTGGGGGGGCGGCCACGGCGAGGGGGGCGCGGGGGCCTGCCGAGGTCGGCTTGGTTCCCGCGCGAGCGTCCCGCGCGTGCGACGCCCTCCCTGACGACTGTGACGCGCGGACAGACGCACGGACAGTCACACGGGCGGATGCACGAACAGACGCACGGGCAAATGCGCGTTCAGACGCACGGGCAGACACACGGACAGACGCACGGACAGACGCACGGACAGACGCACGGACAGACGCACGGACAGACGCACGGGCAGACGCACGGACAGACGCACGTTCAGACGCACGGAGAAACGCGCGTTCAGACGCACGGGCAGACACACGGGCGGATGCACGAACAGACGCACGGCCAGACACATGGGCAGATGCAAAGTCAAACGCGTGGGCAACACGTCTATAGGCATGTGACGATCATTATTATTCCTGTATTCTAAATAATACAAACTCACATTCGCCAATAACACCGTGGCCTTAAAAGGAAAAATGTCCAATGTGCGACGTTTCAGGTAATGGCCCTTCTTCAGAGCACACGATGTGTCGAGCGTTTGTCACTTCTGCTGGTAGAGCTGTCCGACATACACAAGTCAATGTGGTGGTGTTTTGCACCCTAACGACACTCACGCGTGCGTAGGCGTGCTTTGCGAGCTGGGGGTCAGGAAGTGACCATCACCTCACCTCCAGGAGGACCAGGATGCTTTGCTCTAGCGTGTCCAGGGTGTGCTGCCGCGGGTCGTGGGAAGACAGCCCTCGCCTCAGGCTGCCCAGAGACTCGCGGATCAGCTGTGGACGCGAGGGGCGAGGACGCGGGTGGGTTTCATTATTGTCCCCCCTTTTACTCAAAAGGGGAAGGAAAATCACGCAATGGCGTCGTCTGAAAAGCTGATTAGCACGGTTGGCTACGTACGAAAGAAGTTCAACATAAATTTCGATTTAAAGCTTTCGTGACTGCAGGGATTCATCTTCTTGGTTCTTTCGGTAAAGTCACGTAGAATGGAAATATTTTGTTATGTTTTATTTTTATTATTTTATTATTTCCATTCTACGTGCCTTTACCGAAAGAACCAAGAAGAAGCTCAACATACGTATGTATGTAGCCAACCGTTTGACCAGCAAAAGGTTGTTGTGACGTCACTCACCGAGTGGTTGGCATGGACGTAGCTGTGGCTTGCCGAGGTATGTCCGGGATTGTGACCGGGCGAGGTGAGGCCGGAGGGGCGGGCTGCCCCGTTGGAGCAACTTCTCCTCTGCGAGCGTCCCTCCTCCCCCTCCCTCCTCCGCAGCGTTGCCTCCCTCTGACAAACACACAAAACATTGGCAAAATCATTGCCAAGCGGCAGCGTGAACGCAATTCGTTGGCACGCGTCGTGACGGTTTCTAGTTGCGGCAGCTACATACTCCTTCCCTTTATTAGTGCTACCCCTATCCCGTCCCTTTGATGCTGCTAGTCCTGTACAATGCACGGGCATAAGTAGTATTAATCATATACCTGCATTTCCCATAAATGTGCCCATAAATATGCAAAATTTCTCTTGATATGCAAATTCTTCTGTCAAGGCGCCCTTCCCCCCCCTTCCAACCCAGCTTAAATATACGCTCCAAGCATGGTGCTGTTTCATTCAGACGCTGTCTCCCCGACAGACCTGGTCTTCACCTGATGATGGCTGCTTGCGTTGTGGCCGAAACGTCGTGAGAATTATTTTATTATGTTTTATTTTATTATTTTTATTGTTTCCATTCTACGTGACTTTACCGAAAGAACCAAGAAGACGTTACTGATCTCATCAAGGAGCATAAACCATCACGCACATTTCGGTCGTCCTCGCAGCAGCGGCTTTTTGCTCAGCCATCGAACAAAGGCTTCGCTGCATCGCGCCTTCAGATGCGCTTCTACGGCCGTCTGGAATGCTCTTCCTTCCGATATTAGGAAGCCAATGGAGCTATGCACTTTTAAATATAGATTGACAACTAATTTCTTGACATATGCGTTTTGTGTTTAGTTTTTTGTGGAGAGGCGCACGCTTGGAATTAACACTGAGAGACAGGAAGGGAAACGCATTTTTTCGAATTCGGTACAAAACTCGATATTTCAAGAGCCGCAATGCATGTGAATACATACATGCACACATTACGTCACGTAGCAGTCCGTGAAGAGTTGCATGCAGCTCTAGAGCCACAGATTGCCGACCCCTGGGTTAGACCGTTAAGAAAAGTAAATAGGGCACCGCAGTAGCGAAATGTTAACTGCCTCGCCTGGTACACAGGAGGTCGTGAGTTTGATCCCGACCCTGGCGATGCCTGTATATTTGAGTTTGCACGTTCTCCCCGTGGTCGTGTGGATTTTTCTCCTGGTTCTCCATTTTTTTCCCTCCACGTTTAGACATCAACATGCGTTTTGAGCATTTGGCTGCTTTACATTTCCACATGATAAGCCACTTCTTTGAGCTGTCGTTTGTGGCCAGGTCGCTTCTAAAAAAAGAGCTACGGAGCTCAGTGGGCCTTAAAAAAATAGTTTAGTTTCGTAAATGGGCTTGGACAGGATGCTTCGTAATGAGGAATTATTGCCGGTGGTCAAGACCAAGGATGGATTGGTGAACCGCCAGATGTTATTGGCGGTCACGTCAACGCACGGGGGGGGGGGGGGGGGGGGGGCGGTGGGGGCGCTGGCTCGCCATGGCAGCCGCTGGCTGGGGCCAAAAACGTCTCTTACCCTGAGCTCGGAGATGAGGGCGGATTTCTCTTCCAACTTCTTTTGCAATTCAGCCTGCAACAAAAAACGCGACAACGCTTTGGGGCGAGCATGACCGTCGACGTGACAACAGACGCTTCCTATTAGTTGGTTTATCGTAGCCAATGCTGCGATCCAGTATATCTGTGTTTGGCTTCGTGCCGCGCGCCTCTGATTAGCACGGTTTGGGCTTCGTAACGGTGCGAAAGACGTAATAGCCAGCGAAACGTCAGGGAACTCGAACTGTAAATGTCGTGGGGTTTACTCTCCGACACACTGGTGTGTGCTGAAGTCGTAACTAATTGGCAAGCTTTATTTACTTGACTAACCTTATTCATTGGCTGCGTGTCGGGTGACGGTGGGTTAACGACACATTCATATTTACGCGATCTAACCTTTATTAAAAACCTTCATCGTGAATACATACACACGGCAGAAGTGTTAACGGCAAGAATTGCAGCACTTGAAAACGATTACGTGGCCTCGCCCGAACGAAAGAAAACAAACGCGGATGAAGCTTCCAGATAGCGAGCGGTGGGGAGCGCGTGAGGGGGGGCCCTTACGTTGTGATGCACGGCGCTCTCCCTCTCTATGTTGGCTCGCAGCAGCTCCTGTTTCGCCTGCAGCAGCGTGGCCTCCTGCTGCGTCAGGCAGCTCCGCAGGCCATCCTGTGTGCCGGCAGGAAAACAAAATAAACATCCCCCACCACCCACCAAAGACCACCGCGACGCCGGCACGCAACGGCTCACTCTGGCGAATGACGTCTTCACGTTCCACCGTTCCGTTCTGTTCTTGCATTCACCAATGCGTGAAGGGGCATACGGCAATATGCCAAGTCCGTTTACACAACGCGTTTTCACTGGAAACGCGGTTGTAACGGTTAGGAATGCTTTTCGTTACGGTTATTACACCCACAGTATCATTACGGTTATTACACCAACAGTATCATTACGGTTATTACACCAACAGTATCATTATGGTTATCACACCGGCAGTATGATTATGGCTATCACACCCGCAGTATGATTAAAGTTATAACACCCACAGTATCATTACGCTTATCACACCCACAGGATAAATACGGTTATTACACCCACAGTATCATTACGCTTATCACACCCACAGTATCATTACGGTTATCACACCGGCAGTAAATTTATGGCTATCACACCCGCAGTATGATTACGGTAATAACACCCGCAGTAGTAACCAGGGCAGCCTGCTGGATTCGAACGGAGAAAGCGCCACCGCAAGCGGCCTCACCACGACGCCCTTCGTGTGCACGCTCTCTTGTTTCCACTTCAAGACGTCTTGCTGGGGGGGGGGGGGAGGGAACGGGAGGGGGGGGGTGGCAATGGTTTTAGGAGAACAAATACGTCTCATCCAGCAGTGGATTAATCTTGGTTGACATCCCGTTGACACTACCGCATTGTACCCTTTCTCTTTTAGAACGAGGTAAGAGATTGCTGCCGGCTGAGCACTCTGACTTTGAAGCCAGCCGGCTACCTACGCAGCATTGTCCGTTGGCCAGCTCTCACACCGAGCGGCCCGGATTCGATTCCAAGTCTTGGCCAACATCGGCGGTGAGTGATCTCTGCACCCACCACCCCAAGCTCACCAAGTCGCACTCACCAGCGTGAAGTATGGTCAAACGACCCCCGTGACTGACACGACTCTGGCGCGGGGGCTTCATGCAGCCGTGGACTGACAAGCGGCTGGAATTATATTCATAATAATTATAATAATTATCTCGGCGAGAGGATAGCCTTGGAGAGACGCCCACCTTCAGGAGGTGGCATTCCTCAGTGGCCTGATGCAGTCGGCCCTGTAGGATGATCTGCAGGAAGAGGAGGCCCACGTCAGTTCACGATTAAATCCCCACCGACAGCAAAAAGCAACGACAACAATTTAAATCTGCAGGACGTCTCAATCCCCGGCAGATTTTTTTGCGCGCGTTTAGTTTCTTGTCCTTCCCCCGCACCTCCGATTAGCAAGGCTGGCTACGTACGGTGTGAAAGGTGTTCAACATGCACATTGCAACACGACGGTAAAAATCTACGTGAGGGTGGAATGGCGGTGGGGTTAGGATCAGGGCAGGGACACGAGGGAGAGGTGAGAGAGAGAGAGACATTGCGGCGCAGCGTGGGATGCAGAGACGACAACAACAACGTGGCAACAACTACACAATACAATAACAACACAGCGACAACAGCAACAACGAGCCCCAGGCACAGCCAGGGCAGCCAGAGCAGAACTAACGAGCCCCCCGGGAATCTTCAAGGGGCCCCGTGCCTCTTCACTATCCACTCCCGGCATGAGCTCTCTGCCGTTGTTTTTCGCGGGCGGGTGCCGATGTCTCCCCCCTCACCGTCTTTTCCCAGGCGTTGTCCTCGGACAGCTGCAGCTGAAGCTCCTCTTCCTCCTCCTCGGAGAGAATTCCGTTGAGCAGCACGGCCTGGTGAGGCACACAAAGACGAAGATCCCCCGTCCAGCAGCACACACGCAGGAACGATCGCGAGACCTTTTTTTTTTTGGTTCAAAATTATTTTCGCGTCATCTGATCAGCGGCGGCGGAGCGATAGAACCGACGATCGGTAGCATCATCGGTTTACTTCAACGTTCGCATCGCAGCCCCGGCGCCAGTTACCTGCAGAGAGTTGAGCAGGTTCTGCACGCCTCTCACATCAGCCTCCCAGCCGACAGCCTCCAGAAAACCCCCTGCAACAAGACGCCAGGCAACATCACGACGCACGTGGACACTCCCTGCCACTTCTTAAACTGCTCATCTCGGATTTTGTCATCGGGTATTATGCCAGTAACCGTGGAACTTTTGGGCCTCAAGTTGGTGCCATGATGACGTCATGGCACCCACTTAAGGACCCGGATGAGGAAGTTATTCCGCGCGAGAGCAGAGCTTTTGTCAACACCTGACGATGATGAAACGTTTGGGACATATTAATTAATAAATGTCGATAATAAGGACCCCACCACCCCGACCCACCCACCACGCGTTAACGCGTACACGAGGGAGCTGGCCTGCACTTTTCAAATTCACATTTGCGAGCGTGAATTGTCGCACGACTGCGATCGTCTTACCGCCATCCTCGGAGTAAATGCGCAACCGCTCCTTCAGCGTTGTTCGGCCTTGCTCCGATTGGCCGGACGTGTCGGTCACGTGATCCGCCAGGGCCACGGCGATTGGCTTGATTGACGTGGCATCGCATTGTGACCTGAGGCATAGAGACGGACGGCCCCACCGTTAAGTACGCACGTTTGCGGGTAAAACACAAGCCAATGATTACTTTTTAATGCAAATCTTCCCGTGTCTCGACGTAATTCCACGCAGCAAACTCTCCACCTTTTCCTGTATGGACTCTCTTCAGCTTGTTTCACTGGGCCCAGGTGTCATACACAGCAGGTGGTACACACCGATTAAAATAAACCATATTCTTTCAGACACGTCGCTCTGTTGATTGGCACGATGTTCAGACTTTCACAAGCACTCCAAAGCAGCTTTCCACTGGTTCGATCTCAGTCCACCGTAACAATGGCCTCGGTATACACGCTCAACTGCATTTCGCGGCCTTGAAAGGAAAAGCAAATGAACGGGCGACGTTTCGGGGAAATGGCCCCTCTTTTCCAGCACATCAAATAAAAAGGGCACCGCTTCGAATGCCACCTCTTGTATACTTTTCATATTAAGAAACGCGTTGGGGTTTTTTGTCACTTGTGCTTCAATGCTGTATTCAGCAGTGCAGTTCTCTCCCTCCGACAGATAGCTTGAAGACCGTTGAGCAAACTGATCGGACTACATTACTTCTTTAACTCACGTGCGTGCCTTATGCACGTGTACGTGTACAGGATACGCACGCACCCTCGACAGAGCCGGAGCGATCCTCCCCCCTGGCATTTCGGTGAATTGAGACGATTCAAGATCTCGGTTCGATTCAGGAATCAATAGATTTTTTTGACACTGCGGTGAGTGTAGCAGCCACTGCTGGCTGCAGGGGTCAAGGTCATCTCTTACACCTTGCTGACAACAAATATTAAAAGTAAAAAAACGTATAATCTTCGATGCAGGTATCGTGAACTTAACGATGGATTACATAATGCAGTGCTACACCCTTAATCAAGATCACCATCATAATCGTCGCCGTCATACTACTATTGATTAACTGGAAGATGTTTTTGCAACGCACTCCTTATAAATTGAGAAAAGAATACAACAAAAACATAACAAAACAATCCCTCTCTCAAAATCCAAGTTTGTCTTGCATGACCCGACCTGGAGAGCGGCCAACAATGTTTATACGGAGAGAGAGATAGATAACCTGGCTCAGCGACCGCCACCTCACTGCCATCTGCGAGTCGAAAAAATCAAAAGCCAGTTTGCGAATACGGGAGTGTGCGCAACAGTGCGTGCTTGGCCAAGGCGAACAGAGGGAGTTGTGGATTGCAGGCTCTTCATAGTCCACGCGTTGTGGTGAATGGGTGGCTTATCTGACGTGTCCGAATGAGCGTTCGTCTTCTGAAATTATTTATTGAGCAGAGAAGTCAGAGCACAGTGAGCGCGCGCGTGTGTGTGTGTGCGCACGCTTGTGAGCAGTCCTTTTCGTGTGGTTACATCTCTGGATTATGGGCACCCCAGCAATCAAACTGACAGAAACTTTTTCGAGTGGAAGTCTGCGTCAATGCTTTCACCCTTCAGTTGGAACGCGTCAATAAAAATGCTCAACCAATCAAAAGTTCCACCTCCACTGCACTTGGAGCCGTCATCTGTTCCACTGCAGACCGAACCCCGACATATTTTCTCAGCCATCACGAGGTCTGTTGTCAAACCTGCGCAGTGATACCGTAACAAAGTTCGACACAACACCGGTATCGGATCTCTGTACAAATCAATTCCTGCCGCCTCACTCACAGATGCCAATCCCCGGACAGGTGGCAACCCCCCTACAGCGCTCCCCCTGTGGTTACCGTGGCGACGCGGGCGTGTCCCCGGTGACCCCGTGACCCCGCTGACCCTCGTAGTGACGCACGCGATCACGGACGCTGCGGAAGGTCACGGCGCTGGGGGAACTGGGAGTCTCGGGAAGTCCGGGGGGTGCGGAGTCCTCACTTTGTGGGGGGCATGGGGGGACCCTGAGGGAACAAAGACAGCTGTGGAAGAATGTCCTCTCTTTTTTTTAAGGCGCCACGGTGGCGAGATGCTATCTCCCTCGCTTGGTACGCAGGAGGCCGTGGGTTCGATCCTGACACTGTTGACGATACCTGTAAATTGAGTTTGCACGTTCTCCCCGTGGTCACGTGAATTTTCCTCCTGGGACCTCAGGTTTTTCTTTTCACAATTGGAATCAACATCAAGCGCTTAAGAGTATTTGGCTGCTATACATTTCCGCGTGATGAGCCACTTCGTTCAGCTATCATTTGTGGCCATGTCGTTTCTGAACAAGAGCTATATGGCTAAGTGGACGATAGGGTCAAGGTCCTGAACTCATTCCTTCTTCAATATGATTTTATTTTGCACGTCTACATGAATCTTATGCATTTTAGCCGGGTTCCCTGGGATGTCCAAAGTGAGTTTGAAGCTTGATTAATGAGACTAAAAGACTTTAACCTCAGTCGGGCACTCAGTCATAACACTATACCTACGTCACGATATTGACTATTTGAACTTAATTGAAGTGACTCGACTTTGACTTAAATGTCTTTCTCTAATCGTGTCCGTACAAATACAAACTAAGTTGTGAAATGCCACACGCACCTCATGATCACTAAACACGTCCCAGTGCTATTCGTGAGCACCTATGAAGGCCGGAACGGCACACTAGCGGGTGAGGTGGCCAACACCACGCCAGGCCGTCTTTGTTAAGACACCGCACCAGGTACTCATTTGAGGCCGAGTCGACCTAGGGGAGGACCAGGACCAGTTCGTATCACCGGCACCAGGGTTTTGGGCATGAGCGGGAATCGGGCTCAGGTCGCCGGGTTTGTAGCGCAGCGCGATAACCGCGACGCCATCGCTCCCCACTACTGTGCTACGCACGCACATAAAACACACAAGGTCTCCAGCTTATACCGAATCAGCAGCACTCTTTACGGCAAAAAAAAATAAAAAACTGTTTACCAATCACCAGGCACGCGCAGCATGGAAATCGAGAGTACATATTTTTTACGGTGAATATCGGTAAACGCGGAGAGAGGCATGCTGTCGCAGGCCACGAGAACCGAAATTTTCAACTATAAATTATTTTATTTTTACCAGGTAAGGCCCCACTGAGCAATTTAGCTCTTTTTTAGAAAGACCTGGCCACAAATGATAGCTCAACGAAGTGGCTCATCACGTGGACATTTATAGTGGACCCGGAGAAAATTATTTGCGACCACGGGCAGAGACACCGCGGGCAGAGACACCGCAAACTCCAAACATACAGCAGGCGTCAGGGTCGGGATCGAACCCACGACCTCCCGCATACCAGGCGAGGTAGTCAACATCTCGCCACCACGGCGCCTAAAATATCTGGCCGCAAGGGGGGAGCAGACGGCAACGTCGCCCCCCCCCGTTCGCCACGGAGCCCGGACGTCGACGACGACACCACCTGCGCGTCCTCTCACCGGGCCTCACAGATGGCAGCGGGGCTCTGCGCCATGGAAACGGCGGAGCGCGGCGCGCGATTGGCCATCGCCGTCGGCGACGAGGCCTCGTCCACGCCGGAGCCCGAGTATCGGCGCCTGTGATTGATCGGCTTGAAGTGGGCGGCCAGCGCAAGGACGACGCGCATGATTGGCTTCAGGTTGCCGTCGATGATGTCTGTGGAGGTGGGTAGGAGGGGGGGAGTGGGTGGTTGAAAACTCAACACATTCGCAAAAAATAGTGTGGCCTTAAAAGGAACAATATATAATAGGTGACGTTTTGGTCAATAGCCCTTCCATTGCTTTACTATTTTATTTAGCAGGTAAGGCCCACTGAGCTATTAGCTCATTTTCAGAAGCGACCTGGCCACAAATAATAGCTCAACGAAGTGGCTTATCACGTGCGGGAATTTATAGCAGCCAAATAATATAGACACAGAGAAAAATCCACACGCCCACAGAGAGAGAGACACGCAAACTCCAAATGTGCAGGTGTCAGGGTTGGGACCAAACCCACGACCTCCTGTATACCAGGCGAGGTAGTTAACGTGGCGCCCTCGAGGAGGAAGTACAGCAAGTAGGTGTATTTATTAATAACGGTGATTGAGGTGTGAGAGTGGTTTAGTGGTCAGAGACACTAAGCCAGCACTGATGAGATCCTGGGCACCCCTAGGCTACTATACATTGAGGAGATGCACAGTGTACAGTTTGCCTCCATTGCCCCGCTCTGTCCTGCTCCCCGTGTTCTCAAGCTCATGCAAACGAGACAACAGAAGTAGGTGGGTGTGGATCGATGCGCTGAAATATTTTGCTATCGTAGCCGCCCCGTTCTTCTATCTTCGCAGACGGCCGCGTCGTCGCGCGGACTCACGGTGCCCCCGCCGCTGCTGCTGCTGCTGCTGCTACTGCGCTATTGTTGGCGCGCCAGCGTCATCGCCGCGCCACTGCCCCGCTCACCTTGCGCAGACGTCTGGTGCAGACGCACGCCGCGGCTCGCGATGAAGCCCAGAACGGCCTCCACGTTGTCCCTCGCCTCGTCCGCGGTGCTCGGCGTCTCGTGGACATGCACGTGCACGCCCACTATGGGGAAGGGCGGGGAGGGAGGAACCACGGACGAGCGGGGAAGGCAGCAGCAGCCACGCTGTGAGCCTACTCTACCAACAATTGCCTGAGTTCTGCGATCCTCTATATGTCAAGGTGTTATCGGCCATTTAATGAGTGTTTACATGTGGGTGGAAACAGGAACACCCAAAGTAAACCCATGTATGCGAGGGAGAAACGCTCTATCCCATACAGACACAACAGGTGGAGTGCACATTTTTGCTGTGCTGCTTTCTCCTGCAGAGCCAAGGTACGGCTCCTCCTCAACGCCCACGGGGAAGGGAGCATCGCAAAATTTGTGCGGTGATCCACCTACCCTCACTGCCTTCAGCGTTGGATCATAGGCCACGTGCATGATCGCCACCACCACCTAGCGATAAAAAAACAAATCTCGAAACCTTACTGCTCTCCCGCGTCGAGGAGATATCCAATCAACTCTCGCTACGACTGCCGTTCACAGGGAGAGGACGCATGCCGGGCGTGACGGTCGTTGTTTTTCGGCCTCTCTCCCCTCCGACGTCAAGAGCCCTGAGAATTCTCCGTGCGACCCAAAGAGACCGGCGGGGAAAGTGCTGGCGATAGCGAGCGCCTATTAAAGCCAGCATGGCACCAAGCCGAGCCGTTGTCGTCTTCTCAGTGCTATTACGCATCGTAGTGCGACTTACGCGCCACAAAAGCAGCTCTGTGGCGCGCGGGAGCCACTGAACGTTTGTGCTACAAGGCATCGCGTCGCCACGGGACGACGACACTTCACTTCGGAAGTGGCCTCGCCCTGCGCCAAGAGAACGGCCTGGGAAGAAGACGTCGCGGAACTACCGCCTGAGGTGACTCGAGCGGGCCCCACGGCCGCACGGGGGAGCACGCGTTGCGACTGGCCCCCCAGAAGAGTGTTTGTAGCATGACAATACAACCGAAAAGGGTTAGGGCCTCGCCGCTGGGATACGTATCATTTGGCAAAGAGGACCAAAGTTGACTCAATGGGTAGTCATTGGCGACCGAGCTGAGATCGTCAACTCACTGCGTGTGACAAATCACGTTTAAACACGGGTAACTCAAACTTGTATTCCAATTTAAGAATGCAGCGAGCGGTGCCATGACACGGGCATTTCAAACGCCTTTGAACCATCGAGGCACCACCGCCTCCTCCCCTCCCCTTGCTCTCACATTTAGCGGGTGCCGTGCATTAAGAGTCTCAATGAAAGCATTCCTATTGGCCTCCTCCGCCGCTGAACATAGGACGGCCTTTGTTCCACCAGCGCCACCTCGACCATGTAATGCTACGGCTGGCAAAAACCTCATCGGCACGAGATAACACGAGCACGCACGAAAATAGACAAAGATCCCCTGTGTAAGCTTAAAAGACTGTTGGGGCAAGTGTTGTTTGCGAACACCTGTGGAGGCTGGAAAGGCACACGAGGGGGTGGGTGGCCAGTACCACGCCTGGCCGCCTTTACACACCGCACCAGATACTCATGTCAGGCTGAGTCGACCTAGGGGAGGTCCAGGACAGGTTCAGATAATCATCACTGGTGTTGGCCGTGAGTGGGAATTGAACTTGGGTCGCCGGGTTCGTAGCGTAACGCAATAACCGCGACACACTGGAAGAAAACCCACGTGTACGAGGGGGAAACTCTCTATCCCATACAGAAGGCACAGCCAGAGTCCACACATTTTCTGCACTGCATTCTCCATGTCTCCGTATGTCAGTCTCAATGTTAGTATCCCCGTGTCCCCACATCTCCGTGTCCCCATGTCCCTGTGTCCCCGTGTCCCCATGTCTCCATAACAGTAACCCCATGTCCCTGTCTCTGTGTCCCCATGTCCACATGTCTTCATAACAGTAACCCCATGTCCCTGTCTCTGTGTCCCCATGTCGCCGCATGTCTCGCGTGTCCCCATGTCCCTGTGTCTCTCTGTCAGTGTCCCCGTGTGTCCCTGCGGTCCCCATATCCTTGTGTCTCTCTGTCAGTGTCCGTGTGTCCCTGCAGTCCCCATATCCCTGTGTCTCTATGTCAGTGTCCCCGTGTGTCCCTGCGGTCCCCGTGTCCCTGTGTCTCTATGTCAGTGTCCGTGTGTCCCTGCGGTCCCCATGTCCCTGTGTCTCTCTGTCAGTGTCCCCGTGTGTCCCTGCGGTCCCCATGTCCCTGTGTCTCTCTGTCAGTGTCCCCGTGTGTCCCTGCGGTCCCCATGTCCCTGTGTCTCTATGTCAGTGTCCGTGTGTCCCTGCGGTCCCCATGTCCCTGTGTCTCTCTGTCAGTGTCCCCGTGTGTCCCCGCGTCCCTGTGTCTCTATGTCAGTGTCTGTGTGTCCCTGCGGTCCCCACATCCCTGTGTCTCTATGTCAGTGTCCCGTGTGTCCCTGCGGTCCCCATGTCCCTGTGTCTCTATGTCAGTGTCCCCGTGTGTCCCTGCGGTCCCCACATCCCTGTGTCTCTATGTCAGTGTCCCCGTGTGTCCCTGCGGTCCCCATGTCCCTGTGTCTCTATGTCAGTGTCCCCGTGTGTCCCCATGTCCCTGTGTCTCTATGTCAGTGTCCCCGTGTGTCCCTGCGGTCCCCACATCCCTGTGTCTCTATGTCAGTGTCCCCGTGTGTCCCTGCGGTCCCCATGTCCCTGTGTCTCTATGTCAGTGTCGCCGTGTGTCCCCGTGTGTCCCCATGTCCCTGTGTCTCTATGTCAGTGTCCGTGTGTCCCTGCGGTCCCCATATCCCTGTGTCTCTCTGTCAGTGTCCCCGTGTGTCCCCGTGTGTGCCCATATCCCTGTGTCTCTATGTCAGTGTCTGTGTGTCCCTGCGGTCCCCACATCCCTGTGTCTCTATGTCAGTGTCCCCGTGTGTCCCTGCGGTCCCCACATCCCTGTGTCTCTATGTCAGTGTCCCCGTGTGTCCCTGCGGTCCCCATGTCCCTGTGTCTCTATGTCAGTGTCGCCGTGTGTCCCCATGTCCCTGTGTCTCTATGTCAGTGTCCGTGTGTCCCTGCGGTCCCCATGTCCCTGTGTCTCTCTGTCAGTGTCCCCGTGTGTCCCCGTGTGTGCCCATATCCCTGTGTCTCTCTGTCAGTGTCCCCGTGTGTCCCTGCGGTCCCCATGTCCCTGTGTCTCTCTGTCAGTGTCCCCGTGTGTCCCTGCGGTCCCCATATCCCTGTGTCTCTATGTCAGTGTCCCCGTGTGTCCCCGTGTGTTTCCCCGTGTCCCTGTGTCTCTATGTCAGTGTCCGTGTGTCCCTGCGGTCCCCATGTCCCTGTGTCTCTATGTCAGTGTTCGTGTGTCCCTGCGGTCCCCATATCCCTGTGTCTCTCTGTCAGTGTCCCCGTGTGTCCCCATATCCCTGTGTCTCTATGTCAGTGTCCCCGTGTGTCCCTGCGGTCCCCATGTCCTTGTGTCTCTATGTCAGTGTCACCGTGTGTCCCCGTGTCCCCGTACGTAGCGCCAGTAGAAGGTTGGCGAGCGCCGTGCCATCCCTCATGTCCGCTCGCAACTCTCGGATGGGCGCCGCTCCTGGCACGCGGCGCAGCTGCCCGTTCACCCAGCACACGTACGCCTGCAGCTGGGACTGCATGCACACAAAGACGAAGATCCCCCCCGTATTGCCTTTTTAGCAAACGTTCATCTGAGGACGGCTGCTTGCGTTTTGGCCGAAACGTCGTGAGAATTATTTTATTATGTTTTATTTTTATTATTTTATTATTTCCCTTCTACGTGACTTTACCGAAAGAACCAAGAAGAAGGGAAAGCGTTGTTCGCGAATAGCACCTATGCAGGCCAGGCACGGCGCACGAGAGGGTGGGTGGCCAGCACCACGCCCGACCGCCTTTGTCTTCCCAGCGGCGATGTTTACACACTGCACCAGGTACTCATTTGAGGTCGAGTCGATATAGGAGCAGCCCAGGACCAGTTCAGATAATCGTCACTGGTGTTGACCGTGAGAAGGAATTGGGTCGCTGGGTTCGTAACCACGGCACTACGGCACCCCTTCAACAGACTCTTCTTCAACACACAACCATACTCGCACACACACACATACGTGGGCATACACGTGGCTAGGAATCGAACCCAGCCTCCCATCTCGTCGGCTCAAACGATCGCACACCTCCATTGATTGACGTTCCATTGACCCTGACCTCCTCAGAGAGTGACTCCCACAGACGTTGAGTGCTATGGATTTGGTGTCGAATGACACCAACCCGACCCTGGGCTTCGAGACCCTAACCCTGCCTGCACGAGGCATAACGGTGCCAGTGGCTGTGGCGGGGGTGGTGGTGGTGGTGACATTCGAGGCAAGGGAAATTGGGACCAGATGGTAACCATGGTAACTGGTCACATGGGGGTGCAGGCGGGTAGCTGGAGTTGGTAGAAGGTTGGGGGGAGGAGGGGGTGGTGGTGTGGTGCCAGGGCAGGAAGGTGATTAGCCAAAACAGCCGCAGCTGTTATCTGCCTGACCATAAGCCATTTCATACGGAAGTTATTTTAAAAGGCTCGAAACTTACGCCATACAGGACCAAGAGTATGGGACTCTTAAAGGTTGGATACTTTCGATGTACAGGACTACGATCACGGGGCTCTTAGAGGCTAGGGTAAGCAGCTGGCTGACTTTTATATGAATCCATCTGTGTGGAGTTGCTGTCTTCTCCTGTGCGTGGGGGTTCCTCCGATCACTTCGGTTCCCTTGATTCAGAATTTGTTCATTTTTGGGAGAGATTGTGCACGTGTCATGTCCAGTTTCCCTCCCACACGAAGCCAAACGCTCATTAATGGTATTGGCCAAACATCTGAACGCAGCAAGATCCTCCTGATAAAAAGCCTTTAGACAACTAGTAATCATCATAATGCACAGCTCTGTCAACCCACTGCTGGATAAATGCCTCCCCCACACCGTGTCAATTATGGAGGTCATCTTGCCGTACTTCCCCATGCTGCTCAGCGAGGGTCGGCGGTGTGGGAATGCTCAAGTCTGGCTCAGGTATCGCACGCCACCGACGCTAGCCGTGGGCCCAAATCCAACTCGGCCAGCCGAATTCATGGCACGGTGCGCGAGCCACTGCGCCACCGCCACCCTCTGATAAAGGGCATTGATTGTGTATAACGTAACAAACCAGGCTATCTTCTTGGTTCTTTCGGTAAAGTCACGTAGAAGAGAAGTAATAAAATAATAAAAACAAAACATAATAAAATAATTCTCACGACGTTTCGGCCACAACGCAAGCAGCCGTCCTCAGGTGACTTTACCGAAAGAACCAAGAAGATGAATCCCTGCAGTCACGAAAGCTTTAAATCGAAAATTAAACCAATCTACTTACAGCACGGCTTAAAGTTCTGCATCACGCAAGCTCCCGAATGGCTGGAGAAGTCACGTTACTGCGCTAAGTTTGAACCTGAGTTTCCCTGGTCGCACTTCTCTCCCTTGCAACAGACTCCGGGTCTCAATGAGCTCAGACCTGTTTACAAAGGTAATTTTTCCAATGCTTGTTTACGGATAACTTTGTAAGTGTATGGGTCTCCATGTACGTATGTATATGTTTATGTACGTGTCTCTATGTAAGTTACGGGGTTGTATGTAATCGGCTTGTGCAGTTTAGCTCACTTCATTACTCTAAATGCAACGTTAAGCTTATCAACCGCAAAAATTGTAAGAAATTAACAGACGATTAAATGCATCATGAATATAAGTCAATTATAACCTGTGCATCGATACATAATGACATACCTCTTGAGGGAAACTTTCTCACACACGAGTTAATACATCTGTAGTGCAGCCTTCCTTTTCAAACATTTGCATACGAAATAAATTTCCATAGGAACGTGGAATTTCCAACACTGGCCACTTATACATGTGAGCACTGCCCCGCTAACGTTTGAGCAACTTTTACAACAACTAAATATTCAACACGTTCGCCCATAACACTGTGGCCTTGAAAATCCAAAATATATAACAAGCTTTACTACCCGGCTTCGCCCGGGACTTGGATCCACCACGCCCGACCGCCTTTGTCTCCCCAGTGGCGATGTTCACACACCGCAGCAGTTACTCGTTTGAGGCTGAGTCGACCTAGGGGAGGCCCAGGAGCGGTTAAAATAATCGTCACTGGTGGTGGCCGTGAGCGGGAATCGAACTCGGGTCGCCGGGTTCGTAGCGCGGCGCGCTACCCACTACACTACAATGCGTTACGCTTCCACGTGCGAGGGTCACGTGACAGATGTGACGTCACAGCTCACATGCCGTGCAAAAAAATAAATGCATTATTGAGCTCCCCCCTCCAAAAAAAAAACACAAAAGTGTATTTTAACATTTTTTGCATGGTGTACAGTCTGGAAAGTACCCACATGGCATGTCGGGAAGTACGCTAAACATTTGAACAGACACACATAATCACAACTTTGCCTTTTATAAATATGGAGATAGACAACATTTTGGGCAATATTATCTATTATTTTGGGCATTCTTCACGTAACAATGTTCTAGTTTACCAGGTAAAGCTCACTGAGCTACATATCTCTTTTTTCTGAAGCGACCTGTCCACAAATGATAACTCCACAGAGTCGCTTATCTTGGGGAAATTTATAGCAGCCATATACTATAAGCGCATGATTATAATGTGGAGGGAAAAACTGGAGGACCCGGAGAAAAATCCATGCGACCACGGGGAGAGAGAGACACCGCAAACTCCAAATATACAGCAGGCGTCAGGGTCGGGGTCGAACCCACGACCTCCCGCATACCAAGCGAGGTAGTTAACATCTCCTAGCCACCGCGACGCCCATGTCGTGAGGTCAGCACTCCACACAGCAGCACTCTACCTCTTTGGCCTCTCTAGTGCTGTGAAGAAGGGCCATGCCCGAAACGTCGTATATTATATACTTTTTGAGACTACAAACACACACACACAAGTGCTGTTGCTGTTGTTATTGAGGAACGTGCCGAGTATGTTAATTGTACTTGTGCACCAGTCCACTGTCAATGCACCAGCATCCGTTGACGATTGTAAAAAGCCAAATGTCAAGTCTTGCAGGCCTCTAACAATCGTTGGTTTAAGCATTACCGTTGCTGCTGTAATTTCTAATTATACTGCCATCCGATACTGTCATTCAAAACAGAGAGCCGTTAAGTACACGTTTCCCCCAACACTATAATCAGCCAAGGCTCTTGAAGCGTTACGACATTGTGATTAAGCATTACCAGTCACCCCTCTAAATGTATTCATAGGTTTCCACTTCAGTGAACTCGGACAATAAACAATGTTAATTTAAAATAAAGAATGGGTTTCTTTCTTTCGCTTGAAAGAAAGACCACGGCGTTGCGGCTAAAGCTGCTGCAGTCGAAACATCTCAATTACTCACAGACCACTTCGTGCCCACCAACATTGTTGTTACGAAGTGCTCACTTTCCGCACCTCCGCTTAGCACGCCTGGCTACGCACGCATACATACACATGCCCTCGCTTGTGTTCAAGTTGAAATCGTTTCCTTAAAGACCCTGCCACACAAAGCCCTTCATGCCCTGGACACCAAAACCCCACAGTTCATCACCCTCGTCCTCCACCTCCTCTATGGTCTTCCACACCGAGCAAAACTCGCAGCGTCGTTATCGTCTGCTGTCAAACGCTCGCCACGCTCGGAGATTCCTACTTACATTCGAAACAGCTCTCGGCAAATTTTGTCCGCTACGCTCCCAATTCACTTTTGGCATCCAATTGCATCACTTTGATTATGTAACATGCACGCGTGCAGTGTCACAAACACCGCTTCGTCTTCTTCTCCTTCTCCGCACCTACGATTAGCACGGTTGGCTAAGTACGGTGCGAAAAAAGTTCAACGTACGTGCCACTTCCCCAATTAAGAGGACAAAACGGTGTAAGTGGGCTCCGTACCTCCGTAATCTCGCCCTCGACGGACACGCTCTTAGAGCGTGGGTGCATTTCGCTCGCTCCCTCGCTACGCCCGGCAGAACCCGGCGGATGTCGTTATCGTCTCCTTCGGCCCTTCGTCACTTTGCGCAGCGCTGCCCTCTCATCAGATGAAGGAACTTGCCCTCCCTCTCTCTCTCTTCTCCCTGTCGCTCTCACTCCCACCCTCTCTCCCTCCCGTGCGAGCATCCACCAATCGCAAGGGCCCCTTTCCCAGCCACATTCTCAGAACATCACTTCCTCCCTCCTTCCTTCCCCCATCGCTCTCCCTCCCTCGCCCTCCCTTCCTCATTCGTGTTGGGTTTGTTTCTTTATTTTTCTAGAAGTGGCACCCCCTGAGGAGTGAAAACACATGGCAGTCAGCCGGCTCTGCAAAGACGCCGCTTGTCCTCAGGATCTGCCCGCGCCCACTGATGGGAGGCACGAAAGCCCAAGAGACGCAGAGATGGTGTTGGACTTCTCTGACTGCACCTGTCCCTCCAGCTGTCTGTCTCTCTTCCCCCAATTAACTAAAAACACACCAGGATGGGTCATGTGCCCTGGCCTTATTCTACGGCTCTCCGTTACTCTCTCGCTCGTACTCTCACTCCTGTCTCTCAGCGCGTGGACTTACAGCGATTAGAAGGGTAGACGGGTAAAAAATCAATTATCATATTTTCACTGGCAAATGAGGTTCCCATAGTGTAGATGCTTGCCCCGAGCTCTCATACTCTTATGGTGCATTGTCTTTGAGTTGTGTGCCTTTTGGCGTCATCTGGTCCAACCCATGTGAGACTAGGCTCTAAGGAAAGCTGTCTCGGGTGTGGACCAATCAACTTCAAGGACAGTGCACATTATCAGAGTTATGTTCTTTTGTTTGTATTATGACTGCAGGTATTGCGGTCTATGCAAACATGACTCCTTGTAAAAAGGTGTCAGTTTTGTTGCCAGATAGAAGGGTAAAAAACCAATTATCATATTTTTACTGGCAAATGAGGTTCCCATATTATAGCGATTATTTGTTTGCTGGTGACTGTGTATTTCATATCGGAATCGCCTCCAGTGCTGTTGCTGCTGGCGGCACTAAAAGTTGTTTGAAAGTTAAAGTCTCCCCCTTTGTGTTCCACCCACTCAACCACTCGTGTCTCTCTCTCTCTCTGACGAAGGCATGTAACGATTCTACGTATCGTCATGACCCACGGCCGGGAATTGATTCTAGAATTGTTTTTGTTTTGGCTCATCTTTACCGTCCCGTTGGTATTGTTTCTAGTGTTTTTTTTTGTAAAAAAAATCTCGGTTACACATTGTTTCCGAGCAAAAATGTACACACCAATATACATCATGCGCACAGATAAAGCAGCGGCCCTGCAATTTCCCTCTGACCTCCACTAGAGGGCAAGCTCTCGCTGAGCTCCACAAGAGAGTACTTTCTGCCTACCCTTCCACACTGGCCAGACGGCATGAAACAAGTAGGAGTACCCACACTTTACCCCACCACGCACCACCTGCCAATCGATTATCAGCGATGTCGCTATTCATACTGCTGGGTGGACCGAGGCGGTGGGGGGTTACAGAAACCTGCCCCTCTCTTTCGACTGCCACACCGGGAGATGGAATCGAACCGACAACATCAGGATCGCAAATCCAGTGTGCTCACCATTACGCCATAATGTACATCATCATCGTCATCAAGAATCCACTGCCACATTTCGTCATTTGTTTCCACCTTCCTCTGTCTTGTGTCAATATGCTCAAGTAGTGCTGTAGTGGCCACGTCTTTCTGGCACCGATCTCTTATGATGTCGTCGTCAAGCCACTCTCTGTTAAGGTCTTCCTCTCGTTCCTGCAGTGGTGCACAGGCCGAGAGAGGGAATGGGCTGACTGCAAGGATTTGGAGCTGATTGGACTTGCAGAAGACTGCTACCTACCAGCGGTGTCAAGATCCGCCTCTGTGGAGGAGCCTCGTGAAGAATTTTGGAGGCAGTTGCCCACCAACAACAAAAGGAGAAGCATTATTCACAATGGGCAGAGCACCGGGTGGCTAAAACACAGCAATTTGGCACAGTGATGAGCCAGAGGTCACAACCGGGTACCCGATACCCATACCTTACCCGACACCCGGCTACCCGTACCCGGCCAGGTATGGGTACGGGTTCCCGTGCGGCCGGGTATGGGTACGGTTAGGCCGTGAGTCACTGGTGAGTAACCGTTTGTCACTCATTTCGGGTAGAGTACAGGTACGGGTAGGGAACGGGTACCCGTACCCGGCCGGGTACCCAGCTGGGTACGGGTACCCATTTGCGACCGTGGTGCGGCCGGGTACAGGTACGGGTAAGGAATCAAAACACGTTTGCGACCTCTGTGATGAGCACAGGTGATGGTGCATCTGCCAGTCATCCATGTTAGTTACCTTACAAGGCCTGGGTTTTTCCCGGGACCTTTGGCCAGTAAGCCTTCCAAACTTCCCGTGGACTTAAAATACAGGCGCTGTGGGGATGTCCCAGTCAACTAGTGGAAAATGATCGCTCTTGTTGTTGTGCATCTGTGTGTATGGAAATGTATTCATGGGCATTTGTATACGAATGTCTTGCGTGCCACGCAGCGAAAGATCCCTTACGGAGGACTCCGTGGACGTCGGAAGGTGCGTCATCTGAAGCTCCTCTCTGAAAAATAGAAACACAAAAACGTCATTCGTTTGTGTGTGAGAGCAATGCAATGCTGCGTACTCATATTTCCAATGCGGTACGTACAAAGTTCATTAGCCCTCGGTATAGAATATACCCACTGACTTGACCATGGGTATGGGCTTACTGCCTTTTGGGCCTAGATCAGGGTTCAGGAACATGCGGCTCTAGAGCTGTATGCGGCTCCTTAACTACTGCTTGGGGACGTTATGAATTAAAGACTGTCTCGTAATTTACACGCATTGCGGCTCTTGAAATTGAGTTTTTTTTTACTTACCACCGAATTCGAACAAAAACGGCTCTCATTGTTATTTTGGTTTCAGACACCCTGGTCCTGAGATGCAACAATCCGTCCAGCCCCTGCACACGAGCTAACATCTCGGCTCAGACTCTACGGCAGACATCCTTGCAGGCGCGTTCCTTCCTTTGGCTGCCACTGCGTCGTTAGTCTCGACCCACTTGCCACACCGGTTCCTTCCAGCGCCAACGACCTGCCCAAGCCCACTTATTTTTTATATACAGCGAGCTTTACTACCTCGGCATCTCCCGGGACTTGGATTCACCACGCCCGTCCGCCTTTGTCTCCCAAGTGGCGATGTTCACGAGGGGGTGGGTGGCCAGCACCACGCCCGGCCGCCTTTGTCTCCCCAGTGGCGATGTTCACACACCACAGCAGTTACTCGTTTGAGGCTGAGTCGACCTAGGGGAGGCCCAGGAGCGGTTCAAATAATCGTCACCGGTGGTGGCCGTGAGCGGGAATCGAACTCGGGTCGCTGGGTTCGTAATGCAGCGCGCTACCCACTACACTACAACGCGTTACGCTTCCACGTGCGCGGGTCACGTGACAAATGTGACGTCACAGCTCACGAGCCGTGCAAAAAATGAATGCATTATTGAGGCCCCCCCGCCCCCCCCAAAAAATAAGTGTATTTTTATATTTTTTGCATGGTGTACAGTCTGGAAAGTACCCACATGTCAAATTTCAAGTTTGTTGCATGTCGGGAAGTACGTTAAACATTTTGAAGAGCCACACATTCACAATTTTATTTGATTTCTATTACTATTTGTTCCCTACGTAACTTAACCGAAAAAACTAAGAGTACACATTCACAACTTTGCCTTTTATATATATATGGAGCTTACGGCCTTGTTATGAAGATCAGGACCGGTTCGGAACATTGGCCGTCCACTGTTCACCCGGTCAATCGCCTGCAGCACAACGCGCGCTAACCACTGCGCCACCGCTCCCCCCACCAACAACAACAACACCACCACAAACAACAACACCACCACAAACAACAACAACACAACAACGACCCCCGTGCAGCCTCTAAGAGAGTCGGGGCAAGTGCCGCAGCAACCACGCCCGGCCGCCTTTGTCTCTCCCACTGGCGATGTTTTACTACAGGCCGCAGCAGGTACTCATTTGAGGCTGAGTCGACCTAGGTTGAGGCCAAGGACACGCTTCAGGTAACACAAAACAACACAAACGAACCCGGCCGCTATCTGTTACCGTTGTTGTTGCTGCCGCCGTTGTTGTTGTTTGAATGGTTTGTTGTTGTTGTTGTTAGAATGGTTTGTTGTTGTTCTTGTTAGAATGGTTTGTTGTTGTTGTGGAAATGTTTGTAAACCACACGACTCGAACAGGCCCCCTTGCTCCTTCTTCTCGCTCGTTACCTCATCGTCATCATCACCACGGTGGTGGTTGGTAGTGGTGGTTGGTGGTGGTGGTTCGTGGTGGTGGTGGTTGGTGGTGGCGATGGTGGTGGTGATTAGTTACGGTGGTGGCGATGGTGGCGGTGGTGGTTGGTGGCGATGGTGGTGGTTGGTGGTGGTGGTGATTAGTTACGGTGGTGGTGATTGTTGGTGGTTAGTGGTGGCGATGGTGGTGGTTGTTGGTGGTGGTGGTGACGATGGTGGTGGTTGGTGGTGGTGACGATAAACAAACGGCCCCGGCTCCGTCTCCTTGGCGACGGCCTCCCTGCGTCACGGCGCCACGCCCACAGCCCTCAGGCCACGCCCACAGCCCTCAGGCCACGCCCATAGCCCTCAGACCACGCCCATAGCCACGCCCACAGCCCTCAGGCCACGCCCACATCCCTCAGGCCACGCCTATAGCCACGCCCACAGCCCCCGCGTCACGTGGCCCAACCTCTCCACCCCCCATCGAAGACGACAAACACACACAGTGAACACAGTGAAGACATATTCTTAGATTTTTCGGTAAAGTCACGTAGGTAAAAAATTAAAATTAATAAAAGTAAAATACAAATAAAATAAAAATCACGTTTCGGAAACGTCGTGATTTTTATTTTATTTTACTTTTATTAATTTTTTACCCACGTGACTTTACCGAAAAAACCTAAGAATATGAATACTTGCAGTCAACGAAAGCTTCAAATCTAGAAACAGTGAAGACAAAGATTCCTCACCCGCCCCTCCCGTATAGCCTGGACAGACTGTTGGGGCTTAAGTGTTCATTGTTTAGCAATAAATGCGTGTGGGAAGCAACATTGCCGGATTCTCCTAGGAGCAAAAGTAGCTACATGTGTAGTAGCTATTACTACAAATGTAGTAGTAGCTACTACATTTGTAGTAGCTATTACTACAAATGTAGTAGTAGCTACTACATGCTACTATACATACTACTACATATGTAGTAGTATGTGTAGTAGCTACTACATATGCTACGGGCCCCGCACTTTCAAAGGCCCCGCGCTAAATGCTTTCGAGCTATCAATTCCGGTTCAGTGATTCTGCACTTGCTCTATTACTATAGTACTATACCGCCCTCAACTTTTACGATCGACCGAGTGAGACTAAGTTTTCCCCTTTTTTTCCGGCAAACAAAACGGGTGTTAAGATATTCTTGTTTTTTTTCTTAAAATTGTCTTGCTGTGGATTTCACACCTGATGATGATTGCTTGTATTGCAGTCGAAACGTCGTGATAATTTTATTTATTTTATATGTTCTTATTTAATTATTTCCCTTCTACGTGACTTTACAGAAATAACCAATAATATGAATCCCTGCAGTCGCGAAAGCTTTAAATCAGGTGTTAAGATGTTAAAACACCAAACTGAAACCTTTTACAAGGAATCATGTGTGCATTAACCACAATACTTGTGGTCAGAATGCAAACAAAAAACGTACTCTGATAATATATGCATTGTCTTTGAAACTGATTGGTCTACACCAGAGACAGCTTTCTTTTGAGCCTAGTCTCAAAACGGTGTTAGACCAAAAGGCGTCCTCTGGTCTTTTTATTTAAAGATGTCCACAATAAGGCACCCTATACTAAAGACTTCCTCAACGAGGGATCATAGGCTTTATACTCTTAGTTTTTTCGGTAAAGTCACGTAGGTAAAAAATGAAATTAAAATAAATTAAAATAAAATAATAAAATCACGACGTTTCGGAGGCAACACAAGTCTCCGTCATCAGGTGGGACCATCACAGCCAGATTTGCTGTATCAGATTTGCTGTACTTGATACAGCTGTACTTATTTTATTATTTTATTTTTAGTAATTTTAATTTAATTTTTTACCTACGTGACTTTACCGAAAAAACTAAGAGTATGAATCCTTGCAGTCACGAAAGCTTCAAATCTAGAATCATAGGCTTTGTTCGGTCTCGTTTTCCCGCTTGCATCTTCCTCCGAGCGTCCCCTACTCCTCGTGCTCTCCCCTTATATCTCCCTCAGTCCCCTTTCTCGAACCTTCTTGTCCTTGTTTTTTACCACTAGCCAACCCCTGTCCTTTCCTTTTCACGGAATCCTTTCTGTTTTCACATTAAAACCGTTATTCTCCAATCCCTTTAAAAGTCTGCCCTCCCGACCATTCGTCGTGGATGCCTCTTTCTTCCAATCGGAGACTCACATGTTGATTTTTAAATTGCCGTTCGGCTGCACATTGGCTTGGGGTAAATTTTCGGTCATTATCCAAGCAAGGCTGACTGCCGATGAGATACTGAAATGTCAAAACACGATCCAGGGTTTGCTTGTGCTGAATCAATGCTGCTGAAAGTGTGCACTCCCAGAATGCCGTGATGGTCGATGGGTTGGTTGTGTGAGAAAATAATATTTTTACGTGTAGAGACCTACAGTATGTGAAGGAGATTTCGTCTGCCGATATATTTTGGCATATTTCTATCTTGGCCATAACTTAAACTACCTTGAAGGGGGGCCTTGCATTGAATGGGATGCTTGGCTAGTTCCAGTAACGAGAGTTTGGCTTCAAGCGGGAGGAAACCAGAGAACCCGGAGAAAAACCACCAAGCAGACAGGCAGGTAACACTAAAAACTCCCCACAGATGGATACAAGAATCATGTTTCTATATTTTCCACCTTGGTGCAGTCTCGTTAGCGGAAACGCATAAACATATGCAGGTGTGGTTCGTCCACTAGGGGCGATGGGGCGCCGTCCCACCAAGCAGCTGGGGATGAGAAATGAATTCTGTAATAAAAAAAAAATTCTATTAAATTTGTTGTTGTGTTTAAAAAATATATATGATTCTTTCATTGTGAATTGCCGAGTTTAAAACGTGTAGGCTGTCGCGACCAAGCCACAACATTCCCAATCTGTACAATCTGTAAATGTTGTGGCTTGGCTCTCCAACACACCGGTGTGCTATTCTAGTAACACATTGTTACTTTACCAATTGGCTGTGTCAGGTGGTGGCGGTTTAACAGACACATTTATATATTTACGCGATCTAGCATGTAAAAAAAAACCTGCATTATGGGTGAATTGGCTAAGGGGCCGTCCATAAATGACGTCACGCAATTATGGACGATTTTTGCCCCCCCCCCTCGTCACACGGTGTCACAAAAAGTCAGACCCCCCCCTCAAATATGACGTCACAAAGCTTTGCCCCTCCCCAAACCATATTTCCATTTATAAAATAAAACATGCTTCAAATCGCTTTAAACTATTGTCATTGTAGTGCGTATTTAATGTCGCGCTGCACTCTGATGTTGTAGGAGTGTTATAACAATTCTATATTTATTTAAAGTTGCGCATTTTGATGTGACGTCACATTTCTCACCCCACCCCCTCTCGTCACACATCGTCACAAATGTCTGACCCTCCCCCCCCCTAGGTGCGTGACGTCATTTATGGACGGCCCCTAATGAAGGTACCATTTTAAGTTGTTCATATTAGAAACCGCTGCAACGCCACGGTCTGATGTGGGCGTCGTGGAGGTCTCGGGGTGGCTGTGAAGGCGTCCGAGTGAGAGATTTCCCCTTCATTCATTGCGATCAGCTTCGCATGTTAGCCACGCCGTTAGAGACCCATTCAGGACGGTAAAAAAATAACCCGTAAAAACAAAGTTTTTCACTATAAATCCTTTATATGCGTGGCGGCTAGAGTCCTCTCGTCCTCTGGCTTGAGAAGGCTGCCACCTATGGGTCAGATGATTGCCTGCCACCATTAAGCAATTGGTAATTAAATATAAAAAAAAATCCTAAAAAGTGTAAAATTTTGGAAGAAAAATTTCACGAAAATAAATTGTCACGCACAACGAGTCTGTGTGGAAAATGTCAGCTCGATTGGATCACGGGAAGTGGGTTAAAAAACGACCTAAAGATTTACACGGTCGTAAGCGCGCAAGCAAGTAAGCAAGTGAACTTAATATAAAGGATTAAAAAAAGGCGCCTATGGCTGTAATGAGACGATGTCACAACGCGAGGTTGCACTGTGCAAATATAGCAGGTCACGGTCTACACGTAGGTTGGGTGGTTATTGTATAAAGCAGGCGGTGTCTTGGCTGCCTTGGCTAATTTGTTGAGTCGTGTAATCTGACCTTTCATTGTTTTTTAGGCCTTTGGCAGTGTCAAAGAGGTTGTGTAGTGTGGAGCTGAGGGTCATGTGGACAGCATTTGAGTGCTCTGTTGTTTTGTTTCGCGTTGTTTAGCAATGTCTACCGTTTGTAGATTACACAATTGTATCACTTTTACGGGAAGGCCAATAACATGACGAGGTTTTTCTTAAATATAACACCACATTTTCAGAGGTCACTCACGGCAGCCCCACCTAGTGGACATGTCACGACACGCACGCGCACACAATGACAACAATGGAATTTAAGAAACAGCTAAAAAGTGCATGAAGATTTGTGGTTTGACAAAATGAAGCAAACGGCTAGTGCCATGAACAAGAGAAACACGAGACAATAATAATAACAACAGAGAACTCAGAGACAGACTTTCAATATCATCATGCCATATATTTATTACGTACAATAATATTTTACACAAATATAGAAATATAAAATAATCATCGTTGACTTGTCAAGTAACGCACCTTTGGGAAAAAACCCCCAGAAATTGCGATTACTGCCAGGGTATTGGCGAATATATGCACTCTCATCACAGCAGTGCCCTTTTCATTGGGGACCAAAAAAGAGTAGAATTTTAACACCCTTGGTTATAAAAACTTGACAGATAAATTCTTAGGCACCGACTATAAATTGTATTTTCGTTGTCTTTTGTGTTACAAAAACCCACACGAACGAAACACTGCCTCAATTGTGCATTTCTCTTTTAAAAAGGGATTGAGTACCGTACAATTAGGACCACGTGCACCCTGTGGAGGACAGCATTCCCTCGTTATTCGCGAGGGGTACGTTCCGGCGATGCTCGCGAATAACACATTTCGCGGAAAATGATATTGGCTTACGAATTACCTTAAATAAATACATCTCACCGTTTTTATCTCATCACTCTATCTAATCCCTTTCTCGCATCGCATTCTCTCTCGTCATGGATTCGCCGATAGCCAAAATCGCGGTTGGCAAGTTCGTGAACAACGGGGGAATACCGCACATAAAACTCGGCGGCGTAACTGTTGAGTGTGCAGGCGGTGCAGCTGCACAAGGGCACTCGGTTCGAAGGAGCCCACACGGTGGGCTGCGAAGAAGGGAGGGGGGGGGGGCATTGCATTCCTTGCACCAGGGCGCGTGCCAACCAGGCTATGCCAATGTCGTAACTTCAGCCATTTTGGGGTTGAAAAACGCAATTAAATAACACTATTCATATCAAAAGTCATTGGCACCTTTAGGAAGAGCCTCTCCATGAATCTCAATCCACCGTGGCTAAATCGGATCACGGGGAGGAGGACGTAGCTCGTGTGGTACGCGTGAGTCAATCGCAGACTGACTTTTATGTTGAGGTTTCCGAATAAAAGCCTCACGGTGGGCCATCTTCAGGGCAGAGTGAATAAGGAGCCGATACCATTGAAACTGGGCGCAAAAAAATCACGCTCGCGTCACGAGCAGCAGGGGAGATGAACAGACCGAGACCGCCGTCACTCTCGACGGTTCAGTGGCCGTGGTCGTCCGTGGAATATCCTGAAGCAGAAGATCAGTGCTGGATACAGCAGTGAGATTTTGCGAACGTGATTTCGTCACTTTGATCCTCACCTGTGTATCGATAGTTCGATGTTAATGTGCCATTTTATTGAGGGACTGTCTGTTATGCTGATGCGGTCTGGGTCTGTCTTGTTGGTGGTTTTTCTGCTTTGCCCAAGCTTGATAAATGGAACTTGTATAATTAATCGATTGATTTATTTACAATTAGTGACTTTGATTTAAAGCTTTCATGACTGCAGGGATTCATATTCTTGGTTCTTTCGGTGTGGATTTCACACCTGATGATGATTGCTTGTGTTGCAGTCGAAACGTCGTGAGAATTGTACTGTTTTATATTTTATTATTTTATTATTTCCCTTCTACGTGACTTTACCGAAAAAACCCAAGAATAATTAGCGACTTGTTTACCTTTTTCTCTACTTTGCACTCCTATCGGTTGTTTGCATTGTTTGCTGTTGTAAGTCACTGACCCGACCATGCTGGACCTCTGTGAAAAAGAGCTCCAGAGGTCATCGGATTGCTCCTGAAGTCCACATACAGATTCTGATCTGATTCTTTCAAAAGAGCCGCTGACAGGCTAAAATAAAGTAAAAGTCTGAGTGCGAGTCGGAGGAGGTCAGGGAGGCTAGACTCAGGTGGATTTGACTCAGGTGGATTTGGACGAGAAGAGACAAAGCAGATGTTATCCTCCTTCCCCCGCACCATCGGTTAGCACGGTTGGCTACGTACGGTGCGAAAGAAGTTCGACGTACACACAAACATACATGGAAGGAGAAGGGCTATGGTGATGTAGAGACTCATAGATTGAAAGTGAGACAGTTTCCCCAACGGGGGCACCGACTTGATGTGGCGAAGAACCTTGCGAGCCCTTCAGAACTAAAGAGTTGAAGTGCAATCCCAACTTTGTAATGAAAAGTAACACACACCAACGTGTGATTAATCAGTGCTAAAAAAAAACCCAAAAAGAAGAAAACGTTTAATCAATGCGTCCCACCTGCTGTGGACACGGCTCAGAAACACGGTCATTCATGAACAATGTTGAACCTAAACTGAAAAGTAACCCAAAAAAGCGCGGAGAGATGGATGTTTGGAACTACACCGAGAGACAGAAAGAGGATCACATGGATGAGAGAACATACCGGGCTCACGACATTGTTCAAACCGTTAAGCAAGTGGCCTTGCACAGGATACGTCGATGTAAGACGATGGGACCCATGGTCAAGACGAATAGTGGAGTGGCAGCCACCCACCCCTGGCAGTGCGCAAGCCAAGCACGATCACTCTACCGGGCTGCCAAGGTACGATCACTCTCTTGGTGCTGCTCCTGCAGACTTAAAACAAACAAAAAATTCACAACCAACCAGCGCCGGTTGATCCAGCCGCGTGACCGCTCCAGATGACCCGTTGCCAGCGCTGGGGGCCTGGTAGGTCTGGCACGTCCGGCTCGTCGGGCCAAAAAACCGCCAAGCATGGAATGTCGGCCCAATGTTGGGCCAATGTTAGTCTAAAGGCTCCACACACGTGCCATCGTTGGCCCATCGTTGTCCGTTTAACTGGGAAGTGTGGCCCAACCGCTACGCTACGACGTGGCACTTTCGACGCACGGCTGACCAAACGCGCTTTCCGGCAGCAAAAACGCTGTTCGTCTGCGATGCGGTCAGGCGTGTAGAGGTGCGTCGATTCGACGGTTCATATTGATTCTTAAGCTCGGGACGCAATCACGAAATTGCACGTTCTGCTGTTGGCGTATTTAGTTTTTTAATTGGGTGCGTGTTGCGCGTACAATGGGTTCACATGACCCCCGAGGCCACGAGAGGTGCTGCCATTCACCGCAACGTGTTAGGATGGGATCGATATTTTTTAAAATCGGATCGCGACCCTGAATTGCGACAACCGTTCCACTCCGAAGTTGTAATGTTCCAAGCCTTTTATCATACGATAACATCTTTTACAAAAACATGTTTTTATTCATAAAGGCAGTGACTAATATTATGGCTTTATATGTACTGTATATAATACAAATACTCATAGTAGTAGTTGTAATAATAACTATAATGGAGTAAGAAAATTGAAAAATACTGTCGGTAAAACAAATTTTAAAAGTACAAAACATTCTGACAGGGAAGGCACAGAACAGGCAAGAAATTGATAATGACAATGGGAACAAGTTGAAACGATTTCATTTCTTAGAGAAAATAATTTTCCATTTTCACCTCGTTTTAATTCGTTCAACCTCTGTACACATAGCCTTTGAGTTTAAAATACGCACGTTTTTTTCCTGGCTATTGTAATTTCTTTAGAACTGCTCTGTGTTCAGTTTGTTGTCCTTCCGCCCCGCACCTCCGATTAGCACGGTTGGCTACGTACGGTGCGAAAGAAGTTCCGTATCAAGGTGATGGCGCCACCTAAATAAGATACCCGACACTTGCTGAGGAAAGGAGACGGTAAATCACCTCCACCATGTGGCCCTGGCCATGGCTCAACGACGGAGGGACTTTGGAGTTGCGAGGTGAAGGGAGGCAATGGAATCAGGTGGGCAGGGATGGAGGCTTCAGCCGTGGACCCTGTCCTTGGGCAAATAACTGAAGGAAAAAATCTAAAACTACGGCAGTTAAATGTGAGAATCGTTCCACTAAAACGTTAAATCCAAACATGCGTGTCGCACGCGGAAAAAAATCCTCACCGAGGTCAAAATTAAGCAGGTGATTGACGATGTAACAGAGGAAGTCCATGTGGCCTCAAGGCTGTCATGTGACCACAAGGTCATCATGTGACCTCAGGGCTGCCCCCTTTGCGTTCATATTTCTCTGCCACCGTTGGGAAGTCTCTGATGGCAGAACTAAGATCTCTTGTGCCCAGCACACAGCAATGTGAACATGTCAATCGATCTGAACAGTAAAAATGTGTTTGTTTTACCAGGCCAGAGTCCATTTCTATTACGATGACCGCTATTGCCATTTATTTTCGTAGGCAAATGCCATTAATTTACCCGGGAAAGCCTTACTGTTATCTCAGGAGGGCCCGGCTACATTGGGATGTTTGGCCAATTACATTTCCGAACGCATTTGCCTGCACTGTACGATGAATAACCAGAGAACCCTAAAAGCCTCAGCAGGCACACGCGGACTGGTATAACGCTAAAAAAACAGCCACACACAGGAGCTCACAACCCACGTGCTGTACCGTCACGTTCCGGCGACCCAACAGCCCAACAGGTTCGGGAGTTTCGCGAATCTCGTTGCGATCCGTCAACCCCGTGGCCCCCCCCATAACGCTGCCGGGTCGCTGGCGTGGGACAATGCACCTGAGCCGTCTTGCAAAAGCTGGAGTTAGGGCGCGCACAATTAAAAAAAAAAAATCTATAAATAGAAGAATCGATATATTACCTATACGTAGATAAATAGATACATTTGTTTTCCTTCAACCTAACTTCTGGTAAAAATGTATGAACGCGAGCAAATGGAAACGGCGCGTGTAGGGCCGCCCGCTCCGGGAAGTAAAACGTTCCCGAGGTCGTAAATGTCCGCGTCGCGGCACGCGAGGAGACGTTTGGGTAATTTGGGTAATAGTAGTGTAGTGTATAGTGTAAAGTAGTGTATAGTAGTGCAGTGTATAGTCGTGTAGTGTATAGTGTATCGTAGTGTATAGTAGTGTATAGTAGTGCAGTGTATAGTCGTGCAGTGTATAGTCGTGTAGTGTATAGTAGTGTAGTGTATAGTAGTGTAGTAGTGTATAATAGTGTATAGTAGTGTATAGTAGTGTAGTGTATAGTATTGTATAATAGTGTATAGTAGTGCAGTGTATAGTCGTGTAGTGTATAGTCGTGTAGTGTATAGCAGTGTAGTGTATAGTAGTGTATAGTAGTGTATAGTAATGTAGAGCTCGAGTCTGTCGCCAGGGAAAGGGAGGTGTGGACCGCCCTACTCAACACGCTGCCGCCGCGACTCTGGCCAGGACAAGTGGAGTCAGAACGAACGAAAAAAAATACTTTTTTTTTTACACCTCTAAGGTTTTTTTCGATCTTAGGTTTTAGGGGAGTTTAATCAGGGTAGTTGACTTAACTTCATTTTTTTAAAGTGAAATATCACGAGTAAAATATTCATTCACGTCCCAAACAAAAGCTGTATGTGCACATTATTATTTGCGGACCAACCTGCGGTTTGCATCACGGCCACGCCGAAGCACCTGCAGGAGCGTCGGGGGCCACCTGGTGGTGGCACCGGGGATCACACTCTGAGAACCACCGGGCGAGAGTGCTGGACTCAGGGGTGCGACGACGCATCGTTTTAACCCTTTCCTATGACGTACTGATGACGTACTCGTACGTACGTCATCAGTTTTTCTCCCGATTCCGTTCCGATGGCTCTGGGTACCGTATAATGAACTTCACCATCGTAGAGTGCGGTCGTGTCGCTACACTTCTCTGCGGTGAGCGCAATGTCTTTAAAAACAACGGCGCTGCGCCTCTCTTAATAAAATCAACGCCGAGCCGCTTGAGCGTTCCGAAATTCGGCAGTGAACGGGACCCACAACCCTGCAACTTGCAGACCTTCTCGGAACAGGAAAGGGTTAATTTTTAGATTCTTCAAGCTCGCGGTCCGCGCACGGAATCGCGTGCGCTTCGTGTAAATGGATTCCCACGACCGCCCCCCTCCCCCACCACCCCCCCCCCAACCCCTCGCAACCACTAGTGGCCGCTCACATTCACCGCAGCGTTTAAAGGTGCGATTCTCAAATCGAATCGTGACTTTGAATCATCGAATCGTCGTCGGTGGGTTGGGGTGGGGATCAGGAAACAGTACCTAGATTGCTGGCCACTCGCCTGTCTGGCCACCGTAAGGTACATTAAGATTTTGGGCCCACAAAAGAAATACAAACTTAAGTGTTAAAAACGAATATGCTATGTGCTTAGGTGATGAATACGCATCATTAAGATGCGTACATCGTACCATATACATGTTAGAGCGAGCGCGAACTATGTTGTGCGAACCAGTTGGTGTTTAATGTACCGGCAACATCCGTGTCTCGACAGAGACATACACAGCAATAAACGTAACTTGGTCTACCACTGTAACATTTATCGAGCATCTCACTCTCAAAATGTTTCAGCCCCCCGCCCTGTTCGTGCGCGGTGTGTGTGTGCTGTGCATGCTGGGAGCACGGCGAACACGACACAATCTTGGACGTGGGCATCCAAACGTAAAGGCGCTCACGTCGCAGCAACGCGAGATGGCGACGGTCAGGGGGGGAGGCCCCGATCCATCCAGCAGTGGATCGACCGTGGCCTGATGATTGACGACTCGTGGCGAAATGCCGCCGCGTCTCAAGAAGGACGTGGCAGAAGTTGCGCCGACCGTGCGAGCCGAATCGTCGATTGACGTCGATTCTCAGGCTCGAGGCGCGCGGCCGCCAGACGCCCACCCGCTGGGTTCACGCGGTCACCTCGCTGCCACTCGGGAGCGCTACCTTTAACCACGATCGAAAGAGAGGGCACCAATAGACAAATCGAATCGCGAAGGAGTCAACTCTTCACAAACCTAGCACACACACCACACACATACGCACAGATGAGCTATTTGAAAGGAGGGGGAAAAAAAACTGTCAGAGAATTTCCGAATGATATTTTGGCCTTGTATTCCCTTAATAAAGCACCAACGGCTATTTCCATGGGGAAGACTACAGGCAGCATTAAGTTCGTGCGGGGGCATGTGGGCGGGGGGGGGATGGTCCAGTGCAGAAATTGTCCTTAGGTCCTGACCGCCCTCCCTCCCCTCCCCCCCGGCACCACCAACCCCAACCGCAGCCACAGCAATGCAGGCAGGCGGGCAGGGCAGGAGGCACACGTGTGCAAATCTGCGAGCACCAGTTTGCGCGTTCGTCACAGTCCGGCGACTCTGGCTGCCGACGTTCCGCGTGTCATTCGGGGGCCCGTTGCAACTCCGCACGCGCACCGCTCGCACAACGTGCGCCGTACGCACGCAACAAGGTCCGTTACGCGCGAGCCTCCGTTTTCTTGTTGTGTTTGCGAAAAGGCAAGGCGGGTGGTGACGCCCCGTCGAGCCGCCGCGCGCAAGCGCCCTCGTCAGGAATGGCTTCTCGAAGTCCGTCGCTGGCGTCTGTGCGCTACGGTCAGCAAATTGAACGCAGCGCGGCTTCACGGACGGCGTCCGAACGCGGCCGCGTCCAGAGACGCCGTGCGGAAGCGGTGGGCTGTATTTTATTTTTTATTATTATTAAAGAAAGACGCGGGCCAATCAGGCGGTCGCGTGCAGAGGAAAAATAAACCAGGCCATGGGCTTTGACTAGAACTGGCGCAGGCAGTCGACAGCATGGACGGCTGGGGGAACAGGTGTGCGTACTCGCTACGCACCAATTAACGCGATACAATACCATTCGGATGTATAAAGCAGCTATGTGCAACGGTCTCTGCAGACGCCGTATTAGAAACTGAGCATAATTACTTATTTTATATATATATATAGCGAGAGGCGGTCAGTCAGTGATTGGCAGGAGTGGAGTATGGCAGCCTTCACGCTCAGCTGAGTGAGAAATCACGACGGACGCCATCAACGTGGCGACCGAACATCGATCATCGGATCTCCCGGCGTGCAGAGCGACAACGCGAGTCGTCGTAGGCGGAGGAGCAATGGCAAGGCTTGAGCTTGGTACTTGCACGGGCAACGGGGAGTCAGTCGACAGCGGCGAGTGTCTGCGGTGTCGCGGGCGACAGATCGGGCCAAGGAGGGCGCACGCTCGCCACGTCGCGATCGGCGACCTCGGTGAAGCGATCGTCGGCGAGCAAGATGTCGCGATGTCGCGGCCCGTCCACGACTTTCCGAGTGGCGTCGCAAGCGTCCGTGACGTGACGCCGGGGCGAGCGTCCACGGTGTCGTCGCCCCCCCCCCACCCCGTGGTCACGAGCGGAATTGAGGCCCCGCGCGTCAGAACCCCGTGTACCCCTCAGCGCCCGTCACCAGGACGTCCATCCAGATGCGCATGGCCTCCGGCGAGGGCGCCACCAGGTAGAAGACCCGCTCGTTCGTCTTGAGGCAGAACGTCAGCGACGGGCTGGGGCTCTGGGCACGTGCGGAGCCGACGAGACAAAGACAAAGATTCCCCCTGTGGCCTTAGAAGACTGTCGGGGCAAGTGCTGTTAGCGAGTCGCGCCTATGAAGGCCCGCACGGCACACGAGGGGGTGGGTGGCCAACACCACGCCCGGCCGCATTTGTCTTCCCAGTGGCGATTTTTACCCACCGCACCGGGTACTCTTTTGAGGCTGAGTCGACCTAGGGGAGGCCTACGACCGGTTCAGATATTCGTCACCGGTGTTGGCCGTGAGCGGGAATCGAACTTGGGTCGCTGGGTTCATGGCGCGGCGCGCTCACCGCTATGCTGCCCCTCCCCCACATACGAACGTGCACGCGCGCAACGCAGCTCGTTTCAACCGACGTCTACCGTGATCAATCCACTGCTGGATGAAGGCCCCTCTGTCCACGCCGCCGCCGTCTTTGCGTCGTGGCGACGCGAGCTCAGATCATGGCTGACAACGGCGGCGGCGGGGACGGGGGTTACTCACGCGCCGCGTGGAAGCGCACAGCAGTCGCCCTCACCTTGTGGGCGCTCTTCAGGTGGTCGTAGTAAACCTCCTCAATGGCTTGGAAGTAAATGAGCCCCTTCAGCTTCGTCTCGTGTTTGTCTGTCCCGTCAGAAAGACACGTTGCACATTGACTCACTCTCGATAAATACACACGTAGACAATGCGCCGCGGTGCAGAAAACGCGTTAGAGGCTGCAGCGCTACGTTGCGGGCAGCGCAGTAAAATCCGCTGTTGTTATGTATGTACTTCTATGCTCCCGTTTCAGCGTGGAGAGGTTTTGTCAAAAACATCCCAATGCGATCCGTCTGCCGTGGGGAGGCCTTCATCCAGCCCTGCTTACATTCTCATGTGCACAGGAACTTGGTTCGGAGCGCCATTGTCGAGAGTTGTTAATTACCTCCCCTGGTGTCCAGGACGTCGTGGGTTTGATCCCAACCCTGACACCTGCTGTCTATTTGGAGTTTGCGCGTCTCTCTTCCCGTTGTCACGTGGATGTTTATCCGGGTCCTCCGGTTTCCCCCTCCACATTTAGAATCAACATTACGCGTTTAGAGTATTTGGCTGCTATAAATGTCCACATGATAAGCCGCTTCGTTGAGCTATCATTTGTGGCAGCCAGGTCGCTTCAGAAAAAGAGCGACGTAGCTCAGTGGGGCCTTGCCCGTCTAAAATAGAAAATAGTTTTACTTTAGTTGAACCACGAGCGGACACAAGTTGCATTCGAACCCCGGTTTAACTCAGCAGTGTGAGCTTAGCATCTCCGGCCGCTGACCTACCCAGCCAGCCACGTTGCATGTATGCGTGTATGTTGAACTTCTTTCGCACCGTACGTAGCCAACCGTGCTAATTGGAGGTGCCGGGTAAGGACAACAAATTAAGCACAAAAATCAGTTCTAAAGAAATTAGTTTTCAATCTAGATGGCTTCAAAGTGCAAAGCTCCATTGTGGCTTCCTAAAATCGTGAGGAAGAGCGTTCCAGATGGCCGCATAAGTGCGTCGGGAAAGCGCACGATGCGGCGACTGTCTTTGTTGCTAGCAAACGTGGTCGGGAACTCTGGTGGGTCGGGGGTTCATAGCGTGGTGTGGGTGTAAACCGCTGCGCCACCGCTCGCCACGATTAACCGCGTGCCGATCCACCCTGGATCATTCCGCCATCGTAATTCGATCCCACACTCAATCTGTTTACCAACCATGATATTTTTTTTGCAATCGGTTCCAGTCGGCCGCAGGAGCGCTACCCAAAGCGCGATTTTGAAACGAAACAAAAAAACGATCATCTTTACTTTAGGAGGCAGAGCGAGCGACACGGGGGGGTGGGAGGCGGGTGCGGGTGGCGGTCGACGCACCTGCGTAGTACGAGAACGTGCGCTTGTTGCGGTCGAAGAGGAACCAGCGCTTGCGCCACGTGCGGATCTTGCCGCCCATCTTGGTGAGGAAGCCGCGGCAGGTCTTCCCCGTCACCGTCACGTGGTAGCACGTCTCCACGCTGTGGCCCGCGCCCTCCACGTGCGCGCGCAGGTCAAAGTCCTCCTTGCGGTTGGGGAGGTAGCGCGTGAGCGGTCGAGCCTGGGTGGACCAGGGGTGGCGGGGGGGTGGAGTGGGACGTGGGGGTAGGTTTTGGAGAGGGAGGGGGAGAAGGGCAAATTCACAGATGGATGGATTGGTGGGTGGGTTGGTTGGTGGGTGGGTGGGTTGGTGGGTGGGCAAATTCACAGGCAAACGGAGCAGACGGTATGGAGGGAGAGGCGGACGGACAGACGATTGGACAGCCAGATGTACCAACAGACAGTCACGTGACCAAGCGGACGGGCCTATGACCAAATCAGAATCAGAATATTTATTTAAGGTGGAGGAATCCGATGAGTCTCTAAAGCTCTCTGTCACAGACATCCACTAGGGGCGGGTCAATCACCAGGAATGCGCCCAATGTCGTCAGAAGCTAAACGGGGGGTTGAGCCTGGGCAGTGCCTGGATGAGCGACCGCCTTGCACACACCGGAGTTGGAGGTTGCTGCGGGGGCTACGTCGCCAGCAGAGGGCAGTGATGCAGCAAGGCATTGCGGTATGGAATGGAGCGGAGCGCGGAGAAGAGAGGAGCGGATTGGAGAGCGGAGCGGAGCTGAGTCCGGAGAGGAGTGGAGAGGAATAGAACAGGGAGCGGAGCGGGGAGCAGAGTGCGGAGCTTGGAGCGGAGCAAGCAGCGGAGCATGGAGCGAAGTGGACCGTGGAGCGGAACGAGGAGCGGGGAGTGGAGCGTGGAGCGGAACGAGAAGTGGGGAGTGGAGCGGGCGCGTGGAGCGAGGAGCGGGGAGTGGAGCGCGGAGCGTGGAGGGGACCACGGAGCGTGGAGCGGAACGAGAAGTGGGCAGTGGAGCAGAGCGTGGAGTGCGGAGCGAGGAATGGAGCGGGCGCGTGGAGCGTGGAGCGGAGCGCGGAGCGTGGAGCGAAACTAGAAGTGGGGAGTTGAGCGGAGCGTGGAGTGCGGAGCAGAGTGAGGAGTGGGGAGGTGAGCGCGGAGCGTGGAGCGGAACGAGAAGCAGGGAGTGGAGCGCGGAGCGGAGCGAGTAGCGGGGAGTGGAGCGGAACGAGGAGCGGGGAGTGGAGCGTGGAGCGGAGTGAGGAACGCGGAGTGGAGCGTGGAGCGGCACCTGTGCCTTGTGGCGCTCGCGCAGCCGCACTTCCTTCTCGATGAGCAGCTGGCGCCGGTGCGTCTCCTCGGCGAGCCGCTCCTCCAGCGCCTCCCGCAGCCTCCGCTCCTCCTCCAGCGCCTGGCGCTCCATCTCCATCTCGCGGTCCTGCTCGCGTGCACAAACGTTGAAGGTCCCCCGTGCAGGCTTAACAGACCGTTGGGGCAAGTGCTGCGAGCGAGTCGCACTGAACCAGCGCGGTGAAGTATGGTTAAACAACCCCCATGAGCGCATATCTGTCAACCCATGCGGTTTACCCCGTATTCTTGGACAGGGAAATTGAGTTTTCAGGTCCCAACGGCGTGCAGCCGTTTCAATACGGGCAAAAACTAAATTGTCTATTTGTGTTTCTCCCTTTGTAGGATGAACGTTGAGATTCATAAGGGGCTATCCATAAATGACGTCACGCACCTGGGGGGGGGGGGGTCAGACATTTGTGACGATGTTTGACGAGGGGGGGTGGTTTGAGAAATGTGACGTCACATCAAAATGCGCAACTTTAAATAAATATAGACAACACGTTCTACTTAATTAAATTGACTTTTTAATAAATGTTTTCTCCTACAACATCAGAGTGCAGCGCCACATTAAATACGCAACTACAATGACAATAGTTTAAAACGATTTGAAGAATGTTTTATTTAAAACATTTACATAGGGTTTTGGTGGGGGGGGGGGGCAGAGCTTTGTGACGTCATATCTGAGGGGGGGTCTGACTTTTTGCAACGCCGTGTGACGAGAGGGGGCGGGGGTCAAAAATCGTCCAAAATCGCGTGACGTCATTTATGGATGGCCCCTAAGGGGCACGGGGTGGCCAATAAGGTCTGAGCTGGTCTGTAACAAGGTAGGGCACTGACAAGGGGTTGGCAGCTGTGCGAGCGAGAAATGTGTGGGGAGGCCTCTGTCTCGCAGTGGCTGTGAATGACAAACCTTGGTCTGCAGGAGGTGGGACTTTTCGGCTTGAGCTTCTCGGAGAAGCCTCTCCATTTCCTCAAACCGCCCACTGTCCGGCCCACTGGCGCTTTAGCGACAGGGAGGCAGGGGAGACGCGGAGACGACAAGAGAATCAACGACAGGCGTTACGTTGCGTGCCGATAACTAACCGCTGGTGGTACAAACAAGTTTGAGCCTCTCTTGGGCAACAGCTGAGCCTCAAGACTCTTTGCTACATTCGGTAAAGGTTGAGCCCTGAAATTGTTTGTTGAGAAAGGCCTGACAAAATTGGTTCTGATTGTGCTACTGGCATCATTTTAAAGAGGAGACATTTCAAATTGAGAATTTTAATGGACTCCGTTGTCGTTAATTATGGCGCAATCTTTCTCAATATTGCAGAGGGCAATAAGTCAAGATCGGAATGTGTCTGTGTGTGTGTGCATGCAAATACTGGTGACCAGGCCGAGACCATCATGTGAACACATTTGAGAGCCAGGTTTTTTATTCACGGGTGACTAAAACCCAGATTCAAACCCAGGATCTCAGCAGTGCTGGCGTAGTGTCTCTGACCACTAAACCACTCTCACACCTCAATCACCGTTATTAATAAACAAACCTACTTGCTGTACTTCCTGCTCGAGGGCGCCACGTTAACTGCCTCGCCTGGTATGCAGGAGGTCGTGGGTTCGATCCCGACCCTGACACCTGCTGTATATTTGGAGTTTGCGTGTCTCTCTCTCTCCCCGTGGTCGCGTGGATTTTCCCCCAGGTTCTTCGGTTTTTTCCCTCCACATTTAGAATCGACATCACGTGTTTAGAGTAGTTTGGCTGCTATAAATATCCACGTGATGATAAGCCACTTCGTCGAGCAATCATTTGCGATAGCCAGATTGCTTATGAAAATTAGTTATATGGCTCAGTGAGCCTTCTCTGCTGATAAAAAAAGTTTAGTTTGTGACCAGGTCACTGCTGAAAACGAGATATATTGCTCATTGGGCCTTTCCTGGTAGAATTTAAAAAAATATTTTAGTTTGTGGCCAGGTCACTTCTGAAAACGAGATATATGGCTCAGTGGGCCTTTCCTGGTAGAATTTTAAAAAATATTTTAGTTTGTGGCCAGGTCACTTCTGAAAACGAGATATATGGCTCAGTGTGCCTTTCCTGGTAGAATTAAAAAAAATATTTAGTTTGTGGCCAGGTCACTTCTGAAAACGAGCTATATAACTCAGTGGGCCTTACCTGGTAAACATAAAAAAACTAGTTTAGTTGACTCTGGCCTTGCGCGAGTACCTTGAGATGTCGTCGGGCGAAGCGTTGGTGTCCAGGCTGTCCGAGCTGCCCAGGCTGATGGAGTCACATGACCGCTCGGCCGTGTTGCCACGGTGACCGTCCCTGTGCCATGGCGGCTCGGGCCCAATCTCTCCCACATCCATTCCTCGCCTGGCTTGACCTGTGGAAGCACGGGGCGTGAACGTGAGAGGACATTTGAAATACTTTTGGCTCTTTTATTCCCCTCAATTGCACTATCGGTGTAATGTAATCAGATAAAGTGTCTGTTTGGAATTCTCGCAGATATCAGTATATCACTCTTGGTTAGACAATGACCCTTGGAAGCAGACATCACAGAGCTAGTTCTGAGATTCCCTTCTAATGAGCTCACACCGGCATTCAGCAGCAATGCACTTTTGCAAGTGCCCTGCTATAGCGAGGGAGGCTTATCGCGTAGCAGTCAAACTAACAATTACATTTTTTTCCACCTAGATCCGGGCTTCCATTAAGTATGGGTTCTTAACTGCATTGACGGTCTCAACCCAGTCACCAACTGCTTCGACAAGAAAAAAAAACTCGCCGTACTAGATTTTGGTTTTACATTTCACTTGGTGACATTCCACCTCTTAGAATATAAATCATATAGTTTGACTGTCACTCAACAAGTAATTATCACCGTGCCAGGGAAAGTGCTGCCCCCCCCCCACTCCCGACCTCCATGGAGTTAACCCAGATGTGTAGGCATTAGAGATGATGCTGCTGGATGTGGATAACGCATACCTGTCAACCCATGAGGGTTTACCCCGTATTCTTGTACAGGGAAATTGAGTTTTCAGGTCCGTACGGCATACAGCCGTTTCAATACGGGCACATTTTTTTTCGTCTGTTCGTGTTTTTCCCTTGTGATGGGACTTTATAGGATGAATGTTGAGATTCATTAGGGTACGGAGTCGCCAATAAGGTCTGAATTGGTCTTTAATAAGGTAGGCACTGACAAGGGGTTGACAGGTATGGTAGTGTAGTAGTATAGTAGTGTAGTATAGTAGTATGCTATAGAAGTGTGATGGGACTTTGTAGGATGAACATTGAGATTTATAAGGGCACGGAGTGACCAATAAGGTCTGAATTGGTCTGTAATAAGGTAGGCACGGATAAGGGGTTGACAGGTGTGGTAACGTAAGTCCTTGATGAATGTGGCCTACGCTAGGCTTTCTGCGTCGTTGCTGCCCCGGCGCGACCGGTGGTCTCGCATTGCCGGTGTGTCGGTGTGATAGCCGGCAGCGGCTTGAAGCATTCTGGTTGGGTTCACGCTGGGCCACTTTGAACGCCCCGTGGCTTAACGCGACGGCCACTCAATGAGCCCCCACAGTAAGTGAACGTCGCAAGGGGGGTGTGAAGCTAACGGGCCGCTACGTTGAACTTTGGAACGTTACGTAAAACGTCTAGTGAGCCGGGCAACCAAATCGGAGTTAGGGTGGCACGAAGGGGATTGGGAGCAAAAACCTCTTCAGCAGTCATCAAAGACAAAGATCCCCCGTGTAGCCTTAACAGACTGTTGGCGCAAGTGCTGTTAGCGAGTAGCACCCTATGAAGGCCGGCATGGCACACGAAGGGGTGCGTGGCCAGCACCATGCCCGGCCAACCTTTGTCCCCCCAGTGGCTAGGTTTACACACCGTACCAGGTACTCATTTGAGGCTGAGTCACCCTAGGGGAGGCCGAAGATAATCGTCACTAAGTTGTCAGGTGGCCAGTGAGCGGGGATAGAACTCGCTGCTGCCCCAGCGGGTAACGCCACACCGCGTGTGACCACTGGCGGCGGTGCAAGGCTCGCGACTCTGCGTACGATGCGAGAAACCCATCGTGACAGAATAGAATACTGAAACACGTTCACTAAGGTAAAATTACACTCCAGTGTGAACCCACCCAGTTGTATGATTCACATGCTCAGCAAGCTTCACTCCTCATGCTAGGCCCGGGCTTTTTTTGTGAAGTAAAAAAAAAGCCCTGACAAAAAACCCCGCGCGTGTGTTTTGGTTCCCCCCCCCCCTCAGATCAAATAACAAACGTGCCGGGAGGTTTCCTCCCCACCCTCCACTCGGCCTACCTTTCTTACGCAAGCCCTTCCCAGTGCCTGGCGCACACAGACAGAATAGAGTGGCACGTGTTGTCTTCAGCGCGTGTCAAACGGAAACAAGCCGACAAAACCTCCAACGTTTAACGAATATGAAATCGAGGCAAAATACACGCACGCAAAAAAAAACCATCTCAATGATAATGCAAACTATCTCAAATGTTCTACGGAGGTGGTGGGGTGTGTGTGTGTGTGGGGTGAGGGTCCATAAAGGTGTCATCCATTATTAAACGAATAGACAGTAGACAAGTTAGATTTCTTGGGCATGTAATGTGTAAACAAAGTGACTCGGTATGAATGTGGCTTTGACCGAGAAACATCGGTACCGCGAGAAGCCGGGGAAGACAGCGAATTAAGTTTCACCGTGGACAACTCGAGCAATCGGATGCCGCTGGGAGAAGAATCCGATGCAAAGCTTTTGAGTAAATATCACGGAAAGAGTGGAAGTCGAACTCGGGCCACCGGGTTTCGTAACACAGCGCGCCAACCGCTATGCCACCGCTCCCTACTGCTTGTGGACTTCACGTACTTCGTCAGGTGCTTCGATTTCTCTCGTAAGGGAGGTACTCATTTGACTCTGAGTAGCAAATAAGTACAGCCCGTTCTCCTATAACGCTGAGTGTTGTTTTCATAACGCGAATCGGATATAAACGCGATAAATTGGGGGAATGTATTTTTTTAAACGCAGATGCAAATTGCATATAATGCGGTTGAGTGCACGAAAATAGGAACAAGCGGTTGTACGGCGGCCTCGGCGTAGCATCACACAAGGCGGGATGCTGCTGGATGCTTCTAGATGCTACCCACGCATCTCACTCTTTGTTCGGCCTGCGTACGCATCTCACGTGTTATCTGTGCTTCGCCCTATATTATTATTTAGTATAACGCGATTTTTCATAACGCGATATTCTTCAGAAACACAACAACTACTGCGTTATAGAAGAACTCACTGCATAAGGAATATGCTATCAACATTTGAACTGCACAATTGGAATTTCAGCAGCGACTATAATTCTTTAATAATGGATGATATGCTTTATGGACGCCTTGTATTGGACTTTCAACGCCGCGTCAGAAGTGTTCTCAAACTTTGTTCGCCTCGTTGAACCGGGTGAGCATGCGTTGCGGGACACAGGTGCACGGCTACCCACCTTTCCTGTGTTTACCTTCCAGAGGAAGTGACAGGACGAAGGGGAAAGACAAGATAAGGTGAACGAGTTAGGGGTGGCGTTCATCACCGAGATTCATTTTAAAGATCCGTTTCTTAGCAATAACAAGCAACCCGCGCGTCCTTTGGACGTGACCGTCCGGCTGACCCTCCCAGCCAGCCAGCCAGCCAGCAAAACTTATATAGAGCCCTGTCTCGCTCCACCTTTCTCTTTCCTTCTCTCTGTGCTATGTCTCGCAACGTGTCTCAATATCTCGCTTTGTCTCTGTTTCTCCATTCCTCTGTCCCCTCTCCTCCCTCCGCTCTATCTCACCAACTTCCCTGCCCCTACCTCTCTCCCCGTTAATCTGTCTCACCTCTCACCCTCGCTCTCCCTATTCCCAGCTCTCCCTTCACCGTCTCAATCTCTCTTGCCTCTCCCCAATCCTCTCTCCCAATGCTTACCACGTTCCCTCGCTCTCCTCTTTTCGTTTCGCTCTCTCTCCTTGCCTCTCCCTTTCAGGCCCTTTCACTCTCTCTCTCTCTCCGCCCCTCTCCTCTCCGTTATTTCCTCCCTCCCTCTGTCCTCCTTCCTCCCTCCCTCCCTCCCTCACCTCCCTCCTCTCTCTCTACTCCATCCCATGTGTGTGGGACACGCATCCCGGGTGGAGGCTCAACGCCGTGGAATGCGGGTGACGTCACCTTCGTGCCAGCCAGCAAGGAATCCAGCCAGGCTGCCATGAAATAGAGCCAGCAAAACTCTTTTTTCAAGTGTAGTATGATCATCATTATTATTTGTTTCTGATACAGCTGCCCTCCAATCCACCTGGGCGTCGCAAGATTGCTTTACACCTCATTTCACCTCAACACATTTGCCAGGGTACCCCCCCCCACCCAGCGGCAGCTGTCCCTGTGTGGCACACGGTGAACCCAGAACCTGACCTACACACGGGCATCAGTCTTGGCAGTAGGGGTGGCGATGATTTCTTGCTGTGAGTAATACCACCCCCGTTCCTCGTAGCTAAGCAATAACAGATTTGCCTTCGCAGTCTAATTTACGTATGTTTTGCATTATCCTCCGATCAATTGCCCTGCAGAATGAACTCGGCACAGATGTTGAAGAGTTGACCGGATAGAGAGTATCACAGTATGGGCCTGAGACTCAAGGAGAAAGTGTTCCATGTGGCAGGAGTGTTTGCGTGTCGGGCTTGGGAGTGGTCGCATATCGGTTAGGGCTCTGCACTAGGAATCAGGTCACCAGTAACATCTGGTGACAGCGCGAGACGATAAAACATTTGGGGGGGGGCCCACCTCTACCGATTGCCGCACCCCCCCCCCCCACCCCGAGCTGTCAATGTAGTCACTACAGCCACTGCACGGGGGGGTCAGGGTGGGGGCGGGTGGGCAGGGGGGCCGGTTGGCGTGTGAGACGGGAGACGAACCTCGTGGTGGAGGGCCCGTGGGGGGCCGCTTGGAAGCGCCATGGCGATGCCCTCCTCGTGGGAGCTGCGCAGGTTGCGGGGAAGCGTGCTGCTCCCAAGAGCCACGCCGCCCACCTGCTGAGGGATGGGGGAGCCACACGCGCAGGACGCCACGGAGCGTCTGGGTCAAGTGTGCGGGGAGCGGTGGCGCGACGGTTTAGCGCGACGGTTTAGCGCCGCACTGCGCTGCGAACCCGGCGACCCGCGTTTCGATTCCCGCTCACGGCTACCGACACCCGTGACGATTATCTGAACCGGTCCTGGGCCTCCCCTAGGTCCACTGCAGGCGTGGTGCTGGCCACTCACCCCACCCACTTTGCGTGCCACGCAAGCCACAATCGACGCCCGGTGGCCGCGAGCACAGTTCTAAACTGTGGCCGCCGGGTTCGTAGGGCAGCGCGCCAAATCGCGGCGCCTCCGCCCCCCTCCCTGCGCGCGCGTCCCCCGCCACTCGCGAAGGCCGCGTCGCCCGTCACGGCGGAATGGCAGCAGACAAACGGGGCCACGCGGCACGCGCTCGGAGCGCTCGGAGCGGCTCACCCTCTTCCCGTGCGCGGCGCCGGACGGCGACGCGTGATGCTCGGGAGCGCCGCAGGCGGGTTGTCGTGACGACGACGACGACGAGGTGATGATGTCGCTCTGCGTGGATGTCTCCCGCTGCAGGCGCCGCTTTTCGCCGCTCGTCCGGCCGCCCTGCTCGGGCGCGCGCACGAGGTCGAGGGGAAGATAAAGTGAAACTAAACTTTGTATCACCATTGGAACGTCATTTGCCAGTAAAAATATGATAATTGTTTTTTTACCATTCTATCTGGCAACAAAACTGACACCTCTTTGTCAGTTTTGTTGCCAGATAGAAGGGTAAATGCTTACCCTGAGCTCTCATACTCTGATGGTGCATTGTCTTTGAGTTGTGCGCCTTTTGGCGTCATCTGGTCCAACACCATGTGAGACTAGGCTCTAAGGAAAGCTGTCTCGGGTGTGGACCAATCAACTTCAAGGACAGTGCATACATTATCAGAGTTATGTTTTTTGTTTGCATTATGACTGCAGGTATTGTGATCTGTGCAAACATGACTCCTTGTAAAAAGGTGTCAGTTTTGTTGCCAGACAGAAGGGTAAAAAAACAATTATTAAACTTTGTATTTCAGCAGGTAAGGGCCCCATTGAGCTATACAGCTCGTTCATCGGAAGCGACGTGGCTATCACAAATGATGGCTCAAGGAGGTGGCTCGTCATCACGTGGACATGTACAGCAAGCCAAATACTGTGAACGCACGTTTATTGTAAATGTGGAGGGAAAAACCGGAGGACCCGGAGAAAAATCCACGCGACCACGGTGAGAGAGACACGCAAACTCCAAATATACAACAGCAGGCGTCAGGGTCGGGATCGAACCCACGACCTCCTGTATACCAGGCGGGGTAGTTAACATTTTTACACCCCGACACTGGCGCGGCTCTGTCGGCCTTTTGCCTGTAGGTTCCCTTCAGCCTCTACGAATTAGCTGGCGATGCTGACGCTGCTGCTAACCGCGTTGGCAGTGGTGCACAAGCACGGCCAGCGACGGTGAACTCGGCACGCTCGTCAATAACAACGCCTGTGTGTGGCCTTCAGAGAGAGAGAATGACATTCGCAGTGTTCTTCACCCATTTTCAGAGCGGGTGGGAGGGGAGCCACCATATTTGCCAATAACAGGCCCGCTAACACCATCATCATCATCATCACCGCCATCATCGTGACAGCGGCACGATGATGACGGGGGGTGTTTTCACGTTTGTGTATTGTCGGGGTGCCGCATGTCAGGGGTCGCCAGTGGCCTGCGGTGGGCCTTGCAATGACGAACACTCATAAACAGCCTTGGCCCAACAGTCAGGACACATAGGGTTATTTCATTTACTTTAACACCTATTAAGGCCAACGCGGCGTATGTGGGGGTTATGTGGCCAGCACCACGCCCGGCCGCCTTTGTCTCCCCAGTGGCGATGTTTACACACCGCACCGGGTACTCATTTAAAGCTGAGCTGGAATAGAACTTGGGCGCTGGGTTCCTAGTGGAGTGCGATAACCAATCCGCCACCGCTCCCCGCAGCTTCAAGATCATTAAATTCTGGCACACACGCACACGCATGTATACACACATGTAGATACACGTACGTAGAAGTACATGCATGGGCACACGAATATGTGTATACACGCAAAGGCAAGGATCACCCGCATAACCATACAAACCTTTGGGGCGAGTGTTGTAGGCGAGCACCTATTAAGGTCGGCATGGCACACGAGGAGGAGGCGTGTGTACATGCAAATACATGTACATGCACATATGCACATGTACATACATGCACAGACGCACACTTAGGCATGCACACACGTGTATGTATATATGTGAACCTGCATGCGCGGACACACACACACTTATGCATGTCCAAAACCAAAAGGTGGGTAAGCCAGCTGGACCACCTTTGTCTCCCCAGTGCTGATGTTTACACACCACATCAGGTACTCATTCAAGGCTGAGTCGACCTAGGAGAGTCCCAGCACCGGTTCAGATAATCGCCACTGGTGTTGGTGGCCGTGAGCGGGAACCGAACTCGGGTGCCAGGTTCGTAGCGTTACTCCCGACACACGCACGCACGCACACTAGTACGATGCATCTCGAGTGAACTTGCAGGTCAATAGGGTGATGCCCCGGTGGTTTACGTCGGGGGATGCGTTCCTGAAAGGTGCGACGACGAATATCGAAACGACGTCAATCGAAGCGATGTACAGGGTGGTGGTAGTGGGTGGTGGTAGTGGGTGGTGGTGATGGTGGTGATGGTGGTGGCGAAAGCTGAGAGGCGAAAGATAACGAGAAAGGACGGACGATGCCGACCGCGACGTGAGCGCGTGGGGTAACCAGACGACGCTAATCGGGTCGTGGTTAAACGATGACGTATATTGCAGAAACGACGTCAAAAATGGGGAAGAAGTAAGTCGGGGGTATGACCGTAGCACGTTTAACCCTTTCCCGTTCTGAGACGTGTGCAAGTCACAGGGTGTGGGTGATATTCGCCGCTGAATCTCGGAACGCGCAAGAGGCTTGGCTGTAATTTTTATTCAGGTGTAGTAGCGCCGCTGTGATGAAAGCCATTGCACCCACCACAGTGAACCATAAGCGAGACGACCGCACTCCACGGAAGCAAAATTGCGCCACGCGACCTCCCGCATGGCCTCGTGGGAGCCTCGGTAACGATACAGTTATTTTACTCTGGTTTTTATTCCGTTTTCGTCACGATATACGTACGCACGTCATCGGAACGGAAGTCTGAAGAAAAACCGATGGCGTGCACGTACGTCGCCACGTACGTCATCGCAACGGGAAGGGGTTAATTACAACGCAGCCGACAACGCGCTTGCACGCGCTTTACCTGGGCCCCCAGCGTAAAGCGCATTTTGACCGGCAGAGGGGGCGGCACTTGACAAGGGGCCTCTTGGTCAGGTGACAGGAACCGCCTAATCATGTGCTCAGTGCCCAGAGCATTCTGGGGGTATGTCCCGAAGGGAAAGCGAGCGGCAGAAGCGACAGGGCAGGGGGAGAAGTGCAGCAGAGCAACGAGCGGGGGGGGAAGGGGTGGGAGAGAAAAGGAGAAGAACGGTGTCAGGAAAACGTGGAAACGGGAGCTCGCGACGCAGCCGTCAGAATTCAAGTAGAGGTAGGTGAAGGCGTTCAAAAGTGTCGGGGAAGAAAATGAGGAGAAGATTGCACCTCGTGGAATAGAAGTATTCGTTTGATTGCGCAGCGCACGCGGAGTGTGCACAACTTTGAAGGCATCTCGAGTGTGATGTCGCAAATTTGATCAATTACCACGCTTATTTTATTCAGTCAGCTCAATCCTAAATCTGTAACCTTGCAAATACAGAAATGCCCAACTCTTAGCTGTGGCCGATATCCCAGATTGCGACTAGGACCATGACACCGTTGCGTAACGATCAACTCCTGCAAATGATCTCAACAGATTTTTTAAAAGTCCACTGTTGCATTTTTTTTACACCTCTGGCAGTTGCTACATTGGCTGCGATAATTGCAATCGGCATTCTGCCTCCTCCGCCTGAGAACATTGCACTGACCTGCGCACCACTTCACTAGAACATAACAAAGAGACTTCTGTATTTTCAATAAGTAAAGAGACCAGCATCATCAACGTCACCGTGGATCCTTTTCTCGCACGACGTTGGAACTTGATGCATATTTTTTTTTATTTACTTGAGAATCTGGGCGATGGCATTCAGTACGATGGTGCCTGCTCTGCGGATCATAATGATGGATTAATGATGAAGGATTCATCATTAAGAATTCATAATGAAGGATTGATAATGAAGCATTCATAATCAAGGATTGATCGTGAAAGATTCATAATGAAGGATTCAAATTCAACTTGTCATGGATAATTATGGAATGAAATCGGGTTTAACGACACATTTATATATTTAGAAGCGATCTAAACTATATTATGGATGATATGGGTCGCGAAAGCCTACGTGTTAAAATGTCTCTTTACTTGTTGAAACATCCAAGCAACTTCTCCTTCAGCCACGGCAGTGTGGGGGGAGGAGGGGCGATGGGGGGGGGGGGGATACTGATTATTTGGGCAAGGGCTGACGCACCTCCAGTTCAGGCAGAGGGGACGTCGGCACGGTGACGGGAGGGGTTGGCATGGCGATGGGAGTGGGGTCAAGGGGCGTTTCCGCGGAGATGAGAGGGGAGCCGTACAGCTCATAGATTTGGTCCAGTGTGATGTACTCCTGCGGCTGACACGGGAGCACCAACCCAAGACGGTTCACGGTCACTTCGCACGATCACACTCAGCACTGTTTCGTGTTCAGAATGACAACATTCACGAGTACCGGTAAATTAAACGATGATAAAATGAGAATCATACCAAATGGATTGACATCACATTTTTATCATGAGCTTAAATGCCAGCTGGAGAACGGGGCCGGGGGGGGGCGAGAGAGTGGCGGTCAACTCATCCCATCATCTCTCCGGGGTCACGAAAAAATTATCGGCGGTCGTTGTATAGATGTACCGGCCCTTGCCATGGGAATGTGGAATGTCCGCTGCTGGCTCAGGGATGCCAATGGAGGTGAGTGCCACTCAACTGTCATTTGAGTGTTCCACGACTGACGTTGTCGCATGGCAGAGACAACGTTAAGAAGAATACGGAAGCAGAATGGAAAACAGTAAAGACATGAATGCAAAGACAGGCACGTGAGGATTCATTCAAAAGGTCAAATTCCGGGTGACAAATTCAAGAACAGATTCATTTTTGTATCACTGTGGTGCGTGGGGGGGGACCTATACTGGCTGCGGGCTGGCGATGGACCAATAACGTACACAAATGATTGAAAATTAACACATCACTTTGGTCACTTTCCGAATGTTTGTCCACTCGTGCGGTTACCGTCAAGCTACGGGCACGAAGCATCCACGCAAAGCGCTCGCAGTGCATCGCCCTGCGTGTTAGAGAGAGGCGCGAATGCGCGCAGGGAGGGGGGCAAGTGGGTAGGAGGGGGGGGGGAGTTGCGGCAGAGAGAGAGGAGCGGCGAGGTACCTGGCTGAGAGGTGGAGTGAGAGAGAGAGAACTCGGAGGGGAGGGGGAGGCAGCGGCAGTGGGTGCCACGCACGGCTCGCACGCCTCCGTGCCCGCGGGCTCGCAGTAGAAGCGGTAGATGTCAGAGAGCTGCCAGTAGCCCTGGCGCGAGGAGGGAATGCACACACACACGGGGGCATCACGCGTGGGGATCGCGCGCAGGAATCGCGTGTGGGCATCACACACGGGGCATCGCTTCCGGCCAGGCTCTGCCGCGCGTCTGCACGTGAATGTGTTGTTGTTGTTTCTCGATTTGAAGTTTTCGTGACTGCAAGGATCCATACTCTTTTGTTCTTTCGGTAAAGTCACGTAGATGAAAATATAAATAACAACGGACGCTTGTGTTGCGCCTGAAACGTCGTGATTTAATTTAGTTATTTTAATTTGTATTATTAGTTTTATTTTCACCTACGGAACTTTACCGTAAAAACCAAAGAGTGTTGTTGTTGTTGTTACACGGTGTGGTTTGGAGCGCTCGTGCGTCTTTTTTCGTTTGACGTTTTGTCGAATTCCGATCGCGCTGTCGGAGGTGGAGGAAATCCGTTTGTAAACGCGGCGTTGTAGCAGCGGGACCCTCCGCGTCAAACGGAGCGCGCACGCGGAAGCGGACACTGCAGAGCTACGTCCGAGATCCACAGTGACTCCCTGGCGCTCCCAGTAGGGGGCAGCGCCTTCCCACGTGTCCCGACGCAGGCAGTGAAAATTAAACGAATGTATTTGAATGTCTCAACAGCTGGAAATTGTGTAAACTAATTGGAAAAATCGATTGCAATGTGATGGGTTTTGTTGTGCGGTCGACAGTAACCCGGGCTGAGACCATCAACTCGCGAACATTCTCGGATAAAGTTTGATCAAAGGCAGCTGCTTCGGTTTGAACCTCGGTGGGCACAGCATGGGTGTGTATCACCACGTGGGTGCGGCATTGGGTTGTGCAAGGCGTGTTGTGACACATCGGTGGTGCAGCGCAGAGGCGTGCAGCCACGTGTTGTGGCCCGTGCGTGAGTCGTGCAGCGCGGGGGGTGGGGTGGGGGGTTGTGCAGCGTCACCAACCTGCGTGGGTGGCGCTGGGGCGATGGGCAGTCGCTTGCCCCCCGTGAGCAGAGCGTAGCGCTCGTCCAGCTCGGAGAGCCATGCCCTCTCCTGCCGACACAGAAGCACGCGGCGACGGCGTCGCAACTAAACACACACTTGCCCACACGGCCGCTGAGTCAGCGGCGGGAAATGTTTTTAATTTAAATGCCCGCGTTCGTACGCTGCCGACTTGCCGCCAAAGGTGGCATTTCTGGACTTCCGGAGAAAATCAGGGCTTCGCAGCTCGTCAGATTCCTCCGGTCTCAATCATGTTTTTGCTTGTTGCGGTTGCACCCGATTCAAGAGCCGAATGGCTCACAGGGCTATACCTAATTAATGAACTTGAACGATTCCGACGTGACTTTACCGAAAGAACCAAGAAGATTAATCCCTGCAGTCACGAAAGTTTTGAATCGAAATTCACCTTCGCTTTGTTGACTAGGTTTACTGAGCAATGACGAACTTACCCGGTGGAGACGGTGGGCCAGCTGGTTCTTCTCCCGGTGGAGGCGTTCCTGCTCCTGCAAGGCCTGCTGGGATAGCTGCCGCCCCTCCCCATCCAGTGCCGCCACCTTCTCCTGGGGAGCGGTCGCACGATGTGCGAGATGTTAACTCCCTCGCCTGGTAAACTGGAGGGTTATAGGCCACGGGACTATGTTGCGGGCACGCGATGCAATGAATTCAAAGAATCATAATGAGATATCTGGGCCAGGCATCACAGAAATGACGAAGCAATATAACGCATGCAATGTAGTCATTCTAAGAATCAAATTGAGATTCCAGGCCAGAAATCATAGAAATCGTCCAGCAAAGTCGTGCATACAATGCACTGATTCCAATAATCATATCGAGATTCTGGGGAAGGGATCACAGGAATCTATGTATGTTAAACTTCATTCACACCGTACGGAGCCCACTGCATTGCGCTCTATTCCATGAATCGTAATTGAGATTCCGTGCCGCGGTTCGCACGAATCGCCCAGCAAGGGTCCGGTTCGCCCTTGCGTCCGTCACCTTTCGCGTGGCGATGCTGGTCTGGAGGTCCCTGACGTCAGCCAGAAGCCGCTGGCTCGAGGCCTCCCTCTCCTCCTCGGCGCGGCTCTCCCCCTCCAGCTGCTGGAACTCCAGGTCCTCGAAGGTCTTCGTCTCAACCTCGAGACGCTCGGCTTCCTGTCGTGCCGGGCGGGCGGGGGGCAGGCAAGGTTACGCTAAATGCAAGAGGTTGTTTTGTTTAGTGGAATTTTTTACATGTTTTTATATTATTTTTATATCTTGATATGAATGTTTTTATATATTGTTTTATATTTTTTAATTACTTTTTACAAGATATTCTGACGTTATTTTATATTTTTATATTACAATTATTTTTATGTTTTTCATATATAATTTTTTTCTTCGTATCATTTTTTTCAATTTCACCACCGGGTGGCTTCATTAGTAATTCTGAAACCAACGTCAGCATAGCTTTCGGTTTCAAAAAAACCTCCCGAAAAACTGCATCACTCTGCTCACTGGTGTTTTAGTGCTTCTCTCTCTCTCCAGGCTTTGCTTTTCGATGGCAGACCGATCACGTGATCAAAGATGGGGGGCGGTGCCTTTGCACGACTGCGCATCAGGAGAGAGCGGCCTGCTGGTTTTTTTGTTTGTTATTCCTTTGTTCCCAAGAGCCTGCGACGAAAAGCGAAATTTCATCAAGGATCTGCCCCGATAGTTATTCCCTACGCGCACCGAATTGTGCGTCATCCCTACGTCGCCTGTCCGTCTAAACAATCGACCTCTCAAAATTAGAGCGACAATGGCTGGCGCCGGAAGATCAACTTGCCTCCAACTTTCTTCCACCATCACGAGCACGCTCACATCCTGACCGTTAAACTCCTTCCACCCGACTGCAAACATTCCCACGATTCTTACAAATGTCACCGGTATTTGCCGATTCATCCTCCATGCCGCGATTAACGCACTTTATCATTTTAATTTCAGCCGCGGTCCGCTCCGTGACCGTGGTTGGATGGCTCGTTTCAACTGAAATCTCGGTTCATTGCATCTCAAATGCCGGCGCTGTACTCAACAAAACCTACGAAGGATAAAATACGTTCATTCTGTTCGCAAGTAAAACGTGCTTTGCACACCCGTCTAATTGGACCGAGCGTCGCGTGATGGTGTAAAAACTCGAAGCGAAAACCCTGGGGGTAGCTTGACTAACACGACGACCATCGCTCATCACCAAGTGGCGGTGACGTCAACCACGGTGCCTGTGCCATGCTAGGTACACTCAGTGCCGGATTAAGCTAGTGCGGGGCCTGTAGCATATGCTATGAAGGGGCCCTAAATAAAATAAAAACTTAAATATTAAAACATGCAAATGTTTTACTTGCATAGGAAAGTAATTGTATTTTTTCATTTCCTATACAGCCAAATAATACGACAAATCGCCAACCTTAAACACCCAGTCGCTCATAAAACTTAAAGTCGGTATAGTACTATAGTAATAGAGCAAGTGCAGAATCACTGAACCGGAATTGATAGCTCGAAAGCATTTAACGTAGGGCCCTTGAAAGTGCGGGACCCGTAGCATATGTAGTAGCTACTTATGTAGTAGCTACGAGGATAATCCAGCACTGGGTGCACTCTGAAGCTCGACTGGACATGCAGCCCCACGTGCAGCCCCACGTGCAAGCGACCACAAAAAAACCAACACGTGACGGTGGAGTTAGTACTTTAGTCGTTTTAGTCCGGCCAATCACGAAGCGGGGGGCGAGCGTCACGTGATCACAGCCCAGCCAATGAGGACATTGCGCGGGCGGGTAAAAATGGCGCTGCGGCCACGTTGAGGGATCGAAGACGAAAGCAAAGATGGGGGAATTGGGGGTAGGGGGAAGACGCGAGGGGAAGGTCAGGGGGGGGAAGGGATTCGGACAACGGGGAAAATGTGGAGCGAGCGACCGGGGGGGGTGAGGGGGGTCGAGGGGTCGGGGGAGACGGGAGGTGGCGGCACTGACCCTTCTCAGCTGCTGCTGCAAGTGCTCTCGCAATGCCTCTGGGCAGGTGTCTAGCTGCCTGCGCGCGTCTAGGTGTGCGCTGCGGAGGCTTTCTAGCTTCTCCCGGGCCGCCGCGAGCATTGCCCTCTCCTGCGCACGGCGCAGACACAGCGGAGGGGGGGGGGGGGGGCACGCCGTGAGCGAGACTGGGGGGGCGACGGGGCGACACCGCGGGGAGCTGCCGCCACCGTCGCGATCGCTCTCCTGACCGGCGAGTCTCCGCGGCAGGGCCGCTGCGAAATTCAAGCGATTCGAAACTAAAAACCCGTAAACTATTTGTTTATTTTACTCAGGTAAGGTCCCACTGAGCTGTGTAGCTTTCTTTTTTAATCAGAAGCGACCTGGCCACAAATGACAGCTCGACGTAGCGGCTTATCTTCGCGTGGACATTTATAGCAGCTGAATACTCTAAATGTACGTCGATTCTAAACGTGACAACGGGGAGAGAATGAGACACGACAAACTACAAATATACAGCAGGCGTCAGGGTCGGTAGCGAACCCACCACCTCCTGTATACCAGGCGAGGTAGTTAACATCTCCTAGCCACCGTGATGATGATGATGAGAGAAACACACAAACTACACAAACTATAAATATACAGCAGCAGGCGTCAGGGTCGGTATCGAACCCACGACCTCCTGTGCACCAGGTGATAGTTAACATCTCCTAGCCACTGTGGCGTTGTGGGGGGAGGGGGGTGCTGTACTGTAAGCGATGGCTGCGCTTGATAGAGGCCCGCAGGCCTCGATATTCGCGACCTGGCAAACAACACCGCGTTTCTTATTTCACCGCTCTCGGTCGCTTCTGTCATTGGCACGGGTCCCATTGTGCTTCGCGTTGTTATTATTGGATAACGGAGAGGTCTGTGTGTGTGTGTCTGTGTCACCGTGCGGGGAGCAGCAGTGTTAGCGCGCTGCGCTACGAACCCGGTGGGGCCCCCGAGTTCGATTCCCGCTCACGGCCAACAACACCGGTGGCGATTATCTGAACCCGGTCCTGGGCCGAGCGCACCGCAGGCACAAACACAACTGACAAAGATCCCCCGTGTAGCCTTAACAGACTGTTGGGGCAAGTGCTGTTAGTGAGTAGCACCCTATGAAGGCCGGCACGGCACACAAGGGGGTGGGTGGCCAACACCACGCCCGGCCGCCTTTGTCTCCCCAGTGGCGACGTTTACACACCGCACCAGGTACTCATTTTAAGCTGAGTCGACCTAGGGGAGGCCCAGGACCGGTTCTGATAATCGTCACTGGGTGTTGGCCGTGAGCAGGAATCGAACAAGGGTCGCCAGGTTCGTAGCGCAGTGCTAACCGCTGCACCACCGCTCCCCACCTTGGACACACACACGCACGCGCGCAACACTCACACACACTCACACACCCCGGGGGGGGAGGGGGGGGTGGCCAAGCGCTGCGGCCTGAGCCGGCGACGGGATTAGTTCGGCCAGTCTGTTAACGTCCGCACGGGCGAGCAAGTGGTCAGGCAGTGGCGGCGGAGAGTGCCGGCGGGCGCCCTCGTAGGCGCGCAAGCCGTGCAGCCCGCAGCTCCGTCTCGTGCGACTCTCGCGCGGCCAGAACGATGACGCCTCCGGATCCCCAGCGAGTCGGGAGCCGCGCGCGCGATTCGGTTCCAGGATTGGTTCTTAGTTCCGTCTCGTTAGTTTCCGTGTCGCTTGTGACGCGGCGTTAGTTCCGTCTCGTTTGCCGCGTCTCGTTTGGAACGCGTCCGTCGTTCCGTCTCGCTAGTTACATCTCGTTTGTTCCGTCTCGTTTGTAACGCGTCGTTAGTTCCTGTCTCGTTTGTCACATCTCGTTGGGAACGTGCCCGTCGTTCCGTCTAGTTCGGTCCATCTCGTTAGTTCCGTTTCAATTGTTCCATCCCGTTTGTTCCGTCTCAGTTGTTCCATCTCGTTTGTTCCGGCGCGCCATCCTCACCTTCTCCTTGTCCAGCTTGACCCCCACGTCCAGCTGCGAGATGCGGTCTCGCAGCTGCATCACCGCTCGCTCCTCCTGCGCCTGCAGGGAGAGCTCCGAGTCCCTCTCACCCTGCAGCAGAGCTCTCTCCAGCTCCAGCTGCCCGTCCACACGGAGAGAGGCAGAGGGGGAAGGTCCGTGCGTGTGTGCGTGCGTGCGTGTGTGCGTGCGTGCATGTGTGCGTGCGTGTGTGCGTTTGCGTGTGTGCGTGCGTGTGCGGTAGTGTAGCGGTTAGCATCGTTAGTCATCTCAGTCAGTCGACCCGAGGTACCTGGGTCTGCCCCGTGACCTCCTGCCAGCGGGCGTTCGACACTTAACGTGGCCTCAAGGTGCACTTGGCCTGGCACAAGCGTCGTGGTGACGTCACCGCCACTTAGTGGCGAATGGCGGTTGTTGTTGTTGTCGCGGTTAGCGCGCTGCGCTACGAACCCGGCAAACCCGAGTTCGATTCCCGCTCATGGCCAAGACCGGCGACGATTATCTGAACCGGTCATGGGCCTCCCCGAGGTTGACTCAGCCTCAAATAAGTACCTGGTGTGGTGTGTAAACACTGGGGAGACAAAGGCGGCCGGGAGTGGTGTTAGCCACCCACACACTCGTGTGCCGTGCCAGCCTTCGTAGGGTGCTCGCTAACAGCACTTGCCCCAACAGTGTGTTCAGGCTATACGGGGGATCTTTGTGTGTGTGTGCGCGTGTGCGTGCGTCCATTCGTTGAGGAGCAGGGCCAGTGGTGGAAGCAGCAGCAGCAGCGGACTGGGAAATGTGGAGCTGCGGTGAGGAATGAGAGAGGTGAGCGTCTGTTTTGAGTCCGCAGCCAGCGAAGAGGTGAAGTGAATACCCCGTGCTGAAGAATCAACCTCGATGGGCACCCAACGTGTCTCCCTTGACGTGTCTGTCCCCGCACGTGAAGGCATTACAGTACAGCACCCCTCCCCCCCCCACAACGCCACAGTGGCTAAGAGATGTTAACTACCTTACCTGGTATACAGGAGGTCGCGGGTTCGATACCAACCCTGATGCCTGCTGCTGTGTATTTGGCGTTTGTGTGTTTCTCTCTCTATCATCATCATCACGGTGGCTAGGAGATGTACACAACCAACCGGCCCCACGGCCTTCTGGGAGTGCATCAGTTCAGCAGCACTGATTGAGGGATGGGGGGGGGAGGAGGGATGGGGGGGGAGGAGGGATGGGGGGGGAGGAGGGATAAGGGGGGAAGGGATGGGGGGAGGAGGGATAAGGGGGGAAGGGATGGGGGGGGAGGAGGGATGGGGGGGGAGGGATGCAGGGGGGGAGGGGTGTCAGCGTCGCCCACCTCGCGGTCCGACTCGTCCAGCTGACTCTGCATCTCGCCCATGCGCTGCTTGAGCTCCTCCACGCTGGCGAGCGTCTGTGCGCGCTCGCGGCCCAGACGTCCGAGCTCGTGGCGCGCGTGGGCGTCGCCCGGGGAGCGCGTCGCCCGCGGGGGGGTGCCCCCCCCCGCCGAGCCAGGCGAGCGGGGCTCTCGCGCCAGAGACGCGGCGGGGGGCGGCGGCAACATCGCCGCGTCGCCCTCCCCCCCGGGGTCGCGGCGCGCGGGCGGCGAGCGGAGGTGGCGGTTCTCCTCCGACGAGTCGTCGTCCTGGGCGGAGAGAGGCGTTGCTTCGTTAACGAGGGCGGCGTTACTTCGTTACGTCGCTAACGAGGGTGGCGTTACTTCGTTACGTCGCTAACGAGGGCGGCGTTACATCTCACACGAGCGTCGACGATGCCGACAGAGACCGAGATGGTTGAGGGTCGGTTGTTTAGGCGTTGGAGGGTTAGGGTTAAGGTTCAGAGGTTAGGGTTCATGTCAAGGGTTAAAGATTAGCGTTGGGGGTTCGTGGTGCGGGGGGTAGGCGGGAGTCAATTTTACGGATTCAGGGTTCGAGGTGAGAGGCTCGAGGAGTCGGGTGCAGGTTCGCGGGGTGCGGCTTCCGTGCTCACGAGGTGCGCGCTCTCCGTGCTGCTGCTCTCCCCGGCTCCGCCGGAGCCCCCGCCGGCTTCCCGCTCCGTCGCTCGCCCCGCCGAGCGTTCCATTTCCGCGCCGTTTGCGCCGGAGCCTCGCACCGCTCCCGCGGTCGGCGCCAGCAGCCGTGCGGAGCCTGCGCCGTGCGGCAGAGAGGGGTCGATCGCTCGTCACGACGGCGATCGTGACCGCCGCGCTTCACGCATGGACGTTGCATGATTGTCAAACTTCTTTCGCAACCGCGGCAATCGGAGGCGCGGAGGAAGGACAATAAACTCAACGCGAAGAGCAAGTTCTAGCGAAATTAGTTTCAAATCTAGGTGAAAAAAAGTATATATATTCACGTACATTGTCAGCCCAGAGCCAGTTGTGTAAATTCCACATTCCTATGGCAGGAGTCCTGTCACAATTTCATGAAACCCCCCCCCCCCCCCCCACCGATACCGTAGCTATCGAGTGTGCAAGCATTGTCTGGGGGGGAGGGGAGCAGGTGCCAGCTGGTGAGATGTTAACTACCTCGCCTGGTGTACAGGAGGTCGTGTGAGTTCAATCCCGATCCTGACGCCTGCTGCTGTACATTTCGAGTTTGCGTGTCTCTCTCTCTCATCATCACGGTGGCTAAGAGATGTTAACTACCTCGCCTGGTATACAGGAAGTCGTGGGTTCAATGCCGACCCTGATGCCTGCTGCTTTACATTTCGAGTTTGCGCGTCTCTCTCTCATCATCATGGTGGCTAGGAGATGTTAACTACCTCGCCTGGTATACAGAAGGTCGTGGGTTCGATCCTGACCCTAATGATGCCTGCTGCTGTATATCTGGAATTTGCGTGTCTCTCTCTCTCTCATCATCATCACAGTGGCTAGGAGATGTTAACTACCTCGCCTGGTATACAGGAGGTCGTGGGTTCAATCCCGATCCTGACGCCTGCTGCTGTACATTTCGAGTTTACGCGTCTCTCTCTCTCTCCCCCCGTGGTCGCGTGGATTTTTCTCCGGCTACTCCGGTCACTTCCCTCCACGTTTATAATCGACGTCACCACGCGTCTGGAGAACATTAGGCCGCTACAAATGTCCGCGTGATGATAAGCCACTTCGTTTGAGCCATCGTTCGCGATAGCCAGGTCGCTTCCAATTAGTAACGTAAAAAATACCATTGGAACCTCATTTGCCAGTAAAAATATGATGCCAGATAGAAGGGTAAAAAAAAAATTATCATATTTTTATTGGTAAATGAGGTTCCAATGGTGTAAATGCTTACCCCGAGCTCTCATACTCTGATGGTGCATTGTCTTTGAGTTGTGCGCCTTTTGGCGTCATCTGGTCCAACACCATGTGAGACTAGGCTCTAAGGAAAGCTGTCTCGGGTGTGGACCAATCAACTTCAAGGACAGTGCATACATGATCAGAGTTATGTTTTTTGTTTGCATTATGACTGCAGGTATTGTGGTCTATGTAAACATGACTCCTTGTAAAAAAGGTGTCAGTTTTGTTGCCAGATAGAAGGGTAAAAAAACCAATTAACGTAAAAATAGTTTTAGTAAGAGGGGGGGGGGGTGCCTGCCCCCCACTTCACTCCTCGTACGCCGGGGGGCCAACGCCGACCCACAGCTGTGCTGGGCTGCGCCGATTGCAGCGAACTCAAAAACGTCCCCCCACGTCCCGCTGGACACCACCACAGACTGGGACTCGCGTCGTCATCCATTCCCGCGTTCCCACCGCGCGCCACGCGAACCCCTAAGAGAGCGCCGTCAAGAGACACGCGCACAAAAACAACTGAATACGGCAACAGCTGCCGGCAAGATTGAGACGAAAACTGAGCGGCGATCCCCCCCGCCCCCCCAAGCCGCTAGGAGAAACCGCACGGCAAATGAAATTTTTTTTTTTATAAAAAGATGTTTTATGTCCCCGTAGCTGGTTTCTCTGACACGGCAGCGGTGGGCACAGTGTGGATTGTTTTTTTTGGGGGGGGGGGGGGGGGGTGGGAGGGGGGGGGTGCTCCGTGCCCCCCCCTCCCCAAAGCCTCGAGAGTCTCAACCGGGGTAGAAATGTTCTATAAAAAAAAATAATAAAGAATGCTCTCGGGCTCGCGCCTCTGCGGAGCGGAGCGAGGAAGAGGTTCGTTAGCGCGATTGATTGGCTCCGGAGCGTGCGGGCTCGGGGTTGGGGGGGGGGCCTTCGAGAGAGAGCCCAGTTACCCACACCCCCCCCCCCCGCCGCCAAGATGCTGCACGTGCGCGCGTTACAACCCCAACCCGAGCTGTGAATGCTCCGGCAACGCGAGCTGCCTCCGCACCGTTCGCCCTTCGGCGTCGTTCTCTGGCGTGACACCGGCGGTGAGACCCCGTGGAGAAGCCTTGCCGCAAGTCTCTCTCTGGTGGAGGCCAATCAGTTGCGAAAGACGGCGACGCGCATTATTGTCGCAGCGCGTTTGTTGGTTAATGCAAAAAAGTCTCTCTGTAGTTGGCGTTTCAACATCCTGACACCTCCTGTTTTTGACTGCGAGAAAGGGCAAAAAAGCTTTTCTTAATTTTCACGCGAAAAATCCGGCCGCGTAATTGGGCACCGGAGTATCGACGAGGCCTTTCGTGACGTGAGCCTCGCGCGCCGGCTACACACGTAACATGTGCACGTTGCGAGCTGGGGGTGCGAGCGTGCGAGCTGGGGGTGCGAGCGAGCGAGTGAGCGAGCGAGCGACGGGAGTGGTGGCGCAGTGAGTAGCGCGCTGCGCTCTCTGAACCCGACCACAGGTGGACAGCGAAATGACGACGACCGATCCTGAGGTGCCCGCCACCCCTCACCCTTCCACCAACCCAAACGCGCGGCGTTGATTCGAAATGTGGAGGTGGGGGGGGGGGGGAAACCGGAGGACCCGGAGAAAAATCCACGCAACCACGGGGAGAGAGAGACACCGCGAAACTCCAAATGTACAGCAGCAGGCGTCAGGGTCGGGATCGAACCCACGACCTCCTGCATACCGGCTGAGGTAGTTAACATCTCCTAGCCACCGTGGCGCCCACTTATATTATGCGTGCGACGACCGCTTTCCGACTTACAGTGCCACGTACGGGCGCTTAACCGGTGGCTGTACTATTTGCGTGTGAACGTTAATCAAGGCTGCGGGCGCAGAGCGAGCGAGAGAGTGCGTGCGACGTGTGGGTGAGATTTATTTATTTTTGGGTTTTATAAAACGGGAAGTGAATTCTCTGCTCCCCCGTGAGCGTTCGCTCTGAGCGCTTCCAATTAGCGTTTACCCGAAATGCGGAAAATAGTACGAACTGATTTAACGAGTCCCACGGAGCCCTGCGGGGAATATTACGCTGAACGTTGCTTTGCTCCGGCGTGTGCGCGCGCTCGTGTGCGTGCGTGCGTGTGTGCACGTGTGTGTGTGTGTGCGCATGTGTCGGGAGGGGAGCGGTAGTGTAGTGGGTAGCGCGCTGCGTTACGAACCCCAGTGACCCGGGATCAATTCCCGCTCACGGCCAACACCGGTGACGATTATCTGAACCGGTCATGGGCCTCCCCTAGGTCGACTCAGCCTCAAATGAGTACCCGGTGCGGTGTGTAAACATCGCCACTGGGGCGATAAAGGCGGTCGGGCGTGGTGCTGGCCACCCACCCCCTCGTGTACCGTTGCGGCCTTAATAGGTGCTCGCTAACAGCACTTGCCCCTACAGTCTATTGAAGGCTATACGGGGGGGGGGGGGGTCTTCTTTGCGGGGAGCGGGAGTGCAGCGGTTAGCGCGCTGTCTTTGTGGGTACGTGCAGCCCGTTACCGGCTGTCGCAGCACTGTCAGCGCGCGGCGCGGTAAAACTTCCCGTTCAGAGGTCGCCGGCTCTTGGATCTCCCCCCGCGGCGCTTGAAACGATGGGGCAGGTTTGTGAAACCGTTCCAGCACCCACACCCCACCACCACGCTCCCACCCTCTCGTGCAGGAGTGTGGTATTGAAGGTGTCTTTTTGATGAATGGCCGTGGCATGGAAAGGATTTCCTCCAGCAGTGGAGAGAGCACAGCTGATGATGACAATGGTAATGATGATGATTAAAATGGGAGTCATGATGTTAATGATCAAATTGATGATGATGCCGATGATAAAGACATGATCCTGATTATGAGGACAATGATGATAATAGTACGATTAACAACAATACTAATTATGATAATCTTGTCAATGATGACATCAATAATGATAATTTCAATTATGGCATGATAATTATGACCATAATGATGACGGCATAATTATGATTACAATGATGATAACAATGAAGACAACACGAGTAATTTATCCCAATAATGATAACAATGATGATATTGATAATTGTGATGATGATGGCAAAGACGACGACGCCGACGATGCCCGCTAGGAGTGACAACGACGATCATCAACCGATTGGCTTTCACATCGCAGACCCCGATACGAAGACAAGAATACGATCCGGAGACTCCTGGATGGGGAACGGAGCCTGGAGCCCTGTGGATCTTTCTGCTCAGCCTTAACAGTCTGCAGGGTCAAGCGCTGTTAGCGAGTAGCACCTACAAAGCACCGGCACGGCTCACGAGGGGGGCGGGTGGCCAGCACCACGCTCGGCCGCCTTTGTCTCCCCAATGGCGATGCTTACACACCGCACCGGGTACTCATTTGAGGCTGAGTCGACCCAGGGGAGGCCCAGGACCGGTTCAGATAATCGCCACTGGTGTTGGCCGTGAGCGGGAATCGAACTCGGCTCCCCGGGTTCATGGCGCAGCATAGCGCTAACCGCTACGCCACCGCTCCACACGAGATCAAACGCACGCACCTGCGAGTAGCGCGTCAGGCCAAGCACAGCAGCGGACAGGCCGGCAGCCCAACATCACTCAGATCAAAGGTCTCCTACGGAGATCTGAAGGGCGGTTTTTTGGGCGTTTAAACAACCACGGACATCTGGTGGTTAGACGCTAGACAGAGTCATCTGGTGGTTAGACGCTAGACAGAGGCATCTGGGTGTGTTGCTTGCCTGGTGCCGGCTGCTGCTGCTGCATTTATCGATTTTTCCACACGGGAGAGAAAGATTTTGTTTGTGTGTTTGTACTGATGCTGTCAACAACTAGGACGCATGGCGAGTCTGAAATTATTACAACACAATTACAATACGATCAAGTGTGTGTGTGTGTATCTTCCCACACCAAATCTCCTGTTAGAATGCTAAACTAAACCTAAACTAGTTTTTTTATTTTACCAGGTAAGGCCCACTGAGCTATGTCGCTCTTTTTCCGAAGCGATCTGGCCACAAATGATAGCCCAACCGAGTGGCTTGTCACGTGGAAATGTATTGCAGCCAAACGCTCTGAAGGTTTGTCGATTCTAAATGTGGAGGAAAAACCGGAGGCCTCGGAGAACAATGCTATCGACCACGCGCAGAGCGAGACACGCAAACTCCGAATATAAAGCAGCAGGCGTCAGGGTTGGGATCGAACTCGCGACCTCCTGTATACCAGGCGAGGTAGTTAACATCTCCTAGCCACCGTGATGATGATGAGAGAAAGATAGACGCAAACTCCAAATATACAGCAGCAGGCGTCAGGGTTGGGATCGAACTCGCGACCTCCTGTATACCAGGCGAGGTAGTTAACATCTCCTAGCCACCGTGATGATGATGAGAGAAAGAGAGCGAGACACGCAAACTCCGAATATACAGCAGCAGCCGTCAGGGTTGGGATCGAACTCGCGACCTCCTGTATACCAGGCGAGGTAGTTAACATCTCCTATCCACCGTGATGATGATGAGAGAAAGAGAGAGAGACACGCAAACTCCGAATATACAGCAGCAGGCGTCAGGGTTGGGATCGAACTCGCGACCTCCTGCATACCAGGCGAGGTAGTTAACATCTAGCCACCGTGATGATGATGAGAGGGAGAGAGACGCAAACTCCGAATATACAGCAGCAGGCATCAGGGTTGGGATCGAACTCGCGACCTCCTGCATACCAGGCGAGGTAGTTAACATCTAGCCACCGTGATGATGATGAGAGGGAGAGAGACGCAAAAACTCCGAATATACAGCAGCAGGCGTCAGGGCTGGGATCGAACTCGCGACCTCCTGTATACCAGGCGAGGTAGTTAACATCTCCTATCCACCGCGGCGCCCCTGATGGAAGCTCCCACAAACTGAAGACCCCCTCAGGGTGGACACCGAGCATTCCTCGCGCCCCACCTACACACGGTCAAGTGCCGGAAGCGAGCGATGCGGTGACCACCGTCTTTGTTCGATGGTTCGTCAAAAGCCGCCGCCGCTGCCGCTGCCGCTGCTGCCACTGCGAGCGTGACACCGGAGTGGCCGACGCTCCCTTCGCTAGGTCGGCGAGGTGCGTGCGCTTCACAAATGTCTCCCGACATGGCCATTGCGGACCTCGCGAGCCGACCCTCCGGGCGATCCCCGACCAAGCGTTACGGTCTGCGGTGTTGCGCGCAAGCAAGCGTGTGTTTGGAAGCAATATGTGCTCAGCTGTTACCCCCCCCCCACCACCACCGTGCGTGTACGCGCACGGGGGTGGTTGCGTACGCACGGAATGTGGCTGAACACGCGGGCGCATGTGAACGTATCGGCCAGCGAGGGGATGAGAGAATGGGCGTGCGTGGGTCGTTGGGATGGATGGAGGGCGTGAGTGAGAGAGTCAGTGAGCGGGTGGGTGAGTGAGGGGGTGAGTGAGTGGGTGAATGAGTGGAGTGAGTGAGTGGGGTGAGTGAGTGGGTAAGTGGGTGAGTGAAGGGGTGGCTCGTGAGTGAGCGACTGAGTGGATGGGTGAGTGAGTGGGTGAGTGAGTGGGTGAGTGGCTGGTGAGTGAGTGACCGAGTGGATGGGTGAGTGAGTCGGTGAGTGAGCGAGTCGGTGAGTGAGTGGATGGATGGGTGAGTGAGCGACTGAGTGGATGGGTGAGTGAGTGAGTCGGTGAGTGAGTGAGTCGGTGAGTGGGTGGGTAGCTGGTGAGTGAGCGACCAAGTGGATGGGTGAGTGAGCGAGTCGGTGAGTGAGCAACTGAGTGGATGGGTGAGTGAGTGAGTCAGTGAGTGAGTGAGTCGGTGAGTGAGTGGATGGGTGAGTGAGTGACCGAGTGGATGGGTGAGTGAGTGAGTCGGTGAGTGGGTGGGTAGCTGGTGAGTGAGCGACCGAGTGGATGGGTGAGTGAGCGAGTCGGTGAGTGAGTGGATGGGTGAGTGAGTGAGTCGGTGAGTGAGTGAGTCGGTGAGTGGGTGGGTAGCTGGTGAGTGAGTGACCGAGTGGATGGGTGAGTGAGCGAGTCGGTGAGTGATTGGGTAGCTGGTGAGTGAGCGAGCGAGCCTTCGTCTGAGCAAATAAATGACTAAGGGAATGTATTAATTGTAGCATTTCACTGTTAACAAGTGATTGGTTGATCGAGTCAAAAAATGAATGATTCATTGAGTGAGTGAGCGATTTCAATTACGTGCGAGGGGAAGATGAGATGGCACACGATTGATGGAGTGAGTGAATAATTAAACGAGTGATTGAATTCATACATTTTGAAAAAATACGAATAGACTTTATCATTTCTGGCAAAAAAATAAACAAAAATAGACACCTTTTGCAAGGAATTGAGTCTACATTCGCCACACATAACTCGTGGCAAAAACATGCAAACCAGCATGCCCTCGTAATCGATGCATTATCTCTGATACTGTTTGGCCTCCACCAGAGGCAGCCATTGCCTCGCCAGTATTTGACCAGAGAACGCCAAACGGCGAACATTACTGTATCGATGTGGTGTTGAACGTCTTAACACCTCGTGTATTATCGTGGTTGAAGCCTATTCTTATGTTTTAATTCTTTTGATGCTGACAAAGAGGGTCCCATGGACAATGACTGAATTCACGAGTTGCTGAGTGGACGTACTTGAAGCACATTGGCACAAGACGGAGAGGAAAGTGGAAATAAATGACACGAAATGTGCAGTGGTCAGCTACGGGTTGTCTGCCCACGGATGGCGACGAGTGGACAAGGTAAGTGACGGGCCGAGCAAGACAATAATCAGAGCCGAATGACTGAATGAGTGAGAGAATGAACGAACGAACGAATGATGAGGCAGACTCAGGAGCGGGGGGGGCAGGGGGGGGCAAGCGGTTGTCGTGTTGGTGGTGGTGGCGGTGGTTGTGACGGTGACGACGGTGGTGGTGGTGGTGACCGTGGTGGTGGCAGTAGTGGTGGTGGTGGCGGCGGTGGTGGTGGTGGCGGCGGTGGTGGTGGCGGCGGTGGTGGCATTGGTGGTGGCGGTGGTGGTGGTAGTGGTGGCGGTGGCGGTGGTGGCAGTGGCAGCGGTGGTGGTGGTGGTGGCGGTGGTGGTGATAGTGGTGACGGTGGCGGTGGTGATGGCAGTGGGGGTGACAGTGGTGACGGTGATGATGGCGGTGGGGGTGACAGTGGTGATGGTGGTGGCAGCGGTGGCAGCAGTGGCGGTGACAGTGGTGGCGGTGGTGGCGGTGACGGTGGTGGCAGGTGGTGGCAGCGTTGTTGGCGGCGTATCTCACGAGCGTCGTCTCCGAGCCGCAGCCGAGACATCTCTCCGTGGAGGCGTGCGGCCCCCCCACCGTCCCCGTGGTGGGCCTGCGGCCCCCCCCCGGCGGAGCTGTCCGTCGAGAGGGAGGCTCCGCGCTCAGGGCCCAGGCCCACGCCCGTGTACAAGTTCAGGATGGTCTCCAGCCTCTCCCGTTCCTGCAACAACAAAGACGACAGAGATCCCTCAACACGTAGCTTTACAGACTGTTGGGGCAAGTGCTGTTCGCGAGTAGCGCCTAAAAAAAAATGCGATTTGTATTTCAACCGGGTAAGGACCCACTGAAGCTACGTAGCTCTTTTTTCGAAAGCGGGCTGACGTTCGCAAATGATAGCTCGACGAAAGTATCTCATCGTGTGGACAGAAGCCAAATACTCTGAACGCGCGACGTTGATTCTAAACGTGGAGGGAAAAACCGGAAGACTAATGAATATCCACGCGTCCACGGGGAGAGAGACACAAATATACGGGTATCAGAGCCGGCATCGAGCCCACGACCTCCTGTATAGCAGGCGAGGTCGTCTACACCTCACCACCGCCACACCCTATGAAGGCCGGCACGACACAAGAGGGGGTGGGTGGCCAGCATCGCGCCCGACCCCCCTTCGTCTCCCCACTGGCGATGTTCACACACACCGCACCAGGTACTCATTTGAGGCCGAGTAGACCTAGGGGAGGCCCAGGACCGGTTCAGATAATCGCCACTGGTGTTGGCCGTGAGCGGGAATCGAACTCGGGTCGTCGGGATCGTAGCGCAGCGCGGGACATTGAAACTCACGTAAACACAAGCACACAGACATACACATACATACAGACACACATGTATACAGACACACATGGACAAACGAACATGGACACACCAACATGCAAAAAGACAAAGACACAAAGACAAAGATCCCCCGTATAGCCTGAACAGACTGCGGGGGCAAGTGCTGTAAGCGAACACCTATGAAGGCCGACACGGCACACACACATGCACACTGACAAACACACACACAACAACGCGCATACACTCACACACACACAATAACGCGCATACACTCACTCACACACAACAACGCGCATACACTCACACACACACAATAACGCGCATACACTCACTCACACACAACAACGCGCATACACTCACACACACACAACAACGCACATACACTCACACACACACAACAACGCGCACACACTCACTCACACACAACAACGCGCATACACTCACACACGAGCGTGCACACACATGGGCGCAGCTGCTACTGCGTCGCGACCCAAAGTCCCCGGCCGCATTTCCCACGATCGCCATCAACGGCAACTCCACCGCAGTGACAAAGCTACACAAAGCACCGTCGTCGTCACCACCGTCACCACCATCATCATCATCGTCGTTTTACAAAAGAAGTAAACTAAAGAAAAACCACCTCCACCGCCGCGCCTGAACGCAGGTTCCACCAACACGATCTCGCCTTTGGATTCGCCGCTGTCCGCTGCTTAAGGAGGCGACGGGGGCGGCGGGTGCATCGCTACGGGCTCAAGAGGTCGACTGAGCGGTCGCTGCCGAGATGCGACGAAACCTCCTCCTCCTGCTCCCTCTACCCCACACTGCCAGTGGCACGAGCTGCGTTGACCGCCTCCCCCGTCCCCCCGCTCTGCCGCCCGTAACCCGAACCAAAGGAATGTGGAATGCGCGACAGGGCAGGAGGCACCAACTATTCCTGAGCGAGCGGTGGGCGTGTGGCCGTGGCGCTGTGGCCACCAACCCCCCCGCGGCCACGGTGCCTGGACCTTCATAGGTGCTGCTCCTGCTGCTCGTCCCAACAACGTGTTGAGGCTACACCGGAGGACCCATCCGCCTCCGTTATCTTTCGTGTGAAGTTTTGGCGAGTGGGGCGGTGAGCGCGCTTGCCTCCGCGCGTCCCGGTCGCCCGAGTTCGATTCCCGCCCGCGAACGATAACAGTGGCGATGGTTATTTGAACCAGTCCTGGCCCCTCCCCTAGGTCGACTCAGCTTCAAATGAGTACCCGTTGCGGTGGGTAGACATCGCCACTCGGGAGACAAAGGTGGCCGGGCGTGGTACTGGCCACCCACCCACGTGCCTTAATAGGCGCTCGCTAACAGCACTCACCCCACCGGTCTAGAGAAGGCTACACACAACACATTCATAACACGTGACGTTCCGGGCAATGACCCATCTTCTACATGAACGCTGCCCTTTATATAAACACACATTTGTTTCCACTTCTAAGGCCACAGCAGTCGTTATTGACACGGAACATGCTGAGTTGTTTGTTTGTTGTTGTTGTTGTTGCCCACTGCGCTTGTGCACTGCTGCCAACGAAGCAGCAGCAGCAGCAGAATCAGCGTCACCCCCGCCAAACCGCCTGACCGAGAATTCAACACCGCGGCGGGAGCCCGGCGTCTCCGCTTGTACTCGAGTGCCACCCGTCACCCCGCCTGCGCCGATGGCTCTGTGAGCCATGTGACCCCCAGCGTGGGCAAGCTGACCCCCAGCGTGGGGGGAGGGAGGCGGGGAGCTGTTGAGGGGTGCGAGAGGGGGTGGGGGGCAGCACGTGGTCGGGGGGGGATTACGATACCAAAACTCCAAAGGGTCCTTGTTTGCCACTTTCGTGCGAAGCGGAAATCTCACTTGCGTCCGAATCCTATCTCTCTCCTCTCTCTCTGTGTGTGTGAGAGAGAGAGACTCCCTCCAAGGGGATGTCATCTCTCAGAAGTCTTTATTTACAGCGCGGCGGTGTGTGTGTGTGTGTGCTTTACAGCGTCGGGTGTTTTGACTTAAGTTGTAAGAAGTGGCCCAGCCGACGCCTGGGCAGGGTGGGGTGGAGGGGTCAGGGACACGACAATTCTTTCAGGGGGGGGGGTGGGTTTGAGTCTTTCGCGGAGATTACATCGGGAGTCCTGAGTCTGACGAGGCAGCCGACTAAACTAAAATTGTCTTTTATTTTCGCAGTTAAGGCCCCATGAGCTGCGTTGCTCTTTTTTGTTTTTGAGAAGCGACCTGGCCACAAATGATAGCTCGACGAAGAGGCTCATCACGTGGACATTGATAGCAGCCAAATACTCTGCACGAATGGAGAGACCCATAGAGACCAATAGAGACACGTAGAGACACATAGAGACCCGCAAACTAAAATTATGTAAAAATAATTATTTTACCAGGTAATGCCCACTAAGCTATTGGCTCTTTTTTTAGAAGCGACCTGGCCACAAATGATAGCTCGACTGTCCTGTGTTTGTTGGACTTCTTTCTCACCGTACGTAGCCATTCGTGTTTCTAAATGTGGAAGGAAAAGTCAGAGGACCTGGATAAAAATCTACTCGACCACGAGGAGAGAGACACGCAAACTCCAAATATACAGCAGGCATCAGGGTCGAGATCGAACCCACGACCTCCTGCATACCAGGCGAGGTAGTCAACATCTCCTAGCTACCACTGGCACCCACGGTGGCGAGATGCTAAGATTGGAATCAGAATAAATAAATATTTCACTTTTCCATGCGATGAACAATTCTCTGTCGCAGTGCATGTGGGCAAAGTCAAGTTCACAACATCGTGACTCAAAGGGTCACTCGAAGGTAGCGGCATCGTCATCATCTCCATAAATTGGACCCAATCAAACAGGGCATCTATGAAATAGTCTGCATGTGATCGATTACATCCAATCACAGAGAGGACGCTCTCCATCAGAACAATGCAATCGTCGCAGCTGGTAAAAAGAAACAAAGATTTTGGAAAATAATACGTTTATAATGATCACGATTAGTTACTGATAGAAAAAATTAAACCCGTTACATTCGTCAATAACACCGTGGTCTTAAAAAAAAAGGCGACGTTCCGGGCAATGGCCCTTCTTCAGTGCAAGGCCCATCGCTTGAAACGTCGCCTATTATCGTCCCGTCGACAGAGCCGCTAAGCTCAATGGGGCCTCCTCCTTAGGGAGCTGAGAGTCTCCCTCTTGCCGCACGGCGGATGAAAATGCAAGAGAAACGACTACAATTTCGGTTTAGGGGTGGAGCGTGAACAGCTCCATGGGTGATCAAACCCCCAGGGATCTTCCGCGTTTGACCTTCCACGAAGCTCACGGTCCACGGAGCGACTGTGATAGTAGCGAAAGAGAACGAGCGCGAGAGTGTGAATTTCGTACGGCAAAATGTATAACAATGCGTTGTGATCAGAGGTCGCAACCGGGTACCCGATACCCGTACCCTATCCGATACCCGGCTACCCGGGTATCGGGTAGGGTACGGCCGGGTACGGGTAGCCGTTTGCGACCCTGGTGCGGCCGGGTACGGGTACGGGTAGGCCGTGAGTCACTGGTGAGTAACCGTTTGTCACTCATTTTGGGTAGGGTACGGGTAGGGTAGGGTACGGGTTCTGATAAGGAATGGGTACCCGTATTCGGCCGGGTACGGGTACGGGTACCAATTTGCGACCCTGGTGCGGCCGGGTACGGGTACGGGTAAGGAATCAAAACCCGTTTGCGACCTCTGGTCGTGATACAGCGCTGTGCTAATAGAACCCGTTGCTGGGCCGTCTAAATCTCATCGCGTCTCGCCGTACAATGTGAAATATGTATCATCAATCACACCGCTAATTTGCAAATGGGTTCAAAAAGAAAGAAACCCCCGTGAAGATAAAATATACCGGAGCACTTTCGCAAGAGGGATTTAAATAAAACATTAGGGCATTGATGTGCATTAATCATGAGCATAATCGCTGCATGGCAAAATGCAACATTTACTTACAGGCAGTAAATACAAATGAAAGATAATCAACAGTGGCATTAACTTTCTCACAGAAAAAAAGGGGCTCTGATGTTTCGGTGAGTTGGAGCAAATTTAATTGATTGTGTTGAATAACAAAGTGTTCAAATGAGTACCTGGTGCGGTGTGTAAGCATCGCCACTGGGGAGACAAAAGCGGCCGGGCGTGTTGCTGGCTACCCACCCCCTCGTGTGCCGTTTCGGCCTTCAAAGGTGCTCGCCAACAGCACTTGCCCCAACAAGTCTGTTCAGGCTATGCGGGGGATCTTTCCCTTTGCATGTATTACGTATTACCTTTGTCTCTTTTGTACACAGCACCACGCCCGACCGCCTTTGTCTCCCCAGTGGCGATGTTTACACACCGCACCAGCTACTCATTTGAGGCCGA